ATGGGGCTTAACAGTCAAAGCGAGAACAGCGACAGGATTTCTACACGCATGCGCAAAACTTTACAACGGCGCCGCCGGGCGGCGCCTCAGGTAGCGGCGACACGCGGAGGCGCGTTCACGCTCATATTGTTTCCGATAGTACCTCTCTTTCATGTATTCGCATTTGTATTTTTGTTATTTAACTCTGAGAAGTCACACCACCACAAAAGGCTGCAGGCTCATACCCTCAGGTTTATGATGCATTGGAAACGGCCAGTTGATACATATACATATGTACTGTCATTTTCAATATGACTGTCAACATAGGAGCGTGTGCCAATCAGTACTGTCAGCGCCGACTAGCGGCATCTCCGCGCATTATGGGGAGAGTGAGCGTATGCGCAAAACGAAGTAATGCACTAAATCAAAGAAGCCAAGCGCGTCTTTCTTAACAATACGCTCCCATCAACCTTACCTTCTGACCCCTCTCAGTTTTGGAAGATCGTAAAACCTACTAAAAGAAAGGCACGATATCGCTAGTTTCTGATGGCCAGGTTATGCGCAGCGAGGAATGTTGTAATATGTTAAATAATGTTTTTGCTGGGTCGTTTTCAGTTTCATCTTCTAGTACTGTAGCGCATTTGTGTAGTCGTGATTGTTTTCCAATGGATCATATTGTTTTTTATTTTGTGGGAATTGCGAACCTTATTCGGAAGTTGAAACTTTTATCCTCTTGTGGTGTGAACGAAATCAACTCAAAGTTTTTGAAAAACACAGAAGTATACTCGTCTATAATTTTATCTTATATCTTCACGCAATCTATTGAATGTTCGACGGTACCACGCGACTGGAGGGTGGCGAGGGTCGTCCCTCTTTTCAAGTCTGGCAATGCACAGTCCGCTCTTAATTACAGACCAATTTTGATAACAAGTATTCCATGTAAACTTTTGGAACATGTAATCTATTCAAACCTCGTATCATTTCTAGAATCAAATTCATTTTTTAACCCCTCCCAGCACGGTTTTCGTAGACACTATTTCTGTGAAACGCAACTGCTCTCTTTTATAAATGACATAACGTCGGGCCTGGATCGTGGTCAGTTTTTCGACTGTATCTTTCTTGACTTTGCAAAAGCATTCGACAAAGTTCCACATCACTTGCTCCTTCTCAAAATTGCAACCTTAAATATTGACCCTAATATCTTAAAATGGATTGAATTTTTTTTGACTAACCGCACACAATTTGTAACAGCGAATGATTGTACTTCATCTCCTTCTTTGGTAAAATCTGGTGTTCCTCAAGGTCCCGTTTTAGGCCCTTTGCTCTTCCTAATATATATTAATGACCTTCCTAACTGTATTCAGTCCTCTATAAAGTTATTCACTGACGACTGCCCTCTTTACCGTCAAATAAATGACCTATCCGATCAATCTATTCTCCAATCTGACCTCGATCACATCTCTACCTTGTGTAATAAATGGCTGATGACCCTTAACATTAACAAATGTAAAAGCATGACATTCTCACGCCACCCTAACCCCTCTGTATCATGTGATTACAAGATTAACGATATTTTCCTTGAACACGTCAAATCGTATAAGTACCTTGGAGTTCACTTAACTAATGACTTCTCATGGCAAACCAACGTTAACTACGTTATTAATAATTCTAATTGCACCCTCGGCTACTTACGTCGAAATTTCCCTCAAGCCCCTTTTTCTCTTAAGGTTCTTCTTTACCGTACACTCATCCGCCCAAAGCTCGAATATACTTCTGCGATATGGGATCCAGCACAACGTTATCTTATTGATGCCATTGAATCTGTTCAGAATCGATCAGCCCGTTTTATTAACTCTAATTTTTACCGCCTTGCTAGCGTGTCACTAATGAAGTCTAATGCTGGTATTCCTGAACTAATACTTCGAAGAAAAATTGCGCGTCTTTCTCTTTTTCATAAAATATATTTTCATAACCCAGCGCTCAAACAGGAACTCTTTTTACAGCCTTCATAGCTTTCATCCCGGGTTGATTGCCAATACAAGGTTGCCATACCTCATTGCAGCACTAACATCTTTTTTTATTCTTTCTTGCCGAAAACTTGTTCAGAGTGGAACCACCTTTCCCCGCACATCGCCGCTATTGACGATGTTTCTGCTTTCAAGGCAGCCATAATTGAATACTTTTCTGCAATTTGTTGATTATACTTTTTCTTCTGTTTTGTTTATGTTGTATATGTTTTGTACTAGGACGTGATCATTGTACTTTTGTAAACCCATTCTACCCATTCCCTCTGTAACGCCCGATGGGCCCTGAGGGTAATGAAATAAATAAATAAATAAATAAATGCGGTGTAGTCAGTATCACACCGCGCGCTTTCTGAAAAAAGAAAATGAACGTAGTGTTCTGTAAACTAGAATGCAGGGCGCGAAGGCAACAAAACAGAGCGGGTACAGAGCGCATTGATCGAGCCTTCGTGAGTCACAGAGACGCCGCTAGTCGGCGCTGGCGGTACTGATCAACACCGATCCGAAGGGCTTAGCCGTATTCATCCAACACACAGAGCGAAGCACCAGGAAATGGATACAGTGTGCACTGCTTGTGGAGTGGAGGACGAGACGGCTGAGCACTTGATCCTTTACCGTAAAGGGCTTCACCCTGTGCCTACCGAAGACAACATAGATTTAATAAAGTTATTGGGTTTTAGAGAACGCGAAGGTAGAGTGGATTACAAGACAGTAGAGATTACCAAGCAAAGATTAAGTGAATGGTGGCAGAAAGCGAGAGAAAACTAAGTATTTTCTTATTAACTAATGGCAAGGGGGTTTTATAGCCTCACTTTCTTTGCAGTGCGGAGCGAATATAGTTTTCACATCTAAATATTCTAAGCTTAAATGGTAAAACAAAATGGCTAGGTGGCGTAAGCTACCGCCCGATCCAAAGGGCTCAGCCGGATTCATCCATCCATCGATCCATCCAATCGACGTTCGCATGTTCGCCGTGATATTGAAGGAAGAAATAAAAAATAAAAGGCCGTTTACAACTCCCTGTAACACCGAATTCGAGAGCAGCTCTTGAGGGGGAGGAGGGAATGGTGCTGTGCGGAGCGTATACCCCCTCCCTCCTCTTCACCTCGTGATCCTGCCTGATACTCCTCCTCACCCTCCCCCCTCCTCCTCAAGGGGGGGTCACGGTAGGGTGGTCACGTGACCTCAGGGGAGAGGGGGGGTCACGTGACGTCACGGTTACGCCGAAGTCGCGACTCCAGCAAAACGGACGCCACCAAGCGGGAAAACCGTGAACCAGCCGGTCCAGGTCGCTCCGCGCCTCTCCGCGTCTCTGGTGGCTTTCGCGGACACGTGTTGTCGGCGCGGTGGCGAACAATGTAATTTTACGAAGGTCCGAATATTTCTTAAGTTTGCCTGAGTGTTCATTAGTGTGGTTAAGCCTCAAAAGATTGTTTCCTTCCATCACGTGTTTGGAAGCCCGTTTACTCCACAACACACGGTCGCCTGCTTTCGATTTCATGGATGGGGAGGAATCGCGGAAAAATGTTTTGATTTCTTGTCTGTCTCGAATCACATTCAAAGTGACGACTGCTCGGTAACTGATAAGTAATTTCTTTATGAGGATGTAGAACAGTCGACTGAGGACGACAGATGAGGCATTTCCCTGGAGGGAACAGCAATGTTGCAGTCACGTGAATGGGAAGGTTCGATAGCTGCTTTTCTTGAGTTTGGTTGTGTTCGGTTAGCTTCAAGTTTGAGCCACACACGTCGGTCGGTGCGTTGGCTATTTATCTTGGCTGCTTTTCGCCGAAAAAGCCTCTGGACCACACTGAAGGAGTTGGGCTGATTTCACAATTACGTGATTCAGGAAAACCTGCTCGCTGCAAATGATGAATGAGGGAAATTATATGTTTTCAAAAGGTGGGGGACGAGTCTCGCAACGTTAGAAGCTGTCACAGGATTTTGTTCTATCGCGCCTCCAATATTTATATTATACCCCCGTCGAAGCCAGCAGTATACGTCTACATTGCTCAGGTTGACCGGCCACAAAAAATACTCATTTTCTCCGTTCAGGATTCGAAGCAAATTTCAATGCAGAGAGGTTCTGCGTGAATCTCCGATTAAGACACTCTTCAGTTTGTCTCCGAGCTGCCGGCTAGAACCATTTGGCTAAGTTTAAGTAGTATCTCTCTTTATGTCAACTATACTTTTATTCAGCAGTTCACTTAATAGCTAGTCAACTAAGCTCATATATTTCAATCCGAAGAATATACAAATATCGCATTAGTGGGACATAGTATGTAATATAATACATAACCCGCTCGTCAAAATGACTTCTCGATTGCTACTAAAACCTGAATTGAAATACGAGTATATTAGCTGCTTAGTGGGGCTCCGGCGGGTTAACATGGTCTTGGCTCAAGAAGCGCCTGCTTAATTTTCGTATTTTTCCTGCAGCCTGTGTTGTTGACCGAGCAGACGACTGGAGCTGTTTCTTAAACGCGGATACGCACAAGACCTCGATTTCGCGGACAGATAGGTCGCATGGTCGAGGCATTCCAGTTAGCTGAATATTACTCTCAGTGGAACAATTCTGCAGTCTGTAGTTTCGGTTTTGAACGAAATCTCCGAAACGAAAGTTGGACATGAAAAGAACAAAAAACACCGGGAAAACAAAACTAGGCTTTGCAAGTTTATGGGCACCGGCTATACGTAACTGTTTCAGTTCAAATACCTATAAAATAGGGCATTAAACAAAAGAATATTTGTTAAATTGAACGCGCCACCTGTTCAGGCGACCCGGCCCAGCCGACGCGACCTGGACTCAGCCGCCATGTTTGTTTGGTGGTGGCGCCCCCTATAGGTCGCTGGAGTCGCGAATGAGCTGCGCTTTAAAAAAAGATAGACAAAGAGGCGCTCCATTTTAATACTCTTTGAAGGTTATGTCACGTCCTAGGACACTCGCTGCAAGTTCTTTTGGTGGCGAACGCTAGGGCTGGACAGCTCGAAGTAAGTATGACTGTCGATAGCGTTAAGTTCTGCCAAACAGAGGGTAAAATGCACCAGCCCTGGTATGTCCCAGCCAATTACATAGAGGTGGGGAGTGGAGAAGGGAGAGCAATTGTAGCCCAAGAAGCACTCCTGAGGAACGTCGAACTTGGCTCAAATTTGGCAGTCTTAGGAACATTACTTGTGTCTAATATTTTTCTTCTCCAAGAGGTTAGTTAGTGCCAGTGTACTTTCTTTTTGTGCTTTTCTGTGGCATTTCTATGGCTCGCCATATAACTGCCAAAGTGTCAACTGGAGCCACGGATTCTGCGTATGAAGTGAAGGACCAGGAGTGAGCACTAAATATTTAGCTCTTTCTTGTAAACTTAGGCCCAAAGTTGCCACATGAAATCCAAAGAACCTGGAGTGAAGCCTAACTCTGGCACTTCTTTTGGTGATTTAGGTCAAGAGGTGGCAGATGAGAGGAAAACTACGAGCAGTTAAGTCTAACTCTCGCTTTTTTGTTCACGAATTAGGGCCAAGATATTCAGACTCTGACCAAACAAAGGTCAAGTTTTGGCTATGAGTGGAGAGCTAGAGATGCGTTGATATATGAAGCACTTTGTTATGAGACAGTTTGGGTGGAGCATGCGTGGTTGAGTCTGCCTTTTATGTTTTCCTGTTTCCTGTTTTCACTATTAAACATTTAATGGTGAGTAAGAGCTCATTTTCTGCTGTGTGTTTCTTTTCTAAGTCGAGTTGGTACACCTACACAATGGCCAAGTTTGTCTTTGCCTTAACTTCTTCGGGCTTTATTAGAACACAAGTTCCCACACAAGAAAATTATTTATCACAGCAACTGTGCAACTTTAGAGAGAATTGTCATGTCCACACTCTAATGCCCGTTCCTCTTTGCACTCACAACAGCTGGTCTTTGAATCCTCACAGGGCGCTCTCATCAATGAACAAGGGTATCCATTCGAGAGGCACGACGTGGTCACCAGGGATGGTTACATCATCGAGATGCACCGCATTCCACGGGGTCGAACGCCCTGCCCGGAACCCTGCCAGCGGGAACCCATCTTCCTAATGACCGCATTGCTCACCGCCTCGTCGAGCTGGGTTCTCGACTTCCCTACGCAATCTTTGGGTAATGCGCGCATTACAACCTTCTTAATTCATTTTAAATGCAATAGAAACTTTTGCAAGGGTCGTGGAGGCAACTGATATTTGTGTAACTTCAATACGAGACCTCGTTTTTTCAGAACGTCCTGAACAAGCAAAAATGTTTTCATACCAGCTATGTGCTTTGTTTGAACAATTTTACGTTGTGATTAAAGGGATACTAAACCTAAGTTTAAATTATTTTACGCCAAGCGAGATGTACTGTTGTCACCAGTTGTTGCCTGCAAGGAAGGCTACAGATGCACGTCATATTGCCTCTCTCTTGCGCATTTCCAGACAACGTTTGAGTTCTGGTAGAATGGCCCAGTGTTCGCGCGCCGTAATATTTGGAAACATTTGTCTGTAATATGCGTCTGAACATGGTTATCTGATAATTTTCTTTTCTTACATGACTGCTCGTGCGTAATAAAGTAATGTCTAATGTTGACGAATTTTGATCAAACTCGAGTTCGCAATTTTCAACCGAAAGGGTGGCGATGAACTCAGGCCACGATTAACAATTGCAGGATACGTCTTGGCCGACAACAAATACGACGTCTGGTTAGGCAACCTGCGAGGAAACACCTACGGCAAACGACACAAAAGATACAGCCCCAGGTCGAGACGGTTCTGGAACTTTTCGTGAGTCTATCTACTGTTTACCAGCCAAGCTAAAAACTAAATTCGACGCTCATGTTTATACAGCGTCAAGTGGATCCGCCCTTCAGGTGCAGCGACGCTAGTTTACGCTGTAGATGTAAAACTTGGCCAGTGCAGTACGACTGCTATCCCGGGGTCTTTAGCGTTCATCACGTAGTAGTGATACACGACCGCACGCCGGTACGATTCTCATCCAGATCAAAACATCCAGGGTTGGGGATTGGGGGAACCCAGGATCCCCGAGTTCTGGAGTGCGAACTTTCGCTTCATGTGCAACCCTCTTGTCCACTAGCAGAGCAGAATAATGTCACGTTTAGGGTGTCTACAATGAAACCTGGCGCTATAAAAAGAACCGGAAAACTTAGCGCTTGTGCATATAAAGCTCACACTTTTACCGAATATGCATTTAGGTGGCGGGTTTCACTTGGTGAAATTTCAAGGCGTAGCACAGCATTCCTGTCAAAAATGAGACCATCAAGCTTTCTGGGGTCAACGGCAAACGTGTTCGCAGACGACAGAGTTTATTTATTTATTTATTTATTTCAGATACCCTCAGGGCCAAAGGCATTAGTGAGGGGAGTGGGTACAATGTATAAGTATAAAGTTAAAAAATGCAGTGGTTATTAGTACAGTAAATTGACTCTTATTTATACAATGTTAGCTATGGCGTTCTTGAACTGCTGGGGATCTTTGATTGTTGCTGTCGGGGCGGGAAGGCCATTCCACTCCACTGATGTGCGAGGAAAGAATGACTGAAAAAAAGCATTAGTTCTACACGATGGAATCCCGACTTTATGAACATGATCTAATCTAGATGAGATGTATTGGCGGGGTAAAATATGTTCGGCGCGCAAGGAGGGATGAAGAATCAGTTTGTGAAAAAGACAAAGACGAGAGATTTTGCGGCGGGATGTTAGGGATGGCAGATCAAGGTTAGATTTCATTGTACTGATGCTTGCAGTTCTATTATAGTTAGACAATATGAAACGAACAGAATTATTTTGAACCATTTCAAGTGAGTGTATCAAGTTTTCGTGGCTTGGATCCCAAACCGAAACGGAATATTCGAGTTTAGAGCGAATGAGGACCTTGTAGAGTAGTAGTTCTAGGGATGAAGGTGCTTTAGCAAAGTTACGTCTAAGATAACCCAGCATGCGGTTAGCGTTATTAATGACGTACGAGGTGTGAACGCTCCAAGTTAGGTTAGATGAAATGTGGACACCAAGGTATTTATAAGAAGATACGGCGTCCAAAGGCACATTATTAAGAGAGTAGACGGGCGAGTTAATATTTTTTCTAGAGACACGCATAAGTTTACATTTGTTAATGTTTAGTTCCATGCACCATGTTTTGCACCATACAGAGATGGCGTTAAGGTCAGATTGAAGAGTGGTTATATCGTTATCACATAAAATTTCCCGGAAAATTACACAGTTATCTGCAAACAAATGAATATGGGAAGAAACACAAGAAGAGAGGTCATTAATGTAGATAAGAAAAAGGAGAGGGCCAAGCACAGAGCCTTGGGGCACGCCGAAGTGGACGCCACTTGGGGGAGATGTGAGGCTGTTAGCTGAAACGAACTGAGAACGGTTAATGAGGAAGTATTCGAGCCATATAAGAAGTTTGGGATAGAGATTAAGCTGACTTAATTTAAGAAGTAAAAGCTTATGACACACCTTATCAAATGCTTTCGAAAAGTCTAAAAATATGCAGTCGGCGAGTGATGATCGGTCAAGAATGGCGTTTAGTTTATGAGTGAAAGATACCAATTGAGTTTCGCACGAATAAGTTTTACGGAAGCCGTGTTGTGAAGGGGTGAAAAATGAGTTCGATTCAAGAAAGTTAGCGAGGTTAGAAAACAGAATGTGCTCAAAACTTTTACACGGGATGCTTGTGAGCGAAATGGGTCGATAATTAAGGGGAGAATTCTTGTTACCTGATTTGTGGAGTGGAACAACCTTTCCCACCTTCCACTCAGCAGGGAGATAACCATCGTCAAGGGACGGTTGGAAAACTTTTGATAAAATGATAGAAGAATAAACACTGGTACTTTTTAAAAATTTTGGGTCAATTAAATCGCAACCAGGGGCAGAAGATTGTTTGAGTGATCTAATTACGCTTTCAACACCACTGGGATCAATAATAACAGGAAACATTGCAAGGTAATCACATGAGTTTACATTAGGCAATGGGACGTCTGTAGTTACGGAAAAATTGCGTGAAAATATATCATTAAGAACGATGGCACATTGATTAGAGGGAATGACATTACCATCACTGTTGACGAGGGTGATATCGTTATTATCTTTTGGGTTAATAACACGCCAAAACTTTTTTGTGTCAGTTGTTAGCATGACTGGCAAAGTATTTTGAAGATACTCTGCTTTAGCTTCTCTTATCGCTGTTACGTATTCCTCGGAAGCAAGCTGATATGCGGCCCAGCGCGCATCGTTTGAAGAAAGTTTAGCTGACCTGAACAGTCGTTTTTTTTTTTTGTTAGATAGACGTTTAATGCGAACGTTAAACCACGGTGCGTTACTGTTAGAGATAATAGTGCGAGTAGGGATGTACTTATTCGTTAGAGCATTAACCTTGGTTACAAACATATCCCAGTTATTTTGTACGCTACGTTTATCAAAATCCTTCAAAAAAATATCAAGAAACACGGATAATTCAGAATTAATGGCTTCAAAGTTCGCATTCCTGTAGTTTCGAATAGTTTTCATTTTTTTAATGGTTTTAGGTCGCGACAGGTTTATGTGTAGTGATAGCAGGGAATGATCGCTCAGGCCGGGTAAATAACTGATGTCAGATACAAGATCGGGCTGAGGTGTTAGTATGAGATCTAAGACGTTTGCGACAGATGAGGTCGTTCTGGTAGGTTGTTTCACGAGTTGTGTGAATGAAAAGACAGAGCACATTTCTAAAAATTCATTAGCTAAGGTGGAAAAGGGGGCCATCCTGGGTGTCTCGCCATCCCATGTTATATTTGGAATATTGAAATCCCCAAACAAAAATAAAGGTAACGTGGGATGGCGAGTTCTGACAAGGTTGATTACATCGTGTAGATCGTTTACAAAACTAGACGAAATAGTGGGGGGGCGATAGCAAACACCGATGACAATTCTTTTGTGGCCCACTTCCATGATAGCCCACACAATCTCTAAGTCACTGGGGACATATATACACTGAGATGGAAATTCTTTAGATATCGCCAAAAGAACACCGCCTCCCTGACGGGTTATGCGGTCACAGCGATAAACAGAAAAACGATGTGCGTCTGGGAAAATTTCATGATCACGGAACTGAGGGTGCAGCCAGGTTTCAGTTAGCACTATTACGTCAGCACTACAGCTATCTACTGCAGAAGTTAAGGAATCCCGCTTGTTAATAACGCTCCGAATGTTAGAAAAAAGTACCGAAACATTAGATAAAATTCGTCCACTGCCCCTCGCGTTTTCTTATCTCAGACCACGTGTCGGCAGACTGGGCTGTTGGTTATCAGGGGTATGATCTGACGCAAATCGTATCACGCTTTCAGTTGCAGTGTCATACGTGTACTGTCTCCTATTTATGACTAGTTTGTTACAGCGAAGCTGAAACGGTGGTGCTTCTGGCTGATTTTTAGCAAACTCAATTAGTTTTTTTCCGAACGTAACGCGTAGCAGGAGAGAAATCCTCGCTAACATTGATGTTCTTTTCTTTCAATTTGGAGCGTGCGGAAAGGATGCTGTCTTTTATTTTGTAGCTTGAAAATTTAACTATGAGGGGGCGACATTTATTTTCCGAGTAGAACCCTAAACGATGAGCACGCTCAATTGCACCGCCCGAAAGGGTGTCAACAGTTCCCGCAAGAAATTTCCGCAATTGTTCTTCCGATTGTTGCCATGATTCACGAGAATCAGGAATTCCGTGAAATATAAGGTTGTCGCGCCGTGACCTGTCCTTCAGTTCGTCTAGCCGCGACTGTAAAGAGTCATGCTGGGTGGTCAAGACTTTCACGGAACCCAACACACCGGCCAAATCTTGATCTAAACTGTCAAGTTTTTTTGTTTTTTCTTCTAAGGTATCCAACCTTTGCTGGATGTGACCGATTTTAGTTTCTATGTTTTTCTGACCAGCCTTTATTGACTTTACGTCGGCGACCAATTCAGCCTGACTTTTTGCCGAATGAATAGAGCGGGCCTGAAGGTCTTTCAGAAGGTTAAAAATAACAGGCATCTGCTCGGAGGGCTCATCAGGTAGAGATTCAACCTCAAGAGCAGCCTCCGAACGAGTAAGAGGGCCCGGATTCGTCTCGACGTCGCCGGAGCGCAACAACAAGAACACCATCGAAAAACAATCACAAGCAATATCACTCAGCTCTCCTGGGCTCGGGAGCAAAAGAAGGCAACGATTGTCGCATTTTTTAGCGCAGAGTGAAAATTGTTTACACACCTGCGAAATGCAGAAACGCGGCATGAGAGCCATGTCGTCGTCACTGCTCCCGAGCCCACTGGAGTAGTGTTCGCGTGGCATGCTGTTTAAGTAGGGGAGGGGAACTGATGTCGCTGTTGCTGACGCCGTTGTGCCGAAGGTTGGGAGTATCCGAGACGGCCGATTCAAGGTGATGCTGCTGAAGAGGCACACGTGGCTGCTGATCTCAGACGATGACATCAGCGGAACCGAGATCCCGGTCGAAGCAGAAGCCAAGGGTAAAAACCAGAGCAGGAAAAACGCCAGGATTTCCTGCGAAATGCAGAAACGCGGCATGAGAGCCATGTCGTCGTCACTGCTCCCGAGCCCACTGGAGTAGTGTTCGCGTGGCATGCTGTTTAAGTAGGGGAGGGGAACTGATGTCGCTGTTGCTGACGCCGTTGTGCCGAAGGTTGGGAGTATCCGAGACGGCCGATCCAAGGTGATGCTGCTGAAGAGGCACACGTGGCTGCTGATCTCAGACGATGACATCAGCGGAACCGAGATCCCGGTCGAAGCAGAAGCCAAGGGTAAAAACCAGAGCAGGAAAAACGCCAGGATTTCCTGCGAAATGCAGAAACGCGGCATGAGAGCCATGTCGTCGTCACTGCTCCCGAGCCCACTGCTCACTGCTCCCGCCACAAGTTACGCCACAAGTTAGCGTAACTTGTGGCGCCATCTCCCGATAGGCGCAGCAAACAGACGTTTTCCGGCTCACTTTACATATCCGAGATCTACCGTGTACACCCTATAGATTGCGAGTCGCTGAACAGCAAGATTCGGCTCTCCGGAACGAAACGTTGTCGAGTTTACTTAAGGTTCACATTCACCTATTCAAACGTTAATACTATGAAGTATAGGTAGTCAAATCTTTTAGGAAGAACCTGAAATTAACCTTCTAGAAGCCCCGAGCGGCCATCAAATTTTAGCTAAAAAAATCTTTTCAACTATGTCTTGCATTTTTGACCGCACTTCTATATCACAGGTTTCACGAACATGCCGTGTACGATGCTCCAGCTCAAATCGACTACATCCTGAACGTGACGAAGAGGAAGAGTCTTCTCTACGTCGGCTTGTCTCAGGGCGCCCTCATGTTCTTCACGATGATGTCCGAGAAGCCAGAGTACAACGACAAGGCACGAACTTTGTTGTTGTTGTTGTTGTCTTTTTTCAATTTAACATCTTATAGCGTATGAGTACACTTTTTTTCCCTTCAAACTTCGAGGGTATACATATCGTACTTATGTGAGTTCATTAGAGGGTCATTTTAGATGTCAATAACCCTCTACCTTTGGCCCTTATCACCGAGACGAAAATTGCCAGGTCCCTGCATTGGCTGTGGACTTAAGCGCGGCGTCTGACATTCCAAAGAAGAGAGCCAGTGCGCATACTAAGAAAGCGTAGCTTAGTAGACGAAGATGGCCATCCTTAGAAATTTGTTTCATCGTATGCTTCCGCAATTTCTTAGCGGGCTATGGCAGCACTCCCATAAAAGCCCATGCATTTAATATGCAGATATGACCATAACAACGAAACGTTACGCTTTGAGCAATATGCCATTCTAATACTCCATTCTATCATATACCGCTAGTCTTGTGCAAACATTTCTTGATGATGATGTGTAAACTGCAGGTTCCTCAGTCGAATAAACATTTTGATGTATTGCCACTACGGGTAGTATCCAAGTTAATCGAAGTGTACAGTTTATTCTTGTGCATAAAAAAAACGTGTTATGATTTAATAAATTGGTTAAGACTCCTTCCATAATATTATGGCAAATTCGATAACGTCTAAAATGTGTATCACATCTGGAGAAAAGAAAATATTTTGGTGGCACCTCACGCAAATTTTTGAGAAGTAGCAGCGTTCAAACGAGCACAATTTAAAAATACAACGAAGTACAAGATTCACCCTACGACTTTAGAAAATAAGAAGAATCGATAATGTTCAGGGTACATTCTGTTTTTTCTCAAAATTATTTTCTTGAGTTCCTGAGAGAAATTTGCCAAATAAGGTGAATTCGTTCCCGTTTAGACGTTTGCGATCATATCCAGTTTTCTGCTACTGACATCAATTAACCAGCAAACAAAACAGCTGTTCTATTTTGCGATGATCTCAAATTATAAAACAAAGTTTTCGAAATATTCTTGCTAATTAATAATTTTATGTTATTACAACTGTAATTTTTATTGTAAGGAGTGGGAGCACTGTGGTCAGTACCCAATCTATGAAAGGATGATTGTTCTTGTGAACTCAACATTCACATGTAAAAAGTAATATTTGATCACGTACTAAATACTTACCTTAAATTAACTCTCCCAATAACCATGTACACAAAGAGTAAAATAAAATAGAATACAAAAACATAGGGAGAAGAGCGTATTGAAATATCCGACTTGATATCACATCCCTCGAAAAGGGCGGAAGACTAAGATTTTGTAGTAGACCAGGCTTGTAGTCAGCGACCTTAAATTTTGTATTTCGTCGCCAGTTGAGAACTTGGTTGATCTCAAAACGTTCCTGGACAAGGCGCGTGTTCCCAAATTTGAAATGATGAACGAGTGGCTGAAAACACCCAAATAGTGTCCACTTCAAGAAACAATTTCTCAGAGGTGGCTCATTTGAGGGGACTTGCCATAGCAGCAGCGTGTAGGCGAGGGTCCTAAATTTTATATGTCGTAACTTGTTTAGCTCTCGGTCGACCTCGAAAAGTTCGTCGGTGAGGCGCACGTGCCAGAATTTCAAAAGATGAAGGAACGCGTAAAAACAGCCAAACAATCCCCGCATTGGGACAGGTTTTCTCAAAAAAAAAGAAACACATTTTGAAGCGTTTGCCGTTGTACCAGGATAATATCGAGGGCCCTGGACTTTCTATTCCGCCTTTAATTGAGAACTGGGTTGTGCTCAAAACGTTCCCTGGCGAGGCGCGTGTGCCAACATTTCAAGTGATGAGCGAATGCGCAAAAACAGTCGAACCATACCCACTTTGAGACCCGTTTTCACAGAAAGGATCTATTTTGCAATACTCGCCATATTACCAGGATGTGTTCCAGGGCTCTATATTTTTTATTCCGCCTTTAGTTGGAAACTGGGTTGTCCTCAAAAAGTTCCCTGGCGAGGCGCGGGTGCCCAAATCTCAAAGGATGAGCGAATGCGCAAAAACAGACGAACCATCCCCAATTTGAGACCGGTTTTCTCAGATAATATCAATTTTGAAGTATTTGCCATAATAAATAAATGGGCTCGAAGGCTCTATACATTTTATATTCTACATTTTGTTGGAAATTATGTTGTTCTCAAAAAAAATTTCAGGCGAGACGCGTGTGCCCAAATTCCAGAAAATGAACGAATGCGCAAAAACAGAACCATTCCTAATTTCAGGCCGGTTTCCTCAGAAAATATCAATGTTGAAGTATTTGCCACAGTACCAAGATGGGCTGGAGGGTTGTACATTTTATATTCCATCTTTAGTTAGGAAGGGAGTAGTTCTCAAAAATTTTCTCTGGCGAGGCGCGTATGCCCAAATTTAGAAAAAATAAAATAAACGAATACGTAAAAACAGTTGAATCATCCCCACTTTCAGACCGGTTTTCACGGAAAGGATAAATTTTGAAGTATTCGGCACAGTACCAGGATAGGCTTGAGGGCAATCGATTTTATATTCCGCCTTTAGATGGGGAGTGGGTAATTCTCAACACGTACCCTGGCAAGGCGCGGGTGCCCAAGTTTCAAAAGATTAACGAATGCTTAAAAACAACCTAAAAATACCCCACTAAGAGACCTTCTCAAAACGGACTCATTTTAGAGGATTTTCCATACTAACAGGCTGGGTTTGAGGAATCTATGTTTTGGTATTCCGCCTTTAATTGGGAACTGGCTTTCTTTAGAAAGTAGCCTAGCGAGGCGCGCGTGCCCAATTTTCAAAAGATGAACGAATGCGTAAAAAAAGTGAAAGCCGTTTACAACTCTATGTAACGCCGAATTTGAGCGCAGCTCTTGAGGAGGAGGAGGGAAGGGTACTGGGGGTGGGTCACGTGACCTTGGGGGGTCACGTGACGACGCCGATGACGTCATGAGTGACGATAACGATGCGGATACCGATGATGTCATCAGTGATGATGACGATGACGATGCGGATGCCGGTGACGTCACTGATGACGTCATCAGTGATGATGACGATGACGATGCGGATGACGGTGACGTCATCAGCGACGGCACTGATGACGTCCTCAGTGACGACGACGTCATCGGGGATCACGTGACCTCGGGGGAGGGGTTCACGTGACCCTGAACAGGGTCACGTGACTTGATGAGTCACGTGACTTTGGGTGTCACGTGATCTAGGGGGTCACGTGACCTCTGGGGGTCACGTGACCTTGGGATGACCTTGGTGGTCACGTGACCGTGCGGTGACCTTGGGATGACCTTGGGGGGTCACGTGACCTTGGCGTGACCTTGGTTACGCCGACGGCGACGCCGCTCAAGACGGGAACGGGCCCCTGAGAGCTGCGCTCTAAAAGGGCCAAACCATCCCCCACTTTGAGATGATGCTACTTGGAATGCGTTGATTTTTGATGACTTGGCATGATGGACGCGGTTGGGCAAATTATCATCCGCGTTAGTTTTGGCACCGCCAGCCTAGTTTCTGCTGCACGAGCGCAACGTCAGCCCACAACCGCGTTTCTCATGTGCTGGGATTCTAAAATTTACTGATCCAGCTGCAGTGGCTTAAAGGGGGTAGTGTAGTTACCGCGTAGCCTCGATCATGCATCGGGAACGGCCGCTTTTTGGAAGACGGAGGAGGTGACGCTTCGATCTGCAGCTCCATTAGGGTGCGTGGATCGGCTGGCAGATAGAGGCTCCCTAACACGCTTTGTAACTAATATAACTACCTCAAAAGCAACTATTTGTTTCCAGTGAACTTCCAAGGACATGATTTGTGTTTGACGGTGAATAAAAATGTGAAACTAGCAGATGACAGTGTAGTCGACAGCTGCGAATTGGCCGAGGCTGGCCGGAGCCAAGCTGGCCAAGCGGCCAAACCGAAGCCATAGCCGGAACGACGGTGCTGTAAGATCCAGCGCCACCCGCGGCCGTCTTCCAACGGTGTGCCGCTTCTCCGGTATGTTCGTTACACCACCCCCTTTTATGGCACTGTAATCTAGCGGTTTTTGACGGCGCTCAGCAACTTTCTAATTTGAACATTATGTTCAATTTACCTAATTAAAACTATTCAACAAATTACAGTTAGATATTCAAGTTATCGTGACGACTAGATCCATATATGATGCCCCCTGGCCGCATTAAAGTTGCGTAAAAATACTGCACTAGCGTAGCCTAAACGAATTTTTCAAAACGATGTGAAGCTCCATGGATGCATCATTAAAATGTAATAAATGTAGCATTGTACTACATTCGGACGTAATGCAAAGGCCACATAAGCGATAGTTTTTATACTTCGTTTCATCTTAAATCAAGTCGCAGCCGACGCTAAGAGGTAATCGGACCAGTTCAACAGCGTCAAAAGCGCAAATCACGAGTCTTTTTTTGTTTATGATTGGTTCAGGGATAATAAAACACGTACAGAAACATGACGAGCACCATGATGTGGAGCTTTGAACGCTTAGTCCTATTCCCTGGTGGCGTCAGCTACGTTTGGAGTTAAAAATGAAACGAAGGCCGTGTTCCAAAATTTACTCGATCTGATTCTAGGGTAAGTGTTTTGTGGCTTGGCGTTCGAAAACCTACCCGCGCCCAGCGTTGCTTTATCTGTGTTGTCGCGTGACAGGACTCGCCGGAGTAACTCGGATGTATTTGGTAAGATTTAGAGCACCGCCGAATTATACGCGATATTGCCGCGTGCGTGACGGAGTTGGCAACGCATACGGCTGTCACACAGAGGGATAGGTTTCGAATCCCGCCCGGCCCGGATCCTTATCTTATTAGTTTTGTGCTCTTCTAAACCGTCCCAGCCCATTCTCGACTGTCATCAAGTCTTCTTCTGAACATCCCTGAACATGCCGCATGTATGAAAGTAGCGATAACGCGCTGCCTCGGGTCAGTCACACTTCGGTCGCTAACGCAAGTTGCGTGGCACCTTACTCTTAAAGATTGTAGGCACAATTTCGCATCATTAAAGTTTTAATTTTTGTTCTAAATTCATATGCTCTACTTACTGGTGAACAAAATTTCACCAAGTGGAAAGTGGATATAAATCGATCCGTAAACATTTAAGTGGCTGATATACATAAGTTAAGAATCCATCCTTAGATTCGTCCTGTACGGAATCAACCACTAATAATTGCATAGGTTTTATGCCCTATCCTCACTCTCACAGTTATATCTGAAGGTGCCTAACTCTATCGCACTCTAAGTCAATTATAACATCTATAGAATTGACTACAGTTATGGTGAGCGCGTTGGTGATGATTAAATTATCAGAAAGAATAAACAAAAAGAAGGACTGGAAATGAGCGCCAAAGGAACAGGGACAGGTGAAGAAGTGGACGACAACACGGGGCACGGGGCAACACGGGGCAGAGACGCCCCAGTTTTCCTCGGCCCTTGTTCTGGGTTCCAGCGGCGACTGCTACGGTTGAGAGGTAATCGAGGCCTTCGCGATCCGGCATTCTCCGCGTAATTTTTCCGTGCCCTCGCTTTCCCTTTTAGAGGGCGATGTCGCGTTTCTGCGGCCGCAGTTGATGCCCTGACGACCCCCGCGGCCTCCACCAGGTGACCACGCTCTTTTGCCCTCGCCAACCTCTTAGCCCTAAACTCTGTCCTCCCTGTTTGACCACATTCCCGTTTTCCTCTTTGCTCCTTTCCTCCCTTTCATTTCGTAGGGACCGGTTCTGATATAACACACCACCGCCTATACATCCTCCGCCTCCTTCTTTCCTGTTCATCCTCGAGCCCTTTCGCCACCAGCCTCTCATTAAATATTTGTTGTTGGGAGTCGAAAGATCTTTCGTATTGTCCGTCTTTTTGTTTATTCTTTTTGATAATATAGAAATGAGCTGCGATGAATTCTGCGAGACCATTTAAAAGATCCAATGTTCTACTTTAAACGCAGTATCGCCATGAAGTGGTAACGGAGAATGATCAAGTTATGAGTACGTTGCAACTGCAAGACACTCATTACCTCGTCCTTTTTTTTCAATTACTGTTTTCGTTTGTTTTTTCATTCAGCACACATCACACTTTGGCGAGAATTCGTACATGGCGTAAACATTAAAGGTGAATACGCCGCGTGCACACATAAGTGAACTAGGATCGCCCGTTGCAAATTTCTAACCATGCGTGCGCAGCAGGCTAGGATTTTAAAAATATTTGGATATTTGATACCTCTTCACTCTGACAAGCAACTAGCCTCTCAAACTACGCTTGAAAGTGGTTCCAGGAGAAAGCTATATGTGCGCATGCAGAATCAAGGCCCCATACTAAAAAACGTTTTTGATAATCGCGAAGGTCCCACTGCAGTAATTTTCAATTTCAGAAGTCTTTTTTTTTTTAAGCACGTAAAATAATTCGATAGGATATTTGTAATCTGCTTAGTGAACCTAGGGCATGGACATTCTAGTGTTACATCGAGAACATTAAGGCACTCCTGTCGGCTTATTAATCCTTAGATTAAAACGAGTCAGGTCGAGGAGACCTTGCCAGCTCAATGAGAATACATTGATTTCAAAATGGTTGGTATCTGAGAAGCCCCGTGAGTGCGGTATCTCTAAAACCATCGGCAGACCAAGACACGGGTCAGCCAATCAGTCATCTTTCGAATGAGGCTGGAACGAACTGTGTTTTCTACCTCGTGACACAATTGTGATACATTCAAATAAGTTGACAGAAAACGCAACAAACGTCCGACAATTTCTGCTGACAACACGAATGTTAACTTTGTGCTGGGGTGTCCGCACAGGTCAAAGCCTTCGCGGGGTTGGCGCCCTTTAACAAGCTGGCCCACATGGTCGTGCCGCCAGTGGCATTCATTGCCCCACTCGCGGAACCATTGCTGGTACGTATAGGATCCCTCCAAAACGTCTGCACAATAGAAATATGGTGCCTGGAAGGCGTCTCTGACTAATATGTTTACCGTACCCTAAACTTTGGTCCCTCGGTTTCCGCCTGATGACGTCACAGAAGCCTCATGTTGCTTGTCACCGGCCGCGATCCTCACGCTGTCGGAGCAATCGTAGTGGAGGCAGCAGAAAGCCGGGTCTGGTGAAGGTGCAGCTTGACACCCCATGAAAGCTTCGGGAGCCTGGAGTTGGGACTCCGGGACGACAATGACACTCCCGTCGACTCCTACGTTTCGCCGGGACTTCTAACACCAACCGCCAGGATTGTGACATCCGACAGCGTGACACGCCGACTCTCGTGGCGGCATTTGTTGCCGCTTCGAGACCACTTTTATTGTCCGGGCTGGAAAGGGACCCTGAACACGCCAGTCGAAGACGCCTTCCAGGAACCGCGATTTGAACGTCGAGGCGCCGATCTTTAAGTAGCGTCTCTACTCCGTTCTTAAATTTGATGCTTTCAAGGTTTTCCTTTTTTTACCCTGGTGATTCTCATCTTTTGGTTGACTTACTGTCTACAGTGCCCTGATTGTGACATTTTTTATACTTCCGACCCAGCGCTTCGCCGATTTGCTGGGATATTACGAGGTGCTGCCCCAGAATTCCCTCGCCCTGCCCATCGCCCGCATATTTTGCTCACTCCCTAGAAACAGAGCCCTCTGTTCCTTCCTTGGGGACAACTTTGCGAACCTTGGAAGCAGGTACATTAACGAAGTAAGTCTTAGATGTTGATGATGATGATGTGGCTTTTTTTTTTTTTTTTTTCGTTCTGTTCAAGCCGTTTTGGTCTTTCGGGTAGGCGTCCTTAATTTGTGGCCACATGCCACAATCAATTAGTTATTTAATTTTGTGTGCTGTCATACTAGATCTTTTTGTTTACCCAGCCTAACCTCATGAACAATACTTTCCCCGTATAAAAAATGGCCGCAGAAAACACTATTGTTCGTTGTCTATGAATTGGCATAGCATTCGCCATGAAACTCACGACACAGCTCACTGTGAACACGGCGATAAAAATTTTTGAGAAAATACTTTATTTTATTAATTTAATTTTCCCGTCAAATTTAGCGGTTAAAATAAATTTGCGCATAGGTCGTGATGATAATTTTTCCGCTAAATTTAGCGGGGAACCTGAATTGGTGGATAGTTCACGTTACGTAAATTTTTCGCTAAATCTAGCGGAAACCTGAATTTGTCTGTAGGTCCCGTGACGTCAGATCACGTGACATCAATTTTTTTCGCCAAAGTTTGTGGGGAAACAATTGCTGCGTAGGTCACGCGATGTACCTTTTTCCGCTAAATTTAGCGGGGAATCTGAATTGCTGCATAGGTAACGTGACGTCAAGTCTCGCGACATCAGGTTTCCCGCCAAATTTAGCGGCGAAACTGGAAAGAAGGTCAGAAAGTTCTACGAAATCGGTGGGAAGGGGGGACTTTCTGACCTTCTTTCCAGTTTCCCCCGCTAAATTTGGCGGGAAACCTGATGTCGCGAGACTTGACGTCACGTTACCTATGCAGCAATTCAGATTCCCCGCTAAATTTAGCGGAAAAATGGGGGGGGGGGGGGGGGGGGTCAGTTAAAGGATGCTATCGGAATAATATCTAAACCAGCATGAGGATGTTCCTTTATTCAAAAGCCCACCTGCTTCAGTATGGCATTCGAGTCATAGTTGTTCCGAGGGTAGCATCCCGGGGCCCCATGAATGAGGACGCTGAGTTAACCCAGATTCTCGCTAGACATGAGAGAGTTTTCGTAGGTCGTTTTCGGGGCCGTCCCGCAACGCTCCCCGCAACCGGCTACAACACCCGGAGCTCTACAGTCAAGGACGTCGGCGCGTGGTTCCGGGTCTCGTAGCAGGTTGCGGACAGCGTCGCGGGACGGCGAAAGTGATCTTCGAAAACTCCCTATTAATCCTGTTTCCGCAGTATCATGGTACCCGTACAACCACCAAAGTATGGAGCGGTCATAAAGTTCGTGCGTCTAGCGTTAAAAGAAAAGGAACATCGCCCGAAGAAATGCTGTCTCATTTAATAGCTGAAGCCGCAAATTGTTCTTCACCTGGGAAGCGCAGCTGACTGCAACAAAATGTAAAAGAAAAAATACAATAGCAGTTTTGCTCTTCCATCTTGCTGCATGCATGGAGAAGCAAAATGCAAAATCATTGAAACATTATAGGAAGCGGTCGGTACTGTAGATTCCCTCTGCAGCAAGTGCTGGCATTTATTAGATTACCCGTATTATGGCAATGCCGGTGCACTGACCAAACATTATCCGCTCTATGTGCCCGCTTTAAAAGTCTGCCCCAGCAAGTTTTTAAAAAAATTATTCGTGCTCCGCTGGCTGAAATGTTCCGTTAAGACGATTGCATTGTTTCTCGATTTCTCTCTCTGAATCTCACAGACGCGGGTACCACTGTATCTCTGCCACACTCCCGCTGGGACTTCGATGAAGAACGTCATCCACTTTGACCAGGTGATCCTTACGAGGACCATTAGGGCTCACTTTACCCACCTTAACGTACTTAAACTGTCATTGCCGACTGCCATTTCTCACAGAAATAGTCGCAATTGTAAATCAGTAATTGTCTTTCCTTGGAAAACCAATTGACATTGTAAGTCCCCATGTATCCTGTTAACATTGGGTGTGTGAAGCAAATAATAAAACCAGTCACAACTTCTTCTACAGTGCCGAATGGCCCTAAAGTGCATGTGGCTCGGCTTCCTCGTGGAATTGAGCCACATGCTCGGCTTCCACGAGCCACATGGAAGGCAATGCACATTATCAAGAAGGATGCGCAACTACATGGGTAGTTTGAAATATGAGGCCCTTGGGAGTGTGTGGGGGGGGGGGGGGGGGGGGGGGGACGGAAACGGTTTCAACTCACCAATGCCAAATGGTGATATTGCCAGCGTTACAAAATGTCCTAGCGATCATCTTTGAACCTCTTCAGCAGTTTAGTGTCCCAGCAGTTTGCTGCAAAGTGAATAAAATTTCAAGTGCACCTCTTTGTCGCCAAGTTGATATATACTTTTTACAGTTGGTGAAGTCGAAGAAGGCACAAAAGTTCGACTACGGAAAAGTTATTAATCGAGAGTATTACGGCCAGGTAAGACCCGGATGAAACACTTCTTGCTCGTCACGGAGCGATTTTTACCATTGCCGCTTTTCACCGCGCAGCGGAGACCTCCGCTTTACAAGATAGCCAACGTCAAGACAGACGTCGGAATCTTCTGGAGCAAGGGAGACCAGTTCGTACCTCCGGCGAATGTGAAGATGCTCCTCCGCGAGCTCGGGTCCCGCGTCAAAAAGAACCACTACATCGACGACGAATACTACACGCACCTCAGCTTCGCCATTGCACTCGTCAACCCAAAGTACCTGTATCCCGACTTGCTCGAGTTTTTGGAACGGTACAGGGGGCCCTGATGTATACGTTCTTGCGGCTGTTTACTGCAGGGTCGGTAGAGATGAAGAGAGTTCGGCAATCTTCTGTCGTTGGGCCACCTTACTCGACCAAAGTGACGTCAGGCATGATCCGCCATTTTTGTTCTAATGACCGGAACAATCGGAATAATATGCGCGGTTGCTGTGATCTTTTTTTATAATGAGGAGTTTTAGCGATTTTTCTTATCATTGAATGTGATCGCTGTTGCTTAGCTGGAGACTTCATAACAACGAAGAACCGATGAAAGCTTGCGAAATCAGACGCTACATAACTGCTCTGTTGTTTCTCATTGAACAAAAACGGGGAATCGAGGCTGGGAACTTCGGGGGTCTTAATCCAGCCATTTTCCGAGCCATTCTGCGACCCATTAGACCATTTATTGTGTATGTACATACCTGGCATGGGATGAAGATATGAGCTCAAGGTAATACCATTTTATATACAATGCTTCTTTTAAGAAGTCGAAGATATGATGCAAAAAAAACATGCCCTTGGCTGTGGTAGCGCACTTTCATGCGTTGCCGTCCCCAATAAAACGGCTACTGTTGTGTGTGTGTTTTTACAGGATCTCGGCCTTTAATTACAAGGTCAACAGTATGAGCGGGTGACTTAATTATAAACACGTCTTTGGTTTGTTTGTTTTTTGTACATTATGTGCACCTATAGCATCTTGTCATTGCTGGAATGAATAAATGAGGCCACATTTTGCAAGCACCAAAGCCCGTTATTTTGCATGGTGTAGAGAGTTTCCACAACATCTACTGGAAAGCAAAGTGCCCACTCCAAAATACCACAAAACCAAAAGGCTAGCACACTGCAAATGGGCCGTTCAACAGATTTTTCGAAGCCAAACTACGAACTATTCTGAAGATGTACGAAGAAATCAGGGATGGAAACTACTCGATACACTACTTGAAGTGAGGCGCCAAAACAACGAGGACACAAGGAGAGAAGCAGACAGGACGAGGCGCCTCGTCCTCTCTGCTTCTCTCCTTGTGTCCTCGTTGTTTTGGCGCCTCACTTCAAGCATGTACAACCAACTAGCCCAACTCGCCGTTCTAATTCGATACACTACATACGAGGAATTATCAAAAAGTTCCAAGACTAACTTTGTAGCATAAAAAGAGAGGGCAGCACAGTGATACGCGCGCAGTAGACAAAGGCGTCTTTGTCTACTGCGCGCCTTTTGGCATAAAGACCTTCCTGCGTCTTTATGCCAAAAGGCGTCGCTCCGTGTACACTTTTAATAGAGTGCCTTCATACACACGCGCTTTTGCTTGAGTGTTGACATCTCAGCCATTTTGCCACCCAATCGTTTTTTTATGCATTTTGAAGTGCGCGCAATCCGGTGTCACTCAGCTCGTGCGCGTAGCTCTGGCTAATGCATAAACGCCATTTTACCGCCCAAGTCACGCACCGAGTGCGCGAGAGCGTCACGCGCTGGCACACTCGGGGCGACAATGGATGTCTTCACCCTGAGACAAACAGACATGTAGGCACCCTAACTTTTAACTGCGCTACACGAGTTTGTCTGACCACATCCACGAGCATAATGGCGATCTCTCTATAGACCGCAAACCAAAGCGAGAGCGAACAACAATTTTACGTCAAGCTCGGAAAATATAAAACAGAGACCTCTAAAATGATTTGGAAGGCTTAAATCAAAAAGCAGTGAGACGTGCGAGGTGTTTTGAGCGGCCCTCGCACCTCTAGAGGTCGGACAAGGTCGCCCTACCGCCCTTCGTCTTCCAGCGATGTTCTGCTGTTCCTGAAGCGCGAGTGCCCCTCAAAACACTTCGAAAAATGCACCGCTTTTGGACAGAAGCCCGCAAAATCATTTCAGAGGACTCATTTTTATATTTGCCGAGTTTGACGCAGAATCGATGTTCGTTCCCGCTCTGATTTGCACCCTATGGTGAAATCGCCATTGTGCTCGTGCACGTGGTCGCAAAAGCTCGTGTAGCGCAGTTCCAAATGTTCACAGAGCGACGCCCTTTGGTACGACGAGACACGGGGGTCCCTTCCTTTGACTGTTGCGCGCGCATTACTGTGCTTCCTTCTCTTTTTAAGTTACACAATTAGTCCCAGAACGTTTTTTTATCACACCTCGTATACAGAAGACTGAAGATTTTCCCTTGTGTTTTTTTATAAAGACAGGACTTGGGTAGCTCTAGGCACGCAACAAACGTTTTTCTAGTCACCGACAGAGTGAGGATTGAGGCCGGCTCAGACTCTTGCCTTTGAGTGCTTTTGACTGCGTTGCGTCGAGAACCGAAAGCGAGTCACCGCGACATTTGTGTTTCGTATGAAGCGTGGAATCCAATTCAAAGAATCATCTTGCCACGCGTTATAAGCAGCAGGGATGCCCTGGTTTCTGGCAGCCGCAACGCGGTCAAACGCAGTCAAGCGCAACTGTCTGAACCAGGCTTACGGGGCGTCCCTTTTGGCTGCCCGATCTTTCATTACGCTCTCGTTGCTTTCCGTCGTGCTTCGGCTGCGCGAGCATGCTCGAGGATCACGAGACGCCGAGGCGTCGTCGAAGGCCTACGCTTCGTGGCGGGATATAAGGTGGGATAACTGAAAGACCTTCCTTGCGTTCTCGTCCCGTCGGCGATTACAGTATTGTAACTTGTACATATTGGTTGTTGCTTTTTTACAGCGGAGCTGTTGAGGGCTAGTTTTCCCAGGATCGTGTCCCCCGTAAAGAAATGTCGACACAAAACTCTGGTTGCCGCCGTCGCTCATAATGGCGGTAGCTGTCCAAAGTTGTGTTTGCCGGTTGTCCGCTTGTCACCGTCGCTCATAGATGGCGCCACCTTTCGAGCATATTCACTTTGGCTTGCCGACTTGCGGCCGGCCATTACTTCATTCACACCATAGTACAGCTTCGCTGGTCTTCCTTCTTCGCCAAAGTGGAAAGGCTAAGAGTCTTCCACTGTTTCTCAATGAGACAACGAAAGAGGGTGGCAGTTTAATCAGTATCGAAAGTGGATTGTCACGGCGTCGCTCGTTGTCTTTTCGAGTTTTTTACTTCCTGTGCAAAAACCAAACACGCCCAGAATAAAAAGAAACAAGTGCAGGGTCGTGGCGTATTCACTGTGCATGGTTGGTTCAGTCGGTGATATAGCAAATAAAAAAAAGCGACGAGCGTCGTCACGACGCTCTTTTGGCACTGTTTGATTGGCTCCGTCAGAACGCAGCGTTGGCTTAGGTGAGACATAGAAAAAAACAAAAAAACTAAAGGTTTCTTTTTTTTACGACTTAGAGGTGAATTGTAAGGTGCGAGAATTGGATTCGAACGTATCAATAAAACCGAAAAACGAAAACGCTGGGTGTGACGTCGTACATAGAAATGCCTTGAGCTTGTGAGGGATTACGTGCAGCGTTTTCGGTTTTTCGGGTAATTGGCTCACGGAATGCACAGAAAAGTTTGAGTTCTCCGTGTATAAATACGTCACGATTCTCCCCTCCTCACCAAACGCGCTGGGAAGGAACGGGGCTTCGGCGCTATTTTTAAAGTGCCCTTGTGGTTACCCGGCGCATCAGTCTGTAACACAATTTTGATATTCGTGACCCTAAAGCCCAAATAAAGACAATTTAGGTGGTCTTTTTCATATACAAGACCGTTTTTATTTACCCTTCAAAATGAAACGGACTGAGCCCCGCAAACGGGGAATGCAATAAAAACAACAAACGCCTCATACTCATTGCTAATAGACTTTTTTTTTCTTTTTGTGGTGATTATGCGCTCGTTCGAATAACATACTCGAATGTTTCAAATAAGGCATACGAGTAAAGAATCTGTCTCTGTACTCTATTGTGCGCCTCGTTGATGCACCTACGCACAACACAGTTGGAAGCTGCACTCACTAACAACCTCAGAATCGCCTGGCGTAGTTTATCATATTAGCTAGGCTTCGAGATTTGCTCTTTGCAATTTTGATCAGCTGATGCAGCGTTCTCATTGGCTCTAGAGGGATTTTTTACCCTTAACAGGTTTTCTTTAAAAACGCCTTGAAAGCTATACTTATTCGGTTTGTGCAGGTGAGAATTATATCGCCAGGGGAACATAGTAGATGCTACCAATCGTAACAACCATAAGATTTCAATTGGAAACTTGCTGAGCGTCGTCGAAAACATCTATATCAGTCATTTTTAGAGAGAGTTTGAGCACGTGCGGAGCGTAGTAGTGCGCAAAATTACCAATCGTCGAGCACGAGCAAGCATACAGGCGCGATGACTCGCTCGCGCGATTTTTCCGTCTCTTATAGACGCTTAATTTATACACGCGCCAGAATACAGCCGCCATTACTGACCTTCTCTTGTTTTACCGAGATACCGAGCCACTGAAATTTGTGTGGACGAGCCTCCACAAAGGCCAATGCTGGGGAGAAAGACAGAATAAAATCTAGGATGGCAATGACCAAGCCTGCTGTGGTAATAATGAAGTGAAGTAAACGTAATACGGGGAAACAAAAACTGAAGGTCAGTTATGGCGGCGCCCATGCACAGCTGCTGCAAAGCGTCTATAGACGCTTTACACACGCGCCAGAATACAGCCGCCATTGCTGACCTTCTCTTGTTTTTTTGCCATACCGAGCCACTGAAATTGGTGTGGACGAGCCCCCACAAAAGCCAATGCTGGCGAGAAAGACAGAATAAAATCTAAGATGGCTATAACCTTGCCTGCTATGATAATAATGAAGTGAAGTAAATGTAATAAGGGGAAACAAAAACCGAGGGTCAGTTATGGCGGTGCCCATGCACCAGCTGCTGTAAAGCGTCTATATCATAACCTCAGCCTTGTACCTGTTGCGCTTCCCACGCGCTCGAAGTATTTCTAAAAATTACTGATTTAGTAGTTTTCGAAGACACTCGGCAAGTCTCTAGACGGATCTCACAGCCAGTTTCATTGCACCACCACTGCCGCCATGCATCGTGGGAGCTACAGTGTTTCTGCACGCAAGGCAACGCCGCTGAGGTATTTGCGCGAGCACAGCACGAGGTGGCACGAGCGGCCTCGTGAACTGGCGCCCGTGTCCTCTGAGCTACAGTTATGGCGTCACGCATGAGTAGAACGCTTAGTGAGATCGGTCTTTCAGAATCATATTAGCGGCGAGATGTTTCGGTGGCGTCCTCATTCGGTTACCTTTCGTGACGTCATTACTTTGTGAACAACAAGCTCGAGAGTGTTTGTAATGGGCATCGCGGAAGTCTGAAAAAATAGCGTTCTCAAAGCAACGCTTCCAACACCGTCAAAATTGAAGTTCTGACATTCCTCTTATTTTCGTCCATGAGACATCCTTTGCTGACGTCATAGTCAGCATTCGGCCAATTGTGGCGGGCCAACCACAGCGACGCTTTCGATCGCTCGCGTCGCCAATAGCCGGGTTCACACACTGCTTATGCATCATACAAAATACAGCCTGCAAACATCAGTCACTGCGATATCAGTGGTTCAAACGCCGCGTGCGAAGTTTCTCTTTGAACTCCTTGCCATGCGTCATTCAAAGCACGGATCTTGCGCTGACTTGTGTTCGAATCTGTTTGCAGACTGTCGTTTGTATGATGTATAAGCAGTGTGAGACCGGCTTTACTCTATTTTCCCTAACCAAAGAGTTTATTCACAAATTTTACTTATTAGCCGATTGTTTACTACTAATAGCCCTCTTATACTATGTCCCCCTGGCCGTATAACTGACCTGTACAAACTGCATCAGTGTAGCTAGTATATATAACTCCTTGTATATATAACTCATTGTATATATAGATCAGTAAAATATTCTTTTTGGAACTATTACGGAGGTTCATGAAGCTGGGAGAGAATGAGGCCGCTTTGAAAAATACAACGTTCGAAACCCATCAAAGTGCACATTTTGTGAGCGCACTGCAGGCTTATGAGATAATATATTGCAGTACACAAGTGCTGAACACTGTTCTGCGGAACACATTTGCCGCGGACTTTGTCGCCAAAGAGGTTCGTTTGGTTAGTGAAACGGTCCAGGCGACCTAAGCCGTTTAAACTTCTTTAAAGCAAAGTGGCCTAGCCAGTCAGCTAAAGCAAACTGTCAGTCAGAAAGTCCCCACCAGGTGGAATCCAAAGGTATCCATGCTAAAGTTTGTCTGCTTCCAGTTCGAAGGGGTCGTCTGGAATCTGGAAACAATCCAGTGATGAAAAGCGTGAACAAGGCAACAGTCAACAAGTTAATCGAGTTCCTGCCACCCTTCAAAGATGCTAGCGACGGGCTCGAGGAGAAAGTCCAACACTTCCTTTAGTCGTGCGTTACGCTTCCGCGTTGAAGAAACATCTTGAACATGCGCCGGTGTCTTCCGTAGACGAAGTTGAAATCGAGAAGATGAAGGCCCGTGCTCATCATTTCCTGGCCACGAAGCTGAAAATTTTCCTCCTCCGCAAGACCGCCACATTTCTCTGGCCTCAGTTCCGCCAACTGCACATGTTGCCTGAAGACGAGCACCTTGAAGCATACGCCAACATCAGAGAGCCACCTGCCCATATCGCTGAAGCAACACGACCCAAGATGAAAATGAGACTAATGATGACGTTGGAGAGCCCGCTTCCAAAAGAAGGTGCCTGGGTTTGTTTTAAGACCGGTCTGCCTTGTGGGTTTCGTTACGCTCATCTGAAATTAAGCAAAAAAAAAAATCCCACACTATGTTACTACTTGATCTCCAATAGACGGCACCACTGTGTAAAGCAGTTCCTCAATTTTACGAGCCCACCTTCCCATCTCGACCTGAGGCTGCTCCTCAAAACTCCTTTCTTGATCGAAATCTCCCCCTTGGTACCTTGTCCCGGAGTACCGCACTCGAAGTTACACCGAGTGGTCCACCCTGCCCCCTGAACGCCCCGACCACCGCAGTCAGATCCTGGGCCTTTTGCTTTGTGCGAGGGGCTAATCTCACTCAGTGCACCCATATATAGTCACCATCTTTTCGTCTATTTCTGTTCCCGCCCCTCCAGCTCGGATGTCATTAGCCAAGAAAACAGGAGTGTGTACCTTCTTCGTGTGAATAAACAACGTTTCCGTCGTTGTCGTCAATTACAAGAGAAAGAACTACATTCGACGCAATTAAATGCATATGGGCAAATCAACCTTAAATTCAAAATTTGAAATGAAGTACTACAAGCGAGGTGCAGCGTTGCAGTGGGTGACCATCTTGCCAGCGCATCTGCTGTGGAAGTTCAGTCCACACCCTACGCGAGAGCAAAAAAAGAAAAAGAAAGTAACGTTTCAAATGAGAAAAGGATAGACACATCTTCCTCATTCAAAGAAAAAGAAAGAATATTCTTAAGTTAAACTTTTTGTACTGGAAAATGTCTTAAAAACCTTAAATTATTAAAAGACAACTTCGAATGCCCTTGCTTTCGGCGTACCACGGACCGATGCGTGTAAGCTGACAGTCCTCGTTCACAATACCACACACACTATAGTCATTGGCAAGATGACACCGGCAGGAAGGAGCGCTGATTGTCTCGCCTTCAGTGCGAACTTCCTACCTTCGACAATGCTTCGGCGTCCCGTGCTCCTCGAGCGCGTGCGTGGAGCAAAAGCACGGCGGAAGGCATGGAGGCCGTGCTGGAGGCCGGCTGTTCCAAAGACACGCCCTGTCTATCTCACTCTGTCGGCGACTATGGCCTTATAGTAAAGAGAAACTTTGGAACGTAAGAGCAACCCCGGGTTGCTGTTAAGCGGTACCCCTTTTTTGGAGGAGCAGTGAGGGACAGAGGGGCTTCGGCTGCCGGCGGGGCGCGCGAAGCGGCGTGTACGGGTGGACCAGGTGTGTTAATATTTTTTAATGAGCCATCCGCAGGCAGTCACCGCGAAGCGGCCCAATCGGAGAAGCCCGGGGGAGGGGGGGGGGGGGGGGGGCGGGGTGTTAACACGCGCCCCAGTGATACACCCGCCGTGCCCCACTGCACCTCTGAAATTGTGACCCTTCCTAAAGGCCGCCATAAAACCTCGGTATTCTGCGGGGAAGGTAATCCTCTCAGCGCTCCCCTCTCCTCACCCGCGAGGGAAGCCAAATTGAGGCAAGGTAAAAAGTGGAGAGGATATAGGAAATGAGGAGGCGCCAAAGTGGAAAGCGTGAAGTGAACGTCGGCGGCCTCTAAGCTAACATTTTTAACTGTTGCCGCACTTGGCTTTGATTCCTGTTTTATTTTCATTTGTGACTTTTTGTCGTTGTGACGAGATCCTTGTTAATCATGTAGAAAATGCAAGGAAATTGGTAAATTAACGCAGCTTCTGGAAGAAATCGTTTGTGTCAAATTATTTGCCCTATAGCTTAAAAGTGTTTTAAAATACCATTTAAGGTATAAACGTCGCCTCCTCCCTACCGGACTTGACCCCCGAGAATCCAAATAGACTTCAATTCAATTCAAGTGTCGGAAGCAAACGAAAAATACATTCTAAATACTCACATCTGCACTTTAGTCCCTGTCGATACAGCCCGAAAAGCATAAACCCACAAAGGTTGCAGAACGTAGGAAACTTGTAGTTGTGGACCGTTAGCGAGTGTGGTAGTGTTTGCACGTCGCCGCCTGTGTGGTTTGCTTTGAGAAAAGGGGGGGGGGGGGGGGGGGGGGGGGGGGGGGGGAGACGTCAGCATTTTTAATCGCTGAGAGCTTAAAAAAAGTAAAACGTGGCGAATCCCAATCATTCCATCATCGCTGAAGAGTCAATAAGATGGCAGCATCAGCGGATAGGATTTTCAAAGAAACAACCACGAAGGAAGTAGCATAAATAGACGTACTGCTAAATTTCCCAAGCATCAAGGAGGGTGCAGGGATTGGTGTTCCACGCGCCACACGCACGCCTTCCCCGTATAAAAGATAAGTAAATAACCAAAATACAGCGTTGGCGAACCCGCGTGCAAGATTCAATTTGTTTTAGGCATTTGCTTTACAAAAGTTACTGCTGAGCCTGAGGCCAGTACGTGCGGAGCGTGGAACACCAACCCCTGCATTCTCCTTGATGCTTCGGCAATTTAGCAATAGGTCTTATAACATATTAAACAATGATCTGCGTTTCTTGAGCTGCTATTTTGCAAGACTATATATAGTCTCGGGCAGCTTAAAGGTGACCTGAGGAGGTTTCTGAGATCGCCTAAACGTGGCGATAACTCACTTTCCGGGATCTAAGCATCGTAGAAATCCATAAATACTAACGATGCGCAGCCGATTTCCCTATTAAAAGAAAGCAATCAAAGATCGGAGTTATCTCCAGTGATGAGAGGAGCATTGCGCTTCAGCCAGGACAAGATACGACCAATGAAAACGCGGCATCTTGTTGAGATTCGAAACGCTGGTATTACAAAAATCTGTAGACTTTTGTAGATGATAGAAACAGGTAAGAGGAGTCCAAAAGATTTAATTTCTAGCGGAGAGGGAAAACAGTACTGCAGTAATCTTCTCAGAAACAGCAAACTATGGTTGTTGTTATTGTCGTTTTGATTGTTGTTTTTGTCTTCCGCGGAAGTGATGTGTCAGGTCGTCAACTCTCAAGCACTCAAGCACGCACCCGCTGGGTTCAATCGTAGTCCGCGCGCATTCGAGATATCACTCCACGGTTCCATCGGGCGGAGGCCTGAGGATCCTTCGCTTGCCATCGACTGACAGTGGTCCTGGTTTCGGAACATGCGCTCCACCCATCGCCGGAGATGAAATCGGTGTCTTTCTATCGTCGATTGTTTATTTTCATTACGAAAATCGGCCGCATTTTGTCATGATTTAGGTATTTCTAGGTTGCTTATAGCCAGCAGAGTGAGTTATCACCTTATTCTGGCGATCTCAGTAACCTCCTCAGGACAACTTTCAGAAACACAAGGGCGTGGCTTATTATGTTAATTTAGGCTACCCGCTTCGTGATTCGCTGTGCGGCGTTCTTGCCGGCTAACGCCGCAATATGATTAGGTGCGAAGCGATAATGAGATCCTCAGGAGTCGGGACTCACCTCGCTCTGCATTTCTTGAGCTGCGAGAGACCATAGTAAAACAGACGATATCGGATTTGCGAATACGATTGCTGGCCAAATCAAACTAGACATCTTAAGGCTGGTTCAGGCTCTGGGCTGGTTCTCACACTTCCGACTGCTTACGACCTGTGTGCCTTAAAAATTCTTAAAATCTTTCGAACACACTGGCGCCATCTATCGGGTACAGCTGTAAGACAGTTTCAGCTTTCGCATAACTTTTTTTTTCTGCGCATCATTTTTTGTTGTTTGAGACACTTTTGTTAGTATTATAAACGGCAACTTTTTCATAGATAGTACGTACATTTGATCTCGCAATTACTACAAGACCATCTCTTTGGTGAAATGCAGTTCCAGGGTCGCCTCATAGATAGCACCAGGGTGCCGGTGTTTGTCCTCTCGCTGTAAAAATATCATAAGAGCTTGGTCCTAGGCGAACGGAAGTGTGTGAACGAGTCCTTAGTTGAGAAGAAACAAACAGCCTTCGTTTTATTACATAAAAAGGGGATGGCCTCACCTAAGACGACGACCTCCAACACAGCGCCCTCCGTTATCTTGAAAGCCGCCGTGAGAGGTAGAAGGACGTTGCCGCTTTCGTAGTTGTGCAGAAACAAGAGCAGGCGTTCATTCAGTCGATTCAGACCGTGCTCCGGAGACTGCAAAGGGGCAAAGTTTCTAATAGGGTATTCAAGAACGGTGCTAATTCGAGAAATTGTTTTAAGGAGCGTTGTTTTCAGTTGGCAGGCTTACACCTACATTGATCGTCAATAATTCACAATGGACCGTCCGATTAAAATAATGTGGCTCCTTTTCAACGTTTGCAACTCTGCGTAAATATTTGCGTTGGATCATTCTGTGAATCTCCAGTAAGAATCTAAGCAGTTTTTTTTTTATATGTTCGTGCTTTTGTCACGTTGAAATCCTCTTTTTGTGACTGCTGTAAAAGCAATAAAAAAATTAAGAAATTGAGAATTTACGTTCTTATTACTAGCCGGCGTTGCTGTTTTTGTTTCGTTTTGTGTTCATATAAATACGATTTTTGTGTATTCACACCTTTGCCTCGCAATATTATCGCCCAGATACAGCGAAAAACGTGAATTGAGAAGAAATAAAAATTTCGGAAATCTTTGACCCAGAGGACATCAGGACACAGATTCTATTTGCGTTAGATATGGAAATCATGCTGGATAAAACAATGTGCCTCGCTAGAAATAAAAGTAGCTAAGGCTAAGGCAAGAGCAGTTTCGTGACAGTACCATAGAATTAAAACAAAATTCACCGTCTGCTTGGAGAATTCACGTCTATTTCGATCTACTTTCAAACTGTGTCCAAATGAGTTTCCCCAGACCACACTCCCAAAGTAGTCTGGGAGTTTTCTTAGACTATACTCCCGAACTACTCCCCCTCCCCTCTCCACACACACACACACACAAAAAAAAGTCATTTGAAAGGGGCGGTGCAACGATTTTATGATTAAAAGAATTTGCATCTCGTCATTTTTACGTTGTTTATCGTGTCCCGGAGGATAGAGAAAATACCTCCATCATTAAAAATGTCGCGATTCCGCTGCATAATCACAAACCAAAAGTCGAGCTTTTTCCCTCACCTGCAGCCCCAAGTGGCAGTCGAAGGAACTACGGCAAAAAGATTACGTGACCTCGCTCGGCTCTAGGCTGCAGCCTAGCTAACGCCCGCTACGGTCAGCAGAGAGAGGGAGGGGAAGCGTCCTCCGAAATAGCACACGGGAACCTACACGGCGCTCCTAATGACGTCACTAGGAGTGCGACCAGGTGTGACCCTGAAGGCTGGGAGTGAGTTGAGGGGTGCTCGAAATGCCAATATTCATCTTTTTTTACGCAACAACTAGGACACGCAGGCGAAATCGGTTTTCTGTTCTTTACTTCAGAAGTGTCAGTGGGCAACTTCCAGAAATCTTTGACCGAAGTCCGGAAATCGTTGCACCCCGCCTTTAAGTGCGTCCTTTTAGCACCGCCTAGCTCGCGACGCTAGCCCTCGACTCCGCCAAGACGGGGCAGTGACAAGGTGTCGCAGCAGATCTCGTGTGTGTTTCATGTACCTTTGACTTGGCACGATTCACTTAGCAAGTATTCGCAAAATTTAGCAGAAACTATTACTCGCTAGCTTTAGAAGGAATAATACTGTGTTTAGATTAGCGTCACGTGGTGTCATTTCACATCACGTCAGAGTTTTCTCGCTAGCGGAGAAATTTTCCTGCTAACTTTAGCGGGCAATCACAATGTCCCTGGGTTTTGACGTCAAAGTGTCACGTGATGTCATCTCACATGACGTCCCAATTCTTTCCCTTTATTTTACGTAAACATTTCTCTACTGACTTCCGTGAACAATCAAAATGTCACTAGGTTATGACGTCACGGTGTCATTTAGCGGGGAAGTTTCATCGATACATTTAGCGGAAAATTTTACTTGCGATATCCAGAGGAAAAAGATTAAAGCCGTTTACAACTCCCTGTAACGCCGAATTAGAGCGCAGCTCTTGAGGAGGAGGAGCCAAGGCCACAAAGGTCACGTGACCACCCCTGAGGTCACGTGACCCCCTCCCCAAAACCACGTGGGGGTCACGTGACCTCGGGAGGAATCACGTGACTTAAGGGGGTCACGTGACCCCCAGGTCACGTGACCCCCAGAGAAAATTTTCTTTTAGCGGGGAAATTTTTCCGCTAAATTTAGCGGGGAAATTTTTCCGCCATATGTAGCGGGGAAATTTTTCCGTCAGATTTAGCGGGGAAATCTTCCCGCTAGATTTAGTGGAGAAATTTTTCCGCCAGATTTAGCGGGAAAATTTTTCCGCTAGATTTAGCGTGGAAATTTTTTCGCTAAATATAGCGGGGAAATTTTTTCGCTAGATATAGCGGGGAAATTTTTCCGCTAGATTTAACGGAAAAATTTTTCCGCTAGATTTAGCGGGGAAATTTTTCCGCTAGATTTAGCGGGAAAATTTTTTCCGCTAGATTTAGGGGAAATTTTTCCGCTAGATTTAGCGGGAAAATATTTCCGCTAGATTTATAGGGGAAATTTTTCCGCTAATTCCGCTAGATTTAGCGGGGAGATTTTTCCCCTAGATTTAGCGGGGGAATTTTTCCGCTAGATTTACCGGGGAAATTTTTTCGCTAGATTTAGCGGGGAAATTTTTCCGCTAATTCCGCTAGATTTGGCGGGGAAATTTTTCCGCTAGATGTAGCGGGGGAATGTTTCCGCTAGATTTAGTGGGGAAATTTTTCCGCTAGATTTAATGGGGAAAATTTTTTCCCCTAGACAGCGGGGAAATTTTTTCCGCTAGATTTAGCGGGGAAACTGTTCCGCTAGATTTAGCGGGGAAATTTTTTCTGCTAGATTTAGCGGGGAAATTTTTCCGCTAGATTAAGCGGGGAAATTTACCCATAATGCACCGCGCGGTTACGCCGACGGCGACGCCGACGCCGCTCAAGCCGGAAACGGGCGCCTAAGAGCTGCGCTCTAAAATGTATCCTCACGGATGGACGGATGGACGGATGGACGGATGGACGGATGGATGGATGGATCGACGGACGGACGGACGGACGGACGGACGGACGGACGGATGGATGGATGGATGGATGGATGGATGGATGGGTGGGTGGGTGGATAGGTGGGTGGATAGATGGATGGATGGATGGATGGATGGATGGATGGATGGATGGATGGATGGATGGATGGATGGATGGATGGGTGGGTGGGTGGGTGGATGGGTGGAAGGATGGATGGATGGATGGATGTTAATGGCTATATCCTTTGTAATGGGCTGTAGCTTGCGCCACCTTGCCTAAGTCTAAAAAGACTGCGAATATTTTTTTTCTCATTGTTGCCACCTTAGCAACCCACCCTGGTGCAGAGGAAGTTGAAGGCCCTCCTGTGGAGCGACACCAAGTTTATGTCACGAGCGTACATCTTCACGGTATCCCACAATGGGCCTGACTGCAGCCGAAAGGTGACTTCCGCATTTGGAGCAACCTTAAACAAACAAAACACGCAACAAATCCATTGTCAGGAACAGTTGAGTCTGGTACAAGCATTTGCATTTCGTTCCCAAGGAGTCCGTTGTGCAGCCTTGTGCTCCCTTACTACTAGAGAACACACCGGTACGCTGGCGCAATCTATGAGCCAGCCCTGGAACTGAACTTAACTATACACTAAAGATTTCGCTGTATTCGTGGGATCAAAAGTACGTTCTACCTATGAGAAATAATCGTGTAATATATATAAACGACCATTTTATTGTCAAAATGCATTTTGACAATAAAATGGACAAGCGTTGTCGAAATGAAGTTATTGACAATGTTGTAAACGTTTTTAACATTTTAAAAATATTTTCACGCCCATGGTGGAAGAACGATGCCTATAAAAAAATATGAAATATTATACGAAAATCGGAAGGGAAGAGCAGGGATCCACTAATGATGACGTCATGAGCAGTCCTTGTCACCTCGGTGGTATTGACTATATAGTGACCGACTACTTCAGAAACGCAGGGCCTTTCTTAAGTTGTCGGTGTGTTGATAGTGTTCGTGCTCCTTCATTCGGAATTCCTTTTTCGGCGTTTTGATCACCTAATAGCGCAATTTCACTGCGTGTGAAGGAAGAGTAAGATTTTCCGGAGCTCGCAGTGCCATATCTTTCTTAAGTGGTCAGTTATTATACCCGCATGCCTTGGAGTGGGGGGGGGGGGGGGGGGGGAGGGGGGGGGGTTGCAATCGAGTGTTCTAGTAGGAAAAGCTAAATTGGGATTATATATAGAGGCGTGATACTTGCCCTAATCTAGATCGAGCTGTGTAGTGCCCAGAATGCACTCTGCTTGTGGACAGTGTGTATATTTGCCAAAAGACAATCACCTTCCACCAAATAAAACAAAACAAAAATTACGGGTGTCAATGAGAAAAAAAAAACAAGCTAAAGTGCTCTGTTCCGAGTCTCGTAGGTAAATTTTAGGTTTGCGAAAATTTAAGCAGGCGCGACATGGTATTTGACCTTTGATAGGTCACAGGGTAGCGGAGTTTGGGAGGTACTAGGTTATGGGTGACTTGTTTTACTGCTTCGAAAAAAAAAAAACGAAAAATAAATTTACATGAAGAAATTAGTTATTTCGTGTCCATGTTTGGAACACGTTTTCCCTTTCATTTTCTTTGTTGCATTATGTGGCCCATAGTTCGCATTTAATTCCTTAAAATGCGATGTTCATTACAAGCGACATCGTAAAAACAGCAAGCGGATAATCAATAATTGGGCAAATTGTCCTTACCTCGGGCTGCCGTTCAATAGTCGCTGATGGGCGTCGGCGGCGGATTACGTCAGCCTTTTCGCAGATTGTCAAGTGGTTTTCAAGGTTGTAGCTCTTCACGGGTTTCTGACAGAACTCGCAAGGTATAATCACTCTGTCGCTGTTACTTTTCATTGTGGCTAGATGTTGATCCTGACAAAAAGTCACACACATCCGAAAAAGATTTGAAAAAATGTCACATGCTGTGCAACTTAAACATAGTCAGTTTGTTTTTGTTGCTCCCTTTTTTGGTAACATGCACAAAATATTTTTGTGCTACAATATAAGAACCACCAAGTCTGCTTATATTGCTTCGATTTCTTCAACGTTATCTCGCCAAAAATTTATGTTGTAGTCCATATCATTTTTAATTCTTTTTTGACACTTATCAGAAGTGGTGTCAGAACAGAGGAAAAAGGGGGGGGGGGGGGGGGGGGGGGGGGGGAGTCATCCCTTTTTTTTAGATACATCAGACACCTCTAAAAACAGTTCCCTAAACCTCTCTATTACTTCCGACCCCAGCTGTGGTTACGATTCAACAGAACCATCCAAGCTGCGTCAGAAGTGCGTCGGTTTCTTCGCAGGTTCGCTATCGACCGCTAAACCGATGGCACACAGAAAAAAAGTGCACAATCAATCGCTCTCACTGTGCGTGAAGGGTTTAGTCGATGATAGTGCCACCTTCTGTCGCTTCCTTCCCCCTCCTCCTCCCTCCTCTCAAAGCGCGTTCACACTTGCGGAAAACTCTCTCGCCGCCGACCGAATTTACGTTCCCATTTGCGGCAACCCGCCGAATTCTGCGCGGCTCCGGTCCATCACGGGTATACCTGAGCAGGCTGCCCCTGGCTCGAGCGGTGTTCGAACAATAGCTCTCGCAGGCTTCCTCTTGCAGTAAACGCTAATCCGCAGTACCCAGAAAATTAACAAAATTCTCTCGGCGATATGAGAAGGCAAGAATGAAATAACGAACAAACGGAGGCAACGTGTGTATGCATACCATTCTCACCAATTCTATTCCACGGATCTTCTTCGTGGGCTTTTCGATTTTTTCAGGTGCCTCTTGTCGAACAGGGACGAAGTATCGACAAGCATTTCTGCCAACACACCGATACTAGCGAGACGGCGCCATTTTGACACAACTCGGGAACTCCGACAACTCCGGAGGCGAACTCCAACAACTTCGGGCGACTCTGGCAGGATGTGACGACAGCACACGACATTTCCTTCCTGTGCTCTGATTGGCTGCGGCGGCGTAAAAACTTTTTTCTGCGCGGGAAAAATTCGGCTCTCGGACCAGTTGCTCCCGCGGACGAATATTACGTCACCGGCAAGGGGATATTCGCCCTCTTGGCGTGAATTTCCGCGTGAAATCGCCTGCGGATCCGCAAGTGTGAGCGAGCCCTTAATTCCCCGACCACTTCTAGCGGAAGCATTTCAACTTTACGAACGCCAACTTTTCGCTGAGGGTAATCTTTTCCGTCATGTTGGTTCACGCTAATGCGTTGCCAAAACGTTCTTTTTTTTTTTTTTAGGAAGTTGTGGTTGCCTATTATTTTAAATGAAACTACTATTTTACAATAAAGTAAAATTAACTATGCAATTGTGATATTGAAGTTCTCTTTTAACATTAAGCTTTAAATCAACGCGTGCAGTATGGAAATTATTCAACTTAATAACTGCGCAATAAAATGGGTGGAAACCTTCTTGCATAGCGGCTTCTTCGGCTTTGAATTAGTGTTGATGTTGAATCCTGATATTGCGTTTTTCCGATAGATCTAGAAAAACGTTATATCCTAGAATTCCCCTGTTCGCATCGCTTCCGAGGATTCCAAAACCAATATATTGTTATCGTAAGCTCCCACTAATTGCGGGCAGTAGGGAACTACAAATAAAAACGGAACCAAGAAAATCGACCATAGACTGCTATGAACAATGCACATCCTCTATCGTCGGTTTTAGTACTCAATAGAAGCTTTGTTGAAATGTTTTATTTCCATGGTGTCAATTATATGTTCAGTTTTGTATCTCTAGGTGGCAATGCTCAGCTCTTGGTGATCGTCGTTCGTCTGGTGGGTATATTTTCGTGGCCATGTATATGGTGCATTACAAGAAACAAGAAACGAATAGAAATGTTTCATTATGCCAATTAAGACAGAAGGAAAAAAAAACAAAGAAACCCAATCAAAGCGTTTTATTATGCCAATTAAGAAGGAAGAGGCCCAATATACTCGTCGTTTATGTGATGGTTTTAAATGCGATCGTTTTTCTTTTGCACTTAAACCCATCACAAATCTCATTCTCTGCGGAGCTGTAATATGATGTCCGGCGCTCGCTGCGCCCTGTCTTTATTCGAACTGTCAGTGTTGAGCGAGTGTAAAAAGAGAGTCCCTTTTTCTCACTAAACGCGTGAGAAAAACGGCACCCTCAAAAGGTTGCCTCCGAGATAACCTGCCCTTAGCCTACCGACAAAAACTGATTTAAGAAACCGCAATATCTAGTTCCGCATCACAGCAAACGTCGCACGATGTAATCAGGCAAAGCAAAAAATAGCGCTCAAGTATTCATGCATATGAGCCTTACCGTAGTGATGAAAATAATCCAACGGGCCGGAGCGAAATTCTGGTGACGCCAACCGAGAAGGCGTTACAGATCGGAGGCAGTCTACAAATCCGTTACATATATGTTCGGGTGAAGAGACGATAGGACCCGCTGCTTGAAGGCTGGCTCGACGGCAAACACAATGGCAGACGAAAGTCTGATAGTTCCTAAGCAACCCGACGGGAATCTTGACAAGAATGAGTTATGTGCTTGCCTGGAGCTCTAAACTCGTCGAGCACTAAGTTGAGGCCGAATTTTCACGGAGCGCACCGATTGGCTTATCATGACGATGAGTTCGCGCTTTTTTCGCCGACGTCCAATCACCGCGCTTCGCGAACTTTCGGTTTCTTCTTTGTGTTTGACGAGTTTAGGGCGCCTAGTGTACGTACGTTGTTCCGAACTCCGAAAGAAATCGGAAGATGGAATGTGTGCTTGATATATGCTGTGTCAAAAAGTATCAAAAATATGCATAGGAATGAACCGTTCTTGATCGGCTGAGACAAGTTCTACGCAGCAGCCAAAAGACAAGATCTTTGGCGGAGCCCGGATTTGAGCTCCGGGCCACCCAACATACCCGAAAGGATAGTGGGAGTGCCAGAGGTATCCCGGCTCCGCAAAAGATTTTGTCTTTCGGCTGCTTCGTAGACTAATTCGTTCGATTAAGTATGGTTCATTCATCTACTTACTTTTTGATTATATAGGGTATCTGAAGTCACCAGGCTCAATCTAAAATGGGCCGCAAAATTCGACGCCTGCACGAAGCAGTCTAAACTGTTCGTCAAAGATGCATTTCTAAGGTCCGTTTTGTCTTGTAAAACTGCAAAGGGTAGCTCACTTCTGTACAATATGGGGTCACAGAACTTGCCAGGGTCAACGGCGGGCGGCGACGCAAACGACTGAGTGGAACTGCGGGTCGCGTTTGGCGCACGTATTGATAGATGGCGCTACCTCCTTATCGAGACTGCTCGCGACGATTGTGATTCACTAGAATGGAGGTAATCTTTTTGTAATGTACTTTAAGGTTAAAAATAAATGCCGTCAATGAACACAAATCTTAAAGTAAAAAAAAAACACGGTCGCATAACGACGCTGTTTTTGTAGTCGATGGATTTTGTCTGCCTGTCGTGTGCTTTTTTTCGCTGGTCGGCTACACCTTCCGACGCTTGCTCCCGACGCCATCTATCAATACTTGCGCGAAACGTGACCCACCGCTCGACTCTGTCGTCTGCGTCGACGCCCGCCGTTGACCCTGGCAAGTTTTTTGGCAATACCTTTACAGAAAGGGAAGGCTACGCTTTGTAATTTAAAACAAACGTAAAAACTTAAACGAAGACAATTAAAACAGCATACGTGTAGGTATGCGACAGCATTCCCAGAAGCAGCGCACTCCTACAAGCAGCGCGCCACGTCTTCCTTTTTTACACGGCGCTCCGACGCAAACATCACGCTCGCCCACTGCGCAGGCGCGGCACCCCCGCCGGCTCCACGGCTTCCTTGCCGATGCATCTGCGTTGCTGTGCTTTTCTTTGTGTTTTATTTGTGAGGTGCGTCTGCTTTGATCTTGAGCATACCGCCGGCTTCCGTGACGAAGAGTCTTTGTTGTTCTGCCTTTGGCCAATGGGACCTTAGGTGCCGTTTGGCTCAGCCAATGGGAATTTAGGTACCGTTTTTCGCTGCTACAGACAATGGCTACCGACAACGCCGGCTTCGCCATGGGACAGTGAATGCTTTCGCATTAAAACGGACCTGTGAAATAAACCATTGTCGAAAAGTTCAGATTGCTCCGTGCAGGCGTCGATTTTTACGGTTCATTTTAGATCGAGTCTGGTGATCTCAGACACCTTATACGTATACTATACATAATTGAAAATATACAGATGAATGAACCGTATTTGATCAAATGAATCAGTTTACGAAGCCGCCGAAAGTCTTTGACGGAGCTGGGATTTGAACTCCAGATCTCCCAATATCCTTTTGACAATACGCGCCGCAATACAGGGACAGAAAGTAAAAGACACACCACTGCTACTTTCTATTGACTGTTTATTGAAGCAACACAAACTATATTGTCCAATATCCGGTCAGGTATGGTATCCACTACACCACTCCGCCTGGTTTTTCTGGCGTTTCATATCCAACTTACCAATATTAAAGGGGTACGGAAACAAAATTTTAGCGCCAAATTGGTCTCCTTTATGACAGCCACTCAAAAGCACCAGTCTTTCGTTCGTAAACGCAAGAAAAGCAGTCTTAAAACGAAAAGCGATTTCTCATTACTGCCTGGTAGCTCTGTGTGTGTGCGTGTGTGTGTGTGTGAGAGGGGGGGGGGGGGAAGCGGGGCTTCGTTGGAATGTTTCACGTTACGGGCCCATCAAGGGCAGCGCCATGGCCTGGCGTGTCTCATGGAGGCGCCCGGGGAACGAGCGGCGCTTGGCACACCTCTCAGATCGAGTACACCATACCTCGGGTATTCCCACTTGGCGGGATTGTAACGCGTTGACGATAGAGCTGGTCTCCAAAGAGGAAATAGTCGAAAACATGCAGATGAATAAACATACTTGATGGAATGAATCATAGTCTACATATATGCATTAACACTTGCGAATAGCTTGAAACAGCTCTGTCTTGCTTTGTATTTGAGGGAGGGGGCGGGACGGGGACTGAATGATCAGTGACGACCAGTCAAGCTTCTTGAACAGCTTTTTCTTCTCAGATCCCCACTATATTTACATTGTAAATAAAGCTAACATTTTCATCTCCTACCGTACACTGCACGACGTTGTTGGCGTGAACACGACTTCGACACTTTTTTGCATCTTACTTCGATAGAGTACTGGCGGAAAAAGAAATGTTTCCACTTGGGTTAGTACCCCATCCGAGCACTGCCCACCACTAGAGTATACTTGCAATAACGGTCCTTCAATTCTGAGTGAAAAACAGAAGGAAAATAACGCGAAATTAGAGAGCAGCACTTAAGGAGGAGGGGAGGGTATGTCCCTCCTCCTCCTTTGTCCGTCCGATGACTTGATGGGAAGACGGAAGCCGTTTAGGAATAAAATTTAAAATTTAGGGAATCTGGTTTCTTTGAGAAAAATCTGTTATTACGCGAACGATGTGCACACTCTTTTGAGATCTGGCCTAGTTCTTGAACAAGCCGTGCTTACTGTTGTGTATCTCAAAACCAAATCTGGGAACAGAGCATTTATTCTAAAAAGTACATATTAAAGCGTGGAATTCTTTATAGGGGAACACCCCACCCCCGGGAATTTTCCTGTTCGTTCCTCGAGAATTAAAGCTAGCATACACTCATCCCCCGCCAGGATTTGAACCCAGAACCCCTGGGTACCAAGTACGCTGCTCAATCTCTGCGCCAGCTTGACTTTATTTCTTGATTAGATCCACGCCCAGTTGTACTTTCTACACACACCGGCTTACGTCTCCTAATACAGATGCCATTAACAACGCTCTCTGTAGTTCATGGTAATGACGTAAGGAAATATCATGGCAATTATTCAATAATACGTCCAATTTCACTCCTCCAGTCATTTTGATATCTCCTACATACGATTAAAATGATCGCTCCATACTACTGGTCATCAGTGATAGAGGTCCTTGCCAATTGTACATTATTATCGAACCCAGATTTAAGAGTAGGAGTAACTAAAACCACGGAGAGCGTTTGCAGCTGATTGGCAGATACCTGCGCAGATTGGCCGCCAGTGCGCATGCGTTGCATCGTCCCGTGACAAGAAGGTGGAAGATGGGAGATGATTGCAGACGATCACCGCTTTCGTCCCTTCCTTGCAGCTTGTATTGTAAACGCGGTTAATCAACCACATGTAACCGATCGGGCAGTCGGTGACACTCTAAAATCTAAAACTATCCCCTCGCAATGCAGGATGCAGGGTTGCAATGACAAACTTGCACGCTCAATGGGATTCTGATTAAATTTCTGGCCAGCCCATTAAACAAACAACCGCTAATTGTCGCAGTGCCTGAGGAGGACAACGAGTCTTTGTCCACGACAGAGCTACGACGTTCGGAAGAACTTCATTTTTAATCAAACTTTCTGGCCTATCGCCAGTGATTGATACAAGAAATCGTCCATGTGTAAACGCAGCAAATGGCATGCCTAGACCGACGTGATCAAAGAACAAGTGAAAGAGCTGTTCACGCCTGGTCCACGTCACGTAGGCCGTTTAGCAGGTGTTCAAAAGGCCCAAGAAACGTTTCTAGGCGTTCACCGAGTTCCTCCTCTCTTCTTCGAGTGACTGGTTCCTGCGACAGCCGCTGGACATCGCCTTTGAGAATCTATCAGAAAAAGAGAAACCAGCAAATTAGAACATATGTCTCCTTCAAGAGCGCGGTATTTTACCCAAAGTTTGTATCCACGAACACGCGACTCGGACGTCGTGCCGCCTCGCGGTGGCGGTGACGTCGGCGCACGCGCATAACGCTGTTTTCGCGTAAACATCATTTCTGCGCATGCACAGTGCCGACATCTGGTTTTGGCAAAAAAGGACCCGACTGTAAATAAAACTTTGGTTGGAGCTAGTCGGTTCATATCGATTAAAAGGTTAAAAGGTTAAAAGGCGCGAACAAAGCAGGACGAAAAAAGAAACACGTACGCCTGTCCGCGCCTAGCAGTCCGTGTCGTACAAAGCTAAAGTTTCATATCAAAAAAAAAAAAAAAAAGATTAGAGAACTTTTAGGCTCGCCTTTAAGAGTGGAACGCGATAGCGTTATCGGGTCCCGTTCGCAAAGCCTTCTCATTCGCTTCTCGTGCTCAGAGACGGGAGTGCGCTCCCAGATCCGGAGATGCAATCGCATCTTCGGATCGTCCTGTCGCTGGCTGTGGCCTCCCGCTCGTTCCCAAGCCGTGCAAGCATTCCTTGCGTAGCCCAGCCGGCTCGCAATCGATGGGTCATGGGTTCGAATCCCGTCTAAAATTCAAATTTTTCTTTAAGGCAAATGAATCACTTTATAAAATGAAAATATTTGAGGCACGCGGCGACCGTTACTTCGCATTACATGTCACGTTTTGATCACTTTCATTTCACCCGTGACGTCACGTTTCACGTGAGCGTTCGTAGAAATTCCCGCTCGATGTCATGTGGCTGTGACGTCACGACCCTATCGACCAATACTGGATTTTAGCGCACGCCACTGACGCCGGCTTTTCTGCGACAAGAGCTCTTTCACGCTGTCGTGTTCAGACTTGTATCGTACGCATCACAAGTAATCAAATTACTTGTAATTGATTACTTTTTGAAGTAATTTTGTAATCATGTTCATTACTTTTATTAGGCAGTAATCACAAGAGTAATCTTATTACTTTTTGAAGTAATAAAAATTACTTCTAACCGTTACTAAGGCCGATGAGGCTGGTTAAAATATTCTGAAAAGAAAACGCAATATAAGTTTTTGAAGACGCTGCCGAAGTTTTATTAACATATTTGCTTTCTTTTGCGCTAAGGGGAGGTTAAATAGCTGACGGATTAACTTAATCTGTCATGGGTCGTATGCGTTCCGAGAGTCATGCCTTCCTGAAGTACACAAATAAATTAAACATCTGTATGCCGTGGTTTCCGATTACGCGTAAAGTGCACAACGAATATTTCTACGGAATTTCAGAATGCCTAAGTCCCCTAGGTATACATGCAACACCCATACTTTGTTTCCAGACTGCGCGCACACGTTTTCGCTTACCTCCAGATCATGCTTGTTAACATCAATGCTGTCTCGCATATCCACAGAATATTGATCTGCTTCAGACTGAAACGAGACCCGTCGGGACCTTTAACTTCACATATTTAGTATCTTCCATTTTATTAAGAGTACGCTGAAGTACAGATAAAAGTAGAAGTGTGCAAATGCTGGTTACAGTCGAATAGCGCTGTCGTACCTAGCTTTACCAGCGTTAACAATACCGGTTGTTGTGGCTTTCCCTTGCACCTTGAAGGTTATGAATGACGCCGCGCTATTTGGTTTGAACCGCTATTTGCACAATTAAAGTTAAAAACAATTGCAAGGCATATTGAACTAGATTTTTTTATTATAAATAGAATCTACCGTACCTGACGGTCTTCCAGTTCTCGTACTCTTTGTTCAAGTTTAGCATTTTCTCTTCGTGCCTCCTGACATACAAAAATTAAAAGAAAAACATCAGTCAAAATCATGTTCAATTCATTATACTTTTATTTTGTCCAGAAACACAAAAACATCGTCTTGAATAAATACAATTTATTTTCGAGCCACGCGCCCCTACTATTCTCCATATTATTACAACTACCTAAGATATATTTTATGTTGTAAATTGTTTTTGTTCAAAAACAGCCGTCACATAAGACATAAAACAAAGCCGCCATTCCTTATAAAATGGTTAACGTGGCTCGACACTGCATAACCAATAATATCAAAATTTTAATCAAAAACGGGAACAGTGGAGAAGGCGTATGCGGTTCTACTTGACCGAGATGTTTTGAGGAAACGTTCAGTTGAGAGTCGCGCACATTTTTCCGGCCATCGTTCTTTCAGAACCGCCTTTTTATACTTTACTTATTTAGTTTGACTACGCACAGTAAACAATGTGCATTAGTGATCCTTACCTGCAATGCCTCGTCCATGACGTTCAGCCGTTCCAGAAGAATTTCAATGTGCGTGCTATTTTGCGTGTGAGTCAATATTTCCTGCCTGGGTCCCTTAAAAAACCCATTTTACACAAATATTAATATATTTATTTTAATGTAAATACAAATGATGGGGAAAAAGTTCACAGCGTGGCTTTCTACAACAGTTTACCTACATGTATTCCGTTGTTGCTCAATATGACGAACCAACTTCGTCAAACCAAGCACGGATCCAGTTGACCTTTTTTTTCGTTATAATAAGTCGGTGTATAGGTAAAAATTTAGTATCTCAGTGTTTATAGAGAACTGATCGTTTGTAAAGGACACTAGAGAGTCAGACGTACGTGCATAAAGCTTACCCCGTGCCATGACCAAAAAAAGTATTGGTTGCAGTCTAGTTAAATTTAAATTATGCTTACATTACACGTGGTTCATTGACCGTCTGCTAAACCAGGGATTGTCGGAAATCAGCACACTCTACCTTAAATAAACCCTTTTCAAATTCCTAGAAAGCAACCAATGGAGGCCTCCGTCTCTTAAGCACGAAGCATCGGACTGGATTTGAGTCATCGCCGAATGATGACGCAGACCTCGTGTCCAGTGCATGCTCAAGAATGTAATTCAGCTATGTCGAGCTCGGATAATTGGCGCAGCAGCTACAAGATGGTGCAAACTTTTTTAATTAAATATTCATTAAGTTTTATTTTTAAACTGGGATGTTTCCAATTTGGACAGTTTTGAACTGAAGGCCGTTGGGAGCACGTTTTATAACTGTAGGTATACTTTTTTATCTTACCTTGTAATCACATCCCAGATGTTTGTAAGGACAGTCTATCGGCATTCGAGGGCATTCCATGAGATGCACATCACGAAGCTGTACAAAAAAGTAAAGAAAAAGTAGGGAGTTAAACCTGCCAAATAATCGACGATTATTTGACCCGCCGCACGAAGGACTGAGGGTTAATTTCGAGCTTCCGGGGACCTTTCGACGGCGCAACCCAAACCCCGGTTGCACGTCGCATTCTCCGCAATACACGAACTCATCCCTGTTACGTCACGGCGCGGTGGTGGCTCGTCAGTCGCACTTCCGGTCTGGGGCTGTGGGCAGAAGTCCCCATGCCTGACGTGTATTGCCGCGTTGTTTTGAAAGGAACCTGAGAAAAACCTGCCTTCTCGTAAAAACGCCGCAACTGGGGCTGTACTAAAAGAGTCGAGATAGGTGTGAAGGCCAGTTTTCATGTACTCAGTTCGTCCGAGAAGGTGGATATGTGCAGTGAAAAGGAAAAACTAGACGCCGTCGGACCACGATTGCTTGGGCGGGAAGCAGTTTGGATTGAATTCACGGATACTTCTGGTCATCAAATGTATTTGTTTCGTTCTAACATGAACGGCGAAAAACCGCGAAGTTGTACGGACGCCCTGCGGACCACGTTCGGCGCGTCTTCAAGTTCAAAAGGGCCGCTTGACTCTTCGAACCGTCGTCTGCTCTTTCAAACGTTTTTGCTTGTCGTCTGTTCTTTTAGACGACACCGGCCCGTAGACCAAACGTGGGCCCGGTACCTGCGATAAGAAGTAAGCGCAGGCCTCAAAATACTCAAGTTTGAAGGTTGGTAAGCAGGTTCGATGTAAACAGTAGATAGACGGATGTATTGATAATTGTTACCAGTGGCCATCACCGACTTGTTTTCCCTGATTCCTTGGTCCGATTCTGCTCGAGATTTTCAGCATCGACGTCGACCATCTCAGCTACGGTTCACGCTTTTGCAGCCCGATCGACGTCCCGACTGAAAATTGCGAGCTAAATCTCATCATGCGAATCAAGCTTTAGCGTACATTCTGCGGCGTCCACACGGAATGAATCGCCGCATGTCACATTATTCACTCGAAGTTTTGCGGCGTAACGAGCCTCGGTAATTTCGCTGAGGCCGCTCAAGTAGTCAGACATCGCCAGGAAGACGTAGAATCTACAATTCGAACACGAAAAAGGGCAGGGGGACTCACACCGACGCCGACAACATCGCATTTCAATGGTTTGTTTATGGGCGACGGCAAGCTTCTTGCCCACACCCACATCGCGCATGCGCGGCGCCGGTGGAGTCCGCTAGGGGCGCTCCGGTTTGTTTGTAAACATGAGTTAGTGCATAAAGGTCCGTCAGGTTTTGGGCACACTTCGGCCGGGATTCGAACCAGCCACCTGGGAATACGTAGGCAGGCACTTTGTCTCGGATCAGCCAAGGCGGTCAAAAATGTTAAAATATTATACGCGGTTTTTTGTACACGCTACTTTCGACCTGGGTCGAACTTTTCCACTACTACTTCCCTAAAACGTTTCCTACCTTCACATATGGCTTTTGAGGTAACCCCTCAGCTCCAAGCATTAATCTTTCCAGAAGGTATTGTTTGAAGTTTTTTTCTCTATCCAGCTCCTGCTATCCTTTTTCTCTTTTTGAGCCGTCTCAAACTGGTTATATAAAATTTGTTAAAAAACGATCATGTAAAACCTTACAGTACTCCAGTACAGTATTTAGCAGTCGTTCAGTGTATTCAATTAAAATTCATCTGCTAGCGCTTACGCAGCTGTCCCAACGTTGAAGTGCTCGTTAAAATAGCAGATGGTGCTTATAATAGCACCATTAATTAGTAAAACCACACTTGATCTACGTGAAGTTTGCATGGTCGCTCACTCCATTCGGGTGATTTCATCTCAACTCAAACACAAATTTTGGATAAAATTTTTAATTTTTGTCAAAAAACTATACGTTCTCGGGCAATTAATATAATAAAAGGAGACCCAAACGGCGAGTTGTTCGGATTTTTGTTCTCAAGTTATGAACCATTGAAGCGGCAAAGGTGGAAACTGACGTTTTTCCAGCTTATCGGGGGCACCATATTTCACTCCATCCCTTTTCCCTTGTTTTTACGCTATATCAATATATCTTTTTGGGAACACTGGAGACATAGGCTTTTTTATGCTATTTAAGCGTCTATGTCCTAAGATCCTTAAAGTTTTTTTTTTTGTTTTTTTGTTTTTTTTAACTGTTAACCCGTCTCTCTGTGACGATATTTGACGAAGTTCAGCAAGCTGTGCTGTGTGACCCAATCAACGTATTTTTACAATCTTCACATAACCGTAAAGCTCCACTTAAGCTCTTTCTTTTGAAAATAGTTTGAATATTTTTCATTGAATATATAATGCGCAACATGTGTCCGAAAAACGAATATTTCGAAAAACTAGCAAATTGGGAGTCGGTTTCCTAAAAAAAAAAAGAGCATCTTTTTTTCTGTTTTTTTATTTAGAGTCAGGTAATATAGTAGTCTAAAAGTAACTACCAACAGAAATTGTAATATATTGTCTTTAATGGCCGCTATTAAGACTCGAATCTCGTGCTAAGGGCGTTTCGAACGGGAATTCGCACAGGCGCTCTGCTGAGCAGATTTTTGGCCTATGTAAGGTTTTCTATTTATCTTTAACAGTTATCTCAATATCCAACCATTAGAAACCTACTACTTACTTCTTTGAACGTATCAAAAGGTCTGCCGCAGTAAGTGCAATTCGCTGGTCGACAGTCGCAGTCATCAAGGTGATCCTGGGAAGAAAAGTATTGCGGATAATTTAGTCAAACGTCCAACCGTTATTATTATGGCGATTTTTTGTTTTTATATCAACAGCTTCAGAACTTGCGAGCACCATGTTTTTATTTTGTTTCCAGTTTGACTTTTGAATTTTAAAGTAGTGACAGCTCTTTATGGAGCCCAGAGTTATCTTGAAAAACAAGGAGGACTCTTAGCGTTGACTCGAAAGTCGGGATACAGAAAGATGGAGATGACTGCCCAGTTTATTATCAAAATATCAATGCAGAAAATCTAGATGCATTTGAAGCTGAGATTTGCCACTGATTGGAGCACGGTGTTGTCCAGTGTTTCAGCGGACGAGGCATATGATTACTTTATTAAGATTAAGATATATAAAAAGAGTTTCCCATACAAAAAAAAAAAAAAAAAAAAACAACTTACCCACAGGAAGGCTCGGAAGCCTCGGGTGACAAAGGAGATGATCAAAATGATGAGTAAAAAACACGCTTTCTACAACAAATTCGTTAAATTCAGGAAACCAGGTGTACTTGTGCTATTTAAAAAGCAGCGAAATGCTGTGACAAGTGCTTTGCGTAAGGCTAAGCGTACGTATTTTTATGCTGCGTTTGAAAATGAGCGACGAATTGATATTATATGGAAGAACCTTAACTCATTTCTGCGGCGTGGGCTTTTCGAGTTTACAGTCATGAAGCCTAACATCGGGGGGGGGGGGGGGGGGGGGGGGGGAGAGAAAGAGACGAGAGGTGGTTTGACGTTGGCTGAAATATTTAATGACTATTCCGTAAACATTGTAAAGAATGGTAACGCTGCCGATGAATTTCCATTTGTGAAAGGTGTCTCTGACACACTTTTTCTCGCCCCTACGGAAGCGGAGGAAGTGGCATCAGTTTTTATGAACCTTGGAAATAGAAAAAGTACTGACATAAATGGTGTTCAAATGAAACCTCTGAAACATGTATTAAATCAAATGCTCCTCTTTTAACACATATATTTTAATTTGGGACTTCAAAATGGCCCTTTTCCTAGAAAAATGCAAGCTGCAAAGGTTACGGTAATTTTTAAGTTTGGGGATAAAAACCACCTGGGAAATTATGGACCTGTTTCTGTGCTTCCAGTGTTTTCAAAGGGGCTAGGGAAAATAATGCATGCCAGGTTATACACCCTCTCCGAAAAACACTATCATAACATCTTGCCAGTTTGGTCTTAGGAAGGGGCATTCAACGGAACTCGCGCTATTAAAACAGAAGGAACTAATTTTAAACAACGTCGAAAGAAAATTGATTAACTTGGGGGTCTTCATTGATTTTTCAAAGGCTTTCGACCGTCTAAATCATAAAACTTTGCTTCAAAAATAAATGCATACGGGGAGCGAGGAACAGCCTCAGCAATGATCGAGAGTTTTTTTGTTTTTTTTTAAATATCAGCATCAGTGTGTCGTGATCGACAGTCAGCGCTCTAGCTTAAAGAAACTGATATCACGGGGGAGGGGGGGGGGGGGGGGGCAGGGGAGCATCCTTGGACCCCTTCTGTTCAACTTATACATCAATTATATAGTAAATATAGACGACAGTGCAGATTTTATAATTTACGCAGACGACACCAGTTTATTCTTTTTATAGAAAGTTGTGCACCAGGTTTTCTGTGCGGCAAATAGCGTTTTGCAGAGGATAAGCGACTGGACAATCTCGAACTCTTTAGTAATTAATACCGATAAGACGAAAGCAATACTTTTTCTATCCAAAAATACAGTGTTTTCATCTACTCAAGGGCTCTGTCTCCAAGGACAAAATATTGACTTTGTACAAAATGTGAAGGTTCTTGGTGTGATATTTAATGAGTACATGAGCTGGGACGCCGAAGTGCAATGCATAGCTGGCAGACTTTCAAAAGTTGTGGGCATTATTTATAAATCCCGTCACATTTTACCCCTTTCGGTCTTAATTCTTCTTTATAACTCCCTTTTTTACTCTCGCTATAATTACGGCTTCCTTGTTTGGGGTAGCACAACGGTTACAAATATGCATCACTTGCGTGTTCTCCAGAAGAAAATAATTCGAATTATGTGCAATGCGGAGTTCAACGCTCACGCAATACAACTTTTCAAAAACCTTCATATAGTTCCAATTACAGAGCATTATAATTATAAACTTCTTCAAACATATCAAATGTCTGTAAGGCAAAATCAACTTGTTTTTCTATCAATCGCCAATATGAAGCGGAGAGAGCCTGCATATGCAGACCGTTGTGTTGACATATGGTCAACGCCTCGCTCGAGAACAGGCTCCTCCAGATGTTGCAGTACTCGTTGCCTAATATTATAAACAAAACACATAGACTGGGCACGGATTTGATGAGTGTGAGCAGAAAGGATATTCGATCATTGTTTCTCTAGTGTTATTTGTGCCCATTCTTGATGGGACCTCCGACCTGCAAGAAATGTTCGTGATGTACGTCAATTCTTTTAAATCTGTGTTTTGATTATATGTAAATATTGTTCTACAGGTCACTAGTATGAAAAACAGTTTCTCTCGTTGCTGGTGGAGAGAAGAAACTCTGTCAAGCGACAACAGTTTTTTTTTTCTTCCTCCCCCTCTCCCCTGGAGACAAACAATAAAGTTGAAGTTGAAGTTGAACTAGCTCTACATCTAAGTGAGAAATAATGTATTTTTAAACATTTTATTTATGTGCTGATGTAAATATATAATTCATGCTTACAATATCTCTAACATTACAATTGTACAAACAAGATGAAGGGAAAGGAAAGAAAGGCCATGTCTATAATTCTTTTTTTATAGACAGATTCGGAAGTTTGGGATACAACATATAATACCCCATTCAAACTGCAGCATTGAAGTGCCTTTAGTGCAAGTCCCTGTTGTAAAAAAAAGTATAGATCTTACTCAAACGGCGGAGCTACAGGGAGTATCCTAGGACCCATGAACTCGAAATAAAAATTACAAATATATAAATGTGCGCTGTTCTGAGTCGTTATAAGAAATTACATATTACTAAGTAACAAAGTTTGAAATAATTTTAACACGAACGTGACTAAATATGCTAACAAGAGACACAAACTCACGATATACTCGGGGCTAACCTTGAGGGCGTTTTAGATGTAAATAGTGTGTATGCACAGAATTCATCGGCGCTCCATTTGTGCGAGCGCAAGGTACCAATAGCTTTGGCTCTATTGCCACAGAAAGTTGCCCCCAAGTATATACCTTTCTACTGTTTACAAAGACACAGTCCAGCGTGCGATCTTCACGGCACAGCACGTGCGTGTTCGTCGCTTTGGAAAGCGAGCGAAGCACGCACCACACGCACGAACACTCAAAATGGCACCGGCGGCCGCCCACACGCTCTTGTTTGGCAAGGTCTATACCAAGCAGCAGCGACGGCGTGGACCGTGGTTACAGTAGCAATGTCTACCACGAACGCGATGATCCCTTGTAAGCTAATTCTTGAGATGCTGACAAGTAGCCCGACTCTCCCGCCCAGGACAATTTCGCGACGTCGGGCCAGTCGGACAAGTGAGCTCGGGAGCAACTGCTAGTGGCGCCAGCCCCAGCGGCACCAAGAAGAATGGCGCTCACGTTCACTGGTCCGAGCCTTGCGGTTTTAGAAGGAATGCAATCAACATAAGCCCTGAGAAGATGTAAATGTGTTAAGCTACGTGGCGCAAGCTACCGCCAGGCATAAAGGTTATGGTCATGATACTACATGTCCATAGATCATTCTTCTATTTTGGTAACCGTGTGATACCGAACGAAATTTAATACAGGTTCCTTAATTAACTAGGGCACCTCAGCTAAAGGTAGCTTAATACTGCCGTGTAAATGGTGTATATATGCGAATTTCTGAACTGCCTAAATCTGACGAAGCTCTGCCGCGATCCTGCTCACAAACCGCATACGCTAGATGTGAGGGATTTATATTTTATGTACGCGCACGTGAGATCTGCGACTAAATATAAATTGACTTATTGAGTGACAACAAATGAAGTCCCGGAACGTATATCTTGCGGATGACTTGGGAAAACAAATCCAAGGTTGTGCCAGATTTCTAGCGACCCTATACGGCGGTGCAGCTGGGAAGACGCTACAACACACTGCAAAGGTACACTAGTGCCGTCTGTGCAGGCGAGGTTTACGGTTATGGGGACTTAATAGGGGGGGGGGGGGGGGTAATTGCGACGATATGCCAGATAGTAAACTAACATTTCAGAATTAACAACTCCATTAGCAAAAATAAACGTTTGATTTTAATTAGGAGCTCGCTGAGCGTCATCGAAAACTCCTGGCTCAGTAACTTATAGAAAGATTTGCAGCGCGCGCAAAGTGCGGCGGTGCGCTAAAGTTATCACTCCGAAAACGCAGAGGATCAAGAAGATGAACGCGTCATGGTGTAGTCATTCGGGTTTTCGCACAGCCAGCCTTGGGCCTATTGCACGAGTGGCAACTTTAGTTTGCCTCCACGCTTGCCACGTCTTTGAAATGTTTCTAAACTTGAAAATGTTGTGGTTTATGATAGCGCTCAGCAAGTTTCTAATTGAAAACAAAGGTTTATTTCACTAATTAAAAAGGTCACTCACAGATTTCAGGTAAATATTTGATTTTTCGTGAGGACTATCCTCCTCTATTATGTCCCCTTGGTCATGTTACTTATCTGCGCAGACCGCAATAGCCTTTCTTTCATTGTTTTTTTTATTGATATTAATCTCTTCAGATTAAAAGCAAACATTTTCTATCACGGATTTTCCTAATCCAAATACTGTTGGTACAAGCACCATACACATGTCGTTTTCCTTTTTCTTTCACCCCCACCTCCTTGTTGCTTCTCGTCTATTTCGCAGAACCACCGTTTAAAGGCCGACGTGCCGCCAGAAAGGAGGAAACTCTCCTCATTTCCTCAGTTCCTCCTTTCCTCTCGAGAAAGAGAGAGACACTCCTCCTTTCTGTAGTGAGTAGCTCAGTGGGCCGCTCCGGAGGGAGGGGGGAGAGAGGGAATGGAGAGGAGGAAACAGAACCGGTTTCCTGCCCGGCAGATTTTTTTAAAGTTGTCCTTTAATCTCTTTTTAGTGCACTCACTATGGATCCACAACCCTGAAAACCATATGCAAGGACTATAGTAGTATCAAACTAAGAAACACCCAAAAATATACTTGAAAAATCCTTACCACCAGATTACATTCCTCGATGTCGTTCTTACAGAACGGACAGGTCACCGGTCTCTTCGGGCAGGATGCCGTTATATGTGCAGCGTGCTCTTTGGATTCAATCAGCTCCCCACAGAACGCACAAGGTTTCCGCGAATCTTCCTGGCATGTCTGGTAATGAAGCTAAATATCGGTAAAAAAAAAAGAAAAAAAGAAAGGCGTTTACAAACCTCTGTAATACGAAACTAGAGCGCAGCTCTTGAGGAGGAGGAGGTGAAGGTGCGGAGGGGAGGGTATGCCCCTCCTCCTCCCTTTCCTCCTCCCCTCGTCTCCGCTTTTTTTTTAACTTGAAACGTTCTTTGTCTCCTGGAATTTGTGTCCAGGAATTGGTAGATACATGTAATCACACAATGAAAGCACTGGAGATCTGGTCAAAATCTAATAACATGCAAATAAATGAATTAAAAACAAAAGCAGTAATATTTAAACCAAAAAATAAGCCAATTCCAGTGCATATAGGTATTGTCCCTAATTCCCGTCCAATAGAAATTGTGCAGCACTTTAAATGTCTCGGTGTCGTGTTCTCCGCAAATATGTCGTGGGATAGTCACGTAAACTATTGAGTAGGCAAAATAGCTCAAATAACTGGAGTAATAGGTCGTGTTAGGTACCTTCTTTAAACAAGAATCAAGTTATTTTTGTATAATTCACTGTTTTATTCCAAGTCGAATTACTGTCAACTAGTGTGGGGGACCACCACATTTTCAAATTTACAACGTGTTTATTTGGTACAAAAAAAAATGTCTTCGATATATTTACAACGTGCCCTACAGAGAGTCATGTGCAATCTTTTTTTATCATTCTCACGTGATCCCAACATACAACCTATATAAATACCCATTGAGTGTACGGTATAAATTAAAAGCACAGATGAATATAAAGATAATATACGTAATCTGGCACAACTACTAATAAGATAATTGAACTATACTACAAGACATGGAGGGAATTCGGTAGTACCTACACCTCGTTTAAACTACAAAAAAGAATGCCTGTGTTATACACTTCCGTCATTATTAAACCTTATCAGCTTATGCATATTGATTAATTCGCCTGTAAGCACAGTGAACTCCGTGTAATGTCTAACCATGGGAGTATGATTTTTGCTTTGTATGCCTCTATACCTTTGCGTTTTCGTTGTTATTATCCTTTTATGCAGGTTAATTCTTCCCACCGTAGTGCTGCTTAGTCGCCATTATTACAGGGACTGCGGGCTCGTCAAACTGCTAAGCGCAGCTTTTTTTCCACAGCCCCTCTATCTGTATTTTAACAAGGTGGAAAATAAACACATTTGATTTGATTTGTCTCGTCAGATATGGTATGCCGGATTTCGTGAAGCACCGAATAATCAACCGCGAAACTCAACGCGGATTGGCTGGTGAAACGGCCACGTGATCAACGCTGATTTCCTAATTCCGGTGAGTATGGGAGGTTTTGGAACTGCAGCAGGGTTCAAAGCTGGGCCAGTTGGTAGTGGTTTATGATGAAAGAAAAAGAGCACAAAAAACCAGGACAAAAAGGGAACGGACACATACGACAGACGCGCTTACTCACAACTGCAAGTTCAATAGGAGTACAGAAAGTCCGAATTGTCGCTTCCCCGGCTGCACATGCCCCGTTCAATCGCACCCCCCCCCCCCCCACACACACACATACACACACCCATCTCCCGGTTATAATCCAAAAAACGGAAAAACCTGCGCGTGGTACTGTCACATATGAGAATGCTTCCTCACCATCTGTCAAAGCAAGTGACCGGTGGCTTCTGCACCCATCACCCAAAGTTTTGCTATAGAAAGCCTCAAAGCCCTCCCGCACCCTCCGCTCTTGAAATCATCCTAAAATATTTGCATGTTCAAACACGGGGAGCGCACCCACACCTACTGCAGTGTACTGATAAACGACCAGACGGTATCGTACGAAGAAAGTTGCAGTGCTCCCTCAGTCTCTCATCAATGTCCCGTTTGGCCCATACAGCTTTACCACGAAACAGCGGATGCAGTATAGAGCACTCCAAGTCTCTTCGTACGACTACGTCTGGCCATGTAGCGGTCCACTGTAGCAGTTCTGGGTGCGCTCCCGTGTTTGAAAATACCATTATTTTAGGACGATTTAAAGAGCAGAAATCGCGGGAGGTCTTGGAGGCTTCCAATATCAAAACTTTGGGTGATTGCTGCGTAAGCCACCCCGTCACTTGCTTTGACAGATGCTGGAGAAGCATTCTTATCGGCGACAGTGCCACACGCACGTTTAAGTTTTTTTCGTCTTTAAATTATAACGGGGGAGGGGGAGGGCTGTTGGACAGTGCATGTTAAGCCGAGGAAGGAACGATTCGGTTTTCCTGAAGTCCTATTAAACCTCCAGTTGTGAGTAAGGGCTTGTCTGTCGTACGAGTCCTTCTTTTTTTCTTTTTGTCGAGGCTTTTGTGCGCTTTTTTTTTTTTTTTTCATCGTAAGGTTTTGGAAAACCGCCAGGCTTAAAAATGGACTGGCGCCAGCTTCTTCATTCCAGGAACTGCTATCAAGTTTCTATGCCACGTGTTAAGTTATCTGATGAAGAGTGCCGGGAGCGTAGTGCACGATACCGGAACGCTTCATGAGTAACACAATTGTTCTTTGCTCCCTCTCCCTGCACTCTCGGGGACCGATGCCAGCGCTTATGATTTGCGTCGTTGTGCTCCCGACTTTACCCCCCACAGCTGAATAGCTAAAAAGCCTTGGAGGGGAAGTAAAAAAGGCAACCCTACCCTTTTTCTTCAGCATCACTTGGAAACGGAGAAAGCTATAGCCTCGGCCTCTAGGAGAAAGCCAATCGGAACGTCGGAGAGGAAATCTTGACTACGTATTATATCGTAGCGTGCTCCTCTCGTGAAGGAATGTCACGTGGTTCGATCCGTCGTCCTGATTGGCTTACATGGGCCACAAAGCTTGCCTCTGGTCACGTTATCATAAAACGAAGTTTAGAAGCATTCGCTTTGTGTAATACAAAGAGCCACTAACAGAATTTTGGCTCAGTAAGTATGCAGTAGTTCCTTGCTGTTTCCGATTGCAATGTCATCTGCTTAAACGTTGATTTAATCAACGTATATATTTATCAAAATAAACTTGGACAACGATTAAGTGGCTTCTTTTTCAATATGTTGTATGAACATAAAGCTCTTTGTACAGCAGTTTTTAACTGTTGTGATTTCATTAGGAATTAAACAATATATTTTAGTTGCAGGAATTTAGATTTCTTTTTTAAAGAAAGGGTATCTGTATCTTCCAAAATGAAACACTTGAATGCCCAAAGCAACCTTTGGTGCACATTGTCTAAAGATATCGGCTGCAGATATTTTAATTATAACAAGGTGTCGCAAATATTCTGCCATTTTCCATTCACCTTCGAGATATTTGGTGCAGACGGTTAAGCAAATATTCATAGTCGTTTTAGCTGATTGTCTAGTACATTTGTTTTCGGTGCGTTTTCGAATTGCTGAGAGCACTAGAACCCAGAACAGATGTACTTTTTCATTAACATTCATAGCAATGAGGTTGGATAATGCAAACTTTTCTCCAGACAAAATCAGCTTTCCAGGAGCGCTCACGTTGTTTTTTATTTTTTGTGCTATTGTTAAAATTGTGTTTTTGGTTAACCAAGTTTGTTTACAAGTAACCAAAAAAGTTTAAAATTTAAAAAATATTATTGTGTACGCTTTTAACTTTAGAGCAAATTACATCATTCACTTTGCATTTGCTTAATTGATAGCCTGATGGGACATAGAGTTACGGAACCATTGATGCTTCAAATTTATAATAATATACATGCGGAACGGTTCTAAAAGTAGTTATATCAGTACCCCTTGGTGCCTGACCACCAGCTGTCTTTTACGGCATGTGATGATTAGCGATTTATAAAGCTATATAGTGACAATGTATAAAAAAAAACAATTTTAGATTTTTAGATTTTTTTTTGCGTCACAAGCTTAAGGGTACCCCGTTTCTCTACCCTTAAGAACATTATTATGTGTGTCTTTTCTTCAGTGAAATAAAATGTTTTATTGATTTTTTATATTCATCACGTACCAGGATTTCTTCTACGCTGGCTTGAAATTTGCACCCAAACTTGTGCTTCGGACACTTGACAACAAGTTGAAGAACTTGGTCCCATGCGCTTGTCGACTGACGCATCTAAAAAAGTTGAGCAACAAAAGCCAGCATGTCAGAAAATACAAAATCAGCCAATAGAATTTGCTGATATTCCGTAACTTTTACCGTACGTCACTCATTTTAGTCCCTAAATCCTTGCAAGTTATTATGAAAGTTTCAGGACTAAAAAAACGGCTATTGAAGACGCCAAGAAGTATGTCCTACTAAACTTGGTACTACGTATATCTTATTTTTTCTTTTATTTAATTACACTTCCCATTTAATCATTTTGATCGGTGCGCTTGTACATAGCAGCCGAAAAAGTTAACATTGCAAATAAACGAACAAAAGAGAAACAGGCCTTGGCTTATGGCGATATCGGAAGTGTGGCGTTGTATTGACGTAGTAAAAGTTTTGTGTAAAGTACTCAACAAAAGTATTTAAGATAAGATATTAAATGCCCGTCTGAAAATGTATTTAGAGTAGTATTTAAGATATTTTTACAACGAAATATGTTCAGTAGAGTACAAATACTTTGAAAAAGTGATTGGATTGGATTTGAAAATACTCGGCAAGTAGGTGGCAAGTTGGTAATATAAGAAAGAAATGTCCAAAAGGAGGTGCTCTACTTGTGATGACTTCGCTGCAAATCACATTCTACTGTGACCTCTATGACTTTCAAGAAGCGACCTAGCTGCTGCAATCGCAGTTAACTTTGAAATAATTCAGGATACGCAACATAATGGTTACCGAAAGATTTAAGGAACAAGGGGGAATAACGTATTGTAGGCATGGCAACTGGCGGGCTTTAGTTTGGCGATAGGCTGGGCTCATGACGCATTCCGATGTAACTTCGTAATACACCTTGAAGCATAGTCCGGCATTGCAGATCTCTAACAGCCGAACTAGAAGTTGATCATACAGCCAGACTTGGTGATGAGCACGCGGGTGAATGACAAACATTCACGCACAGTAGAAACATCGGCTGGAGGACAGCAGCCTCTGTCGCTGATGAACAACTAAAAGCGCGAGTGTTTTGTCTCCCCAGCCAAGGGCGAGGGGGGCGCCTGAATCTTCAAACTGTCAAAAAATATACTAGGAAGGTTAAGAGAGAAACACAAGTAACACAAGAGAGTGTTCACAAAACCGTTTTCAATTCCTGGCTCCACCTGGAGAAAAACTGGGTTGGGGGATTCTGAGAACGAAACAGTGTGCGCACTCTGAAGATGACGATGATGATGATTGCAAGTTTAGTGGCACAGGGGCAACGAAGGCCATGGAGTGGTCGAAAGGAGAGAAAAGAAACGCTTTTGGACGAGCTTGGGATCCAATCGGGGAAGCACAATCTAGGTCACTGGAGCTCAATAAAAGCAGCAACATCTAAGTTCCTTGGCCGAGGGAGTTTTCCAGCTCACTTCGAAACCTGCTTGCACATTTTCATACCAAAATTCCCAGAACCGGCGATTTCCGAAAATGGTTCATTGTGACCATACCAGGCGTTGGCGTCACAATCTTACACTGACGAGACCACTCTAGCTTCAGACAAAAAGTGTAAAATGCCGATGACGTCACTAGCACTTTGCTAGCTCCAAGCGTAACTTGACAGTCAAAGACAACTTGAAAAATAAAGTGGACAGGACGACACAAAGGCGTACATGGGGCGATCCAGTTAGCCTTTTGTTGGCAATTCGGGGACTGCGTTTTCTCGTGCCTTGTTTCCTGTACTGTGTTTGGTCGGTAGCGTTCAAGTCTGCAATCGGCTCAGCTTTGCCTTGGGGTTTGACGATTTCTAGTTACGCGGATTGTTCCGGCGACAAACATTTTCGAATGTTGAAAAGTGTATTTAAGATACTGAGTACAAGATGGTGAGAAATGTAATTAAGATAAAGAAGCAGATACTCTAGACGAAATGTATTTGCAAGATAGCAAAATACTACCAAACGTATTTGAAATACAGTATCTTGAGTTCTACTAGTAACAAATGTACACCTAATTGTTTTACAACATTATGTAAAAATATTTCAGGCCGTTAAGCAAGGGCCTGAAATAGGCCATAAAAGCTATTTAGATGCGATATACACCCATGATGTTAAAAAAAGAATGCGACTAAAAATGACTAATTAACGAAAATTTACTAATAGCTTTTTAATTAAACGTTTCAGGGCTGATGTTTATATTGAAGAAATTTAGGCAATTAATGTTTACGGCCAGCCCAGTTTTTACAAATCTGGTGGTAGAGCACGCCGTTCGGGTTATTAATCGTAAAATTTTGTTCAGGAAACCTGTCAATATCGAAACAAAAAAAAACGGTATGGTGAAAACGATGACTGTAAATCCTGATTGACGCCTAAGGCCTTACGGCCCGTTCACACTCTTGCGACCGAGTACGACTGAGAGAGACGAGATGTCTTAAAACTTGTTAAATGTTTTTAGAATGAGGGAACACACTGACATTGTGGCGCCATCTATGCGGTGACCCTGGAACTGCATTTCACAAGAGAGAAGGTTTTGCGGGATTTCCGAGGTCAAACGTGCGTAATACCCATAGAAAGGCTCGTTTATAACATTGACAAAAGTTTTTCGAGCCAAAAAAGAAAGGATAATGCGCGAGAAAAAAAAATATGCCGGACCGCCGAGTTTACACTGCTTCCCAATAGATGGCGCCAGTGTGTTCTCTGGTTTAAGAAGTTTTAAGGAACTCAGGTAGAGGTCGCAAGAGTGTGAACGGGCCTTTATTCACACAGCCGCCTTTTCCCCAATCCCGGCGCGGCGCCGGGCGGCGTTTTCGCACCGGGAGAGGGATTTCCCGTCGCCCCGTCGTCGGAGATTTTACTTTTATAAAATGCACCGTCGGCCGAGCTTTTTCTATAACATATTAAAAATTACTTTGCTTCGCCAGATGTTGTGCAAGAGTACGTGTCAACGTATTTTTTCTGTTTAGATGTTTTGGAATCGGTCAAAATAACTGGTAAAATAATCACCACCCGATCTTGTTTTGGTTTTCCTTCACAGATCGCTGAAGATACTGCAACAAATCGAAACATTTTTACAGTTTATTGTTGTGCCACAACATGAACTGTCTGAAAAACTCACAATCCTTATCGCTGCGCAATTAGGTTTTTCACAATTGTGCATGCTCCGGAGTTCCATAGATCATTTGTTTCTTAAATTACGAACGCTGCCGTCAGTGCGCGAGCGTTTAACCTTCCAAAACAGTTTGTCTTGGTGTGCTTTGGCAACACTACACAGACGCGTCTATTCATCACAAAGCAACTGTGGAATTGTATCCTACCAAACGAAATAAACCAACCTATGAGCCACCCGCAAGACGAGTCTAGAGAGCAGCAATATTATTCGCCTTACCTCGCTGATCCGTTCAACGTTCCCATCGTTCTCGCAAACAAATTTGCCTTCTTCCTCGATCATGTTGATGCACGAGATGCAGTACATGTGTCCGTGACTGTCCTCCTTCATGGTTGGAGACACATTTTCGCACATCGCGCAGCGCAGCGACTGTGAGACCGCTTCAACGAAGCACACGGGCTCCGAAAAGTCGGCACCTTCCACATCCTTTATCAGGATCATCTCCGGAACCATGATGAAGGTGCCTAAGATATAAATAATACTTATTTCAGTCTATACATATTTTTTATCGCTTATCACACAGGCGAAAAATGCCAAGACACTGGGACGCAGACGCGGACGCAGACGCAGACGCAGACGCGGAGTCTCATATTCCCGAAACGAAAGCGACTGCGCATGGCCAAACGAGTTCCACAACAGAGTACACAAATATGGCAGCGTGCAGAAGGCGATTATTGGTCTGCTTTAGAGTCAAGCATTACTGAGGCGTACCTACGGCCTCATCTATGCTTGACTATTCGACGATCTACCCACACCAGCAGCAAGATGGCGGCGATCGTCTGCTAGTCAAGCATTGCTGAGGCGTACCCGCGCCCTTAGCAGTGTGTGACTCTCAGACAACCTATCCACACCAGCAGCAAGATGGCGGCGATCGTTTGATACTCAAGCATTGCTGAGGCGTACCCACACCCTCAGCAATGTTTGACTATCGGACGATCTACCCACACCAGAAGCAAGATGGCGGCGATCGTCTGCTAGTCAAGCATTGCTGAGGCGTGCCCACGCCCTCAGCGATGTTTGACTATCAGACGACCTACCCACACCAGCAGCAAGATGGCGGCGATCGTTTGATACTCAAGCATTGCTGAGGCGTACTCACTCATTCAGCAATGCTTGACTATCAGATGATCTACCCACACCAGCAGCAAGATGGCGGCGACCAGAGGCGTGTTTGCAAGCGTCTATAATCAGCGATAGTAAGAGAAAGACAGGGCCTCTTTCCAATTCCCAGCCTCCAGCACGCGCTCGCTGCCTTCCGCCGTGCCTTGGTTGCGCGGGCACGGTCGAAGCTGACGAGATGCCGGAGCGTTACGGACGGTAGGTTGCGCACTCTGGTGGCAGGGAAAGCGAAACTCATCCCTGACGTTCTCGGCCTGTCGGGGTCTCTAACAGACACTCGTGCCCTCGTTTTTCAACGTGCACTCGTTTCTTTTTTTTTTTTCTTTTTTCTTGTAGCATTACGAAGTTTTTAAGTTACTTCTGGTCGCATTAAAACGACGACGAGGAAATTTATTAATCAAGATATGAAATATGGGGTGATGGGACACGAGAGCAAGCAGATATGCGGAGAGAAATCCAGACACGTCTATATACCGTTTCAGCTTTAGTACAAGCGCCGACGACACTCGCTACGAGTTAATGGGACATATCAAGCAGTGACAAAAGTGCGAGTCGGGCCGTTTTTGCTATGATTGGTTCAGCGGTAATAGAGCACGCACAGAAACATAACGAGCACCATGATGGAGCGCTTTTGAAGCCGTCTGATTGGTTCCATCAGTTTGTAGCGTCTGCTGCGTCTAGACTTAAAGGGGCGGTGCAACAACTTTCAGACTTTGGCCAATTAACAACGGAAATGAATTTGTGTCACCCATGAAACGAAGAACAGACAACCGTATTCTCTTGCGAGCACTAGTTATGTAGAAGAAAATGAAACAAATTGAAAGTCAAAGTGTGCCTCTCAACTCTCCATGTCGCCTTTCGAGTGACGTACTCTGGGGAATCATGTGGTTTCTCTTTGGGTTCTCTCTTCAGAGACCCCAGCCGCTTCCTCCGCGATTATTGACTTTTAAAGGATTAGCATCGTCGAAGGTCGCAGCGAGCGATCGACACAGAAGACGGTTCGCCACGGGGGTGACGGCGAGTGTAGCAGCGGATCGGGACACGTTTTGTTCACTTCCGTGTATCCCCCAGAGTACTCCACACATCAGTTCCGTTAACCACCACGAGCGGCTGCAGATCGGAAAATGTCTCGTTTTCTTCTTTGCGATTACGCACCGGAATAGCAATTTTGGGGGGCAAGGTGACACGTTTTTTGGTCACTTCTGCTTGGATAAAAAATACAAAAAATACAAATTGACAATTCTTTCCAACACTAAACTCATTGCACTACCCCTTAAGATGAAACAAAGTATAGGTATAGCGACCTCCGTGTATTGCCTCTAAATTAAAGGTATGCATCAGTGCTATTGACCGAGACGGACTTCATCGAAACAAACTCGGCGAAAATCCCACCAAAGACGGCGCGAAAGAAGGAAGTTAGCGATAGCGGATATCTCTCGACCAATTATAGCGTGCTGGCAAAGTTACGGGGATAAAGGAAAGCAACATAAACGGCAAAAAAGACGGGGACAAGACAAAAACATATTTTTTATGATAGAGGAAAGCAACATGGAGCGGCTAAAAGGACGGGGACAGGACAAAACATATTTCCGTCCCTGTCCTTTATGCCATTCATGTTGCTTTTTTTTTTATCCCCTGATATCTCTCCGTGCGCGTGCGCAAGTCCTTGAAAGTATGTTCCTTTTAGAGCAGGGGTCTCAAACTCATTTGAGTGTGGGGGCCCGGTATCCTTCCTAGAAAGTTTGAAGGCCAAAGCGGCCGGGGGGGATTTATAGAGACGGAACCTCGTGCTCTCTGCTTGTAACGTCTTTAAGTGTGATTTGTTTAGAGGACTACTTTAGCCCCTTAAGTCATCTAGTAAAAATGATTAAAATGACGCCGCTTCGCCACCGTTAACAACCACATTGTAGTTCCCGCTGCTCATTTCACACGGGAACTAATCAAAGTCAACATGTCTAAAACAAAATTCTCTTAATACGACAGCTATCGCTTTCTTGTCAAATTTCATAGCGGCGGTTTGTTAAAACACTTGTAAATTTATAATGTTTTTTTTTTGTTTTTTTTTTTTTGAAGGCGAGAATTACGAGCTTATAGCTTTACCTCTGGTAATTGCTCCTCTTGAGCCAGAGTCCGTGCAGCCGAGGTGACAAAAAGACTGGGAAGCAAAATTAAAACGAAACACGAGACAAATTAAAACAAAACAGCATAAACTATGTGAATACGAATTAAAGCACGTTTACGTTTCGAGCCGAAATGAATCGGTGACACGATATTAATAAGCCGCATGCCATTTCTAGCGCTCGAGACGTGGGAACAAAGACTCGCAGCCGGTTGCTTGCGGGCCGCATGCGGCCCGCGTGTTTTGAGATCCCTGTTTTAGAGTATCCGAAAGGTTTTCGCCCAGCTTATTCAGTGAAAGCCAACCTGTAAGGCCCCTTATTCGAGTTCGCCATTTACCCAGAACGCAGAACAACTACCATCATCGGCACTGTAACGCCTCGTACTCGTCAGATCAAAAACACGCAAAAAACTACATGTGTACCCCAGAAAAAAAAAAAAGAAAAGGTTTTCTTGTAATATTGCGCGAACTATATACATGTTTTATGGTTTAAAATCTTACGCGGTGTGGGAAATATACAGTTGCGGACTATACGTTTATTTGTTGAGTTTATCTTGATCGGTCGTTATTTTGTAAATACAAAGGTACGCTAATGATAGTATGATCAATCGTTTTTTTGCACGAATTAAGCACGTATTTGTCAAGGTGTGCTGTCTATGTGAGTTTAACGTGCGGACTACGCACCTCTCTAGCTAAGAAAAAGCCTGTTTTATTTGTTTCCTTGTTTTTCAGCCGATGTTTTTTTTTTTGTGCGTGCGTGCGTGCGTGCGTGTGTGCGTGTGCGTGTGCGTGTTCGCGCTTTGTACACCGGGTGCGGACTGCTGCCCGGAAAACACGGTATCTCTCCACGGAGCGCCCCTGACCCTCGTAAAAAGACAGTTCTGAGAAATCCCGCTGCTGTACCGTCGAAACCCCAGACAGGCCTAAGCGATCACCAAGACGTATGTCAGCCTTAAGCCTAAGCTCCCACCTAAACTTTGATCAAGTGCGTTCACACGCAACCCGCGGAGAACATGGTCGCCATTAACTGTAACGTTCGCCACGAACTCACCTTAGCTGAACATGGGACAAAGATGTTGAGAGGAAAAATAAAATTCCAATAGAGTGAATCACTGTCGCGCCTCTACCACCGCTGATACGCCCCACAAGTACTACGCGCTCGGTTCCGACGCTCCTATCTTGCCTGCGCAGCCCGCAGCTGCGTCAAACGCTCTTATCTTTCCACCCGAGATAGTAGCAGTGGCGGCAGTGGCATCAGTGGCGCTCCGAGCATTCCGAAACCATAGACGTCTGCGACTCTGGGCGCAGCCATCTTGCTCTGGGCTTGGCTCCGCTGCTCTCGTCGAACGCAGAACGCCAGCGTCCGGCGTTTGGCTCTTGCATATGAACGCGTTCGACGAGTGCAGTGGAGACAAAGGCAGCTAGCTTTAGGTCTACCCACTGATCAGTTCAACCAGAGCACGGCGTTCTGGCGTTCCCCTCTCGTCTCCCCTCGGTTTCTCGGCCCATTGGCTTTGCAAGAACAAAACTATACGTCCTTTCCAGTAGCGCCAAAAGCACAACGTCACGGCGATCGTCGTATTTCGGTGCCGGGGCAATTAACAAACAGTGCAATCCAACCCAGTGAAGGCGCCGTGACCGTGAGCTCTTGGGTGTGTATGGATTTTAGCCTTCGTCTGAGCACTCTTACTTATTGCGAAACCGATATAGCAAAGCGCAAAGCTTATCGCAGCCCTTCGAAGTGCAATATACCTTCTTTTTTCATTTTTGTTTCTTTTGCTGAAAAATGATATTTGTTCGCAAAAAAAACATTCTTGTAAGCTAACCTAGGAAATGACAAACAGCGGTGAGGTACTACTACCACTGCACAAACCCAATCAGTTTTTTCTTTCACCCACCGCCGAGATATCAAATTCATTGGTAAATACAAATTTAACCCTCAAGGAACCTCGATCATATTCATAAGGATAGCACACCTAACTATAATACTAATTTTTTCACCATCTCATTTCTACCTCGCACATCAAACGACTGGAATCACCTTCCCGCTTCAATACAATAAATCAATCACTGATATCTCACTTTTTTTAACAAACTCTTACGATCATCGCTCTCAGTTTATTTGATTGTCATATTATTGTTTTAATTCCTCACTCCCCTGTGTAACGTTGATAAATAAATAAATGAATAATTATATTACGCCTAATCTCGAAGCAAACATGGTGACCGTTGCGATTTGCTCTTACTAGATGGCACCACTTCACTGAAACTATCTCGGGCACCCTTATCACTATTTCACTATCGTCGGCAAGGAGCGCTGGCAAAAAGGTTCCGGCTGCTCTTGTGGGAGGACTCCAAGGCAAGTGGCTTTTTTCGTCGTTCTTTTTTTTTGCTTTTGTGCCTGAAGCTGAGTCATATCAAATATTTATTACTCATAGCATACTTCACTGAATCTCGTGATGACTGTCGAAACATTTTGCCAAAACGCTGCGTTAAAGGGGCAGGTTACAACTTACTATTGCATTGAAGTACGCATGCGCGTCCCTTTGTGTAAACACGTAAGAAACCAAGTTCATTTTGTGATCTTTAGTTGTTTTTTATTGTTATTATTCTCGCAATCCGCAGGTAACTCCGGTAACTTCGGTAAATAGATTTGTTCGCGTTTTATATATTTTTATATTTTAGCGATGAATTCGAACTGTGTTCCTAAGACCGACCTACCATAGCTGGGGCGCTGGGCTTTTACCATCTCCTACCATCACCAGGCTTATATGTACACGGCGAAGTCTGGCGAAGGGCGTTTGCTCGAAACGTCGCTTGTTTTTTCCCCTTCTTGTTGCACGTCTTATCTTTCAGGCTTTTAATTATGTGCATGCACCAAATGCAAATAGTGAGTAGTTACGTTTTGCTTCGCGCTTTGGGGCTCTCAAAAAAGTTTCATTGTCATGATTCACGCCTGGTGAATTATCTTAGTTTGTACCGCTTACAAAGCCCCTTATCAAGCGCCATGGGGGCGATACTATGTACTGAGAAGCTTTATCGTCTATTTGTCACAAAATAAATGGATGGGTGGATGGATGCTAACGGCTGTACCCTTTGTAACGGGAGGTATATTGCGCCACCTAGCCTACAAACCAAAAGTACGACTTCTCCCCTCGTCGCCCTAAGCCGATTTTCTTCTCCTTTGAAAATCTTCCTTACAGTAGTGCTTGGGCACTATTGGAAGGATGCTGTTAGAACTCTTCGCCCGAATGTGAAAAAAATTAAAAAGAAAACATCTAAGTTCCTCGTCCCCGCTTGCTATGCACGTTATGGTAAGAACATGTGGTCGGTCTATATGCCTCAAAACTCAGTTTTTGTGACTTTACCTCAAGAAAAACTCTGATATGACCGACGAGCCTTTGTGACAGTTTCATAATTTCTTTTTTATTGTTAGAATTGTTTAAACAAGTCCGTTTTTGTTTTGTTTATTTGTGTGTGCGCGACTTCTTTCCTTTTCTTTTTATAATGTGATAACAAAGGAAGTCATCTCCATCCTCCGTGTCGCAAGAACTAAGCAAGATTTTGTGCTGCATTCAATGGTGACAAATGATGTATAGTGCCTTCTGTTTTGTTTCCTTTTTTATAATTTTCTGATTTTAGGGATTTTTTTTTCAATTTATTGGGAGCATCGACTTTTAGTTGGAAGTGCTGTAAAGACTTGGTGACAATTTAGACTTTTTTAACAATTGTTTTTTTGTTGTTTTTTTTTTTGGGGGGGGGGGGGGGCATCTACTACATAACTGGTTTTGCCACGCAAGCCCATGATGGCTTTGGCGAACCTGCACTCTGCCTTGAATATGCTCATCCTTCACAAATAAAATTATTATTATTATTATTATTAAATTTACGACTGCATTTATGGTAGTCAACGTCCCCGGGTCATGGGTAAGCTCTATCGTTTCTCTAGAAGTTTCTGTAGATACTGTGCTTCATACTTCGGAAATGGCAAGCACATGAGCGGTGTTAACATTAGCAATCACCTGTGGCAACCGCGAAGACTTTTTAGTATAGTGCGCGCATAAGGCTGACTCTCAAAAACCAGTCACCCAATACTTTCACCGAGCGAAATTCGGGGGCCGCACACGAGCACTCGTAATAATCAACTATCAGACAGCGTATACGTAGTGCTTGAATCTCTACGTCACCTGACGTAGGCCAGAACGGGGCACATGTGTTCGGACACGAGTGTTGAGTCGGCGTTCGTCTTGGACTCGTGTTCAATCTGTGACAACACGAGTGACAGTCAAATGCTTACGCTGCACCCGTGGCCAAAATGATCATGACTTTGGGCTCCAATAGCTGGCGTAAAAGATGCGACAGTACTCTTTTGCTAGGTGGCGCAAGCTGCCGCCCGATTAAAAGGGTTCAGCCGTATCCATCCATCCATACATGTATAAGGCCTTGTTATCTAGGACATGTCAACTGGCCCGCTAGAAACCATATAAACATCTCGGAAGCAGATGATTGAAATTTCGAAATGCTGGCCTTAGTGTAGGGCGACTATCCAGCCCGCGACTCGCGGGACTGTCCCGTCTTGAGGTTTCGCGTACCAAAATCTTAAAAATGTCCCGCATAATTCACACTGTCGTAAAGTTCACTACGCAACTCACGGCGCTGCCGAACAGCGAGGTACCGGGAAGCGCGGAGATCGCCAATAATTGTCTGCAAAAACACCGACAAAAAAAAAAAGAGGGGGGGGGGGGTTCTTCCTTCCCCCGGTCAGCGTGTCGTCATTTCTAGTTTAGTCATACTGCCTCGGTTTCACACGTGTCACCAAACTAAATTTGAATATTAAATAGCTTAATTTATTTTTCCTCGGAACTTGAACGACAAAATATGGGCGAGATAAAACGGAGAAAGAAAGAAAAGGCCAAAGTTACAGGGTTCTTTGGCCCACGTATGTTTTTCTTTTTTCTTGGAGGGGGGGGGGGGGGGGGGGGGGGGGGGTAGGGGGGTAGACAGAATTCTGTATGCTCGAAGAAGGCACGAGAGAACCAAACTTGTTATTTTGTTGACTGGAGTCCGGGCACGTTGTTCCTGAACCGCATAACAGCTAGATGCCAGAAGCAGAATGTCGAACCGCAATTTTTACCGGTTCGATTCGGCCTTGGATTCACAGCTTTCGGTTCAGTTTCGGTTCAATTCCGGGGATAAAAAATAACGGCTCAAACCGGTACGAACCGATTTGAATTGCTAAATTGAGATTATATTTTCCACGCTGTTTCGGCAATCGGCATTATTTCCGCCGTAAAACGAGTAACCATATAGTTGTTTGTTTGTTTTTTTATCGTTCGTACAGCCCACTTTTATTTTCAGGTACCAAAATAAAAAAATTGCGTTATTTAGTTTCGACACAACAGTAAAAGAAAATCTAGATTACCATTCAAAACTTCGTCTTGATACGACTCAATGAACTCAACATCTATTTGTTTACCTCAGTCACGCATATTTTACAGAGTATGGTAGGTCACCTAAAATACCCGTGATTGGCACAACTTTGCGTCGCAAAACTTAAAGGTTAAAGGAGCTGTGCAACGATTTTAACGTTGAAAGAGTTGGCATCTTCTACTTTTGGCATTGTTCGTCTTGTCACAAAGGACAGACACCACACTTCCTTCCTTCGAAATGTTGTGATTCCGCGGCGTAATCGCGAGGCAAAAATTGGAATATTCCCCGACCTGCAGCCGCGAGCGGCGGCCATGAGAAACACGCGGCGTGACGTCAATGGGGGGTCTTCTTGAAAGATAGCAAGTTGTGCGAATACCTGCTAGATAAAAAATAACTATTTTATAAATCTTGTCGTTCGAACATAAACATAAATGCGTCAAAAACCTGGTAATCATCGACAAAACTTTTATTACACCAAGTTTTAGTGGCGCCATCTATCCTAAGTCCACAGAACCGCCAGCCGGAGGGGGAGGGGGACAGAGCCGGACGGGTATGGCCGGACCCGGATGAGACTTTCCTCCTTTCACCATATTGTTCGCGCCGCGCCCGCCAACACGTGGTCACGCGGTCGCGAGCGGATGAGTTCTCGCTGCTCACTGATGGCTCTAGAGAGACAACTTCACCGGAACCTCGCGCCTACCCCATCGACGTCACTGCGCACGTGACCCGGAAGACGATGTACGAGTTTAGAGGTGACAAAAACGTGGATCTTTTTCATTTTTTTAAATAAAAACTAGGGTATCCAGGCAAAATCTGCTTTCTGTAGTTCACTTCAAAAGTGTCAGGCATCTACCTCCACAATTATTTAAGCAAAGCCCTGAAATTGTTGCACAGCTCCTTTCATCGTAGTTTTTCTGTTGAAGTAATGTAATAATTACAGGGCATAAGATCATGGAATGGGCACCTCGTCGCTATTAGTATCGTGAAATATACTTTACGAAATACGTCTTGCATATTTCTTACAACAACGGAACTGAGCTAAAAGCTATAATATTTTCAAAATGTCAAGAAAGATTTAGGACAAGCCCTTTCAGTCTACCGTTTATAGAAATACTGAGCGGCAACAAGAACGTTTGTTTTCTTAAACAACATTGTTTGCACTCAGCACCATGATGCAGGCCAAGAATCATGCAGAAAAAAGTGATTGAAACGGTTCACTCTAGTCTTCGTACTCAGATCGAATCTGGAGTGAAATTGCGCGTACCCAAGAAAACGTTTTGTTAGACTGGATAGACTAGCATAGCCCGGCTGTTGAGGTTTGTTATTTACATTATGCCGGTCAATTCAATTTGGAAATAAGATCACCCTTGCTAATTGTTGATTTTTTATTAAATAGAACAAAGTAGTATTGTATGCTCTACTCGATATGGCAGCAACTTTATTGGTCGCTTTCTGACGGTCGGAGCGAGTAATTGTAATAGTTCCGCCACAAGCGCCTGTATACTTCGTTTTGTCCAGCCCACAAAAACAAAATTGCTGTTCATCACATAAAATATGCAATACCATACTTTTATATGTTTGAGGAGTTATATATCTGCCAGGGGGGGAATACATAGTTGCTAAAATCAAATTTGAAATTAGAAATTTGCTTATGGCTCTCCCCAATCACTTATACACGTCACTATCGAGGATATAAACGCCGAACAAGATTTGCAGATACAACCCCAAATTATCTTTTAGATAGTTTGCGGTTGTGTTTACTTATGATGTATACATTTATTATGATCAGTCCTTTATTTCTGTTGCCAAATATAAGTCCGTAATTAAATATATTTATAGTATCCTTATTAAATAGGACTGTATGAATTTCACATAACCGCTTGAGACCGACACGGGTAGACGATACTCGGAAATACAATAGCTGTTTAATCTGGAAAAACTTTTTTTTTTCGTTCGGCTGCTTGGCAGCCTGAAACACCGGGTCTCAGATTATCCCAAAAAGGATTTTGTGCGCAAATGATAAATTAAAAAAAAAAAAATTCACGAAATGTGCACAAAGAGAAAGATAATGAACGGTATTCTTAAAAATGAAAAAAAGAGGCGATGCCTTACTGCAAAATAAATACATAAATATGTGAGGATATTCATAATTACAAATCAGTAGCCTAAAGGACAGACGAACATTCTTATAATTTTAAAGTAAATCATACTTGGGCATTGGCTTGCACGATCTCAAAACTTCGCGTAATACTGCCTCGGGAGGCGGATGTTCTATTCAGTTTTACGTGAACCGTGTTGGGCCTTCACTTTACTACTCTGTCTTTTATCAGTCATGCGCGCTAACATTTTATTGGGCTGTTGTATATCATAGCTAGACTGCTATAAATACTGCACAACTTTACAATTTCGGTATCTACTTTCGCCAGTGTTGCGAATATCGCATTTCACCAGGAAACTGAACTGTTGATAACCTGTAACGTTATCGCTCTTTATGCTGGTGGTCGTTGTGATTTGTTGTTGCTGAAAAATCAAATCCGGTGGTGCAAAACGCACGCCGCAGAAGGTCGCGCTCAGTGCGAGACATATATTTGAGAGATAGGAATTATTCTTGGTTGGTGCAGTATCGTCACGGCGACTTTGGGCACCTCGAAAGCGCGCTTTCTGGCAAGAGTGTTTTTGCAAACACTGTGCTTTCCGGGGCCACGCTTTCTGGTGTCTACCGAGGATGCGTGGCAGAGGAACCTTCACAACACAGTATGTTCTTAAAACATACTGTGTTTTAAGATACCCGAGCCTCCAGCATTGCTGACGTTCATTTCCTCGTATCAACGGTAATTGTTACAATATACAAGTTTCGCCTGCGATTCTTCATTATCTCTATGTGAAGATCTGCCCTCGTGTGGCAAAGTCACTCGCATTGCTCATGCATCACACAAAAGACGGCGTTTGTTGCATTCACGAAACGCGCCTCAATTATGCTTGAAGCGCGCTTGGCTAACACATAAGTGCGCTTTTTTTTTTTTTCTTATTACATGTTGGCAGACATGTTTTGTGCGACCAACGTGAAGGCACCGTCATATAAGGGAGAAAAACATACCGCAGACAGCATCTGCAGAGTGTATTTTACAGGATGCATAGTAAACAGTTCAACATTCTGTAGAAGTGCACTCTGCGAAATCCTTAATGAAGAATATTATTTTTGAGCAGTTTGATTTGTGTGAGAGTTTTTCAATTAGTTTTTACATTTTAACACAGGATACGTTTCATTAGCCAAATCACATGAGAAGACCGTCATGAAGAACCATCCCTAAAAACCGGCCCGTCAATTTCCCCGCTAAATTTAGCAATAAAGTTATTGTCACGTAAGGTAATTTCTTTTTTCTATAATTAGCGGAAAAATGGTCGCGGGTCATCGATTTCACCAGTAACTGTAGTGGGAAAATTGACATCTCTCACGTAAATGTTTACACTTAATTCAGCGAGGAAATTGACGAGGCGCCACCAGGTCGTGTTACCCCGAGCAACATAATGTAAAGTTATGCGAGCTGTAGTTTGTGCTCAGCATATTGTGTGCTCCACAGTTTTTGTCAGTATAATAAAACCTGCATTTTTTTTTTTTTTTTTTTTTTTTCAGATGGCGGCCGAATTTGCTTGTTTCGTGAAAGACGTGCCGGGCTTCCCGCATGACGTTAAGGTGACCTTTACATCCAAACCAGACGACAACCTGCTCTGCGGCACGTGCCAATCGATCACGCAAAAGGGCTGCGCCGATCCCAAGAAGCATCTTTTCTGTAATGAATGTTCGCTGGTTTTCACGGATGCCGGCGGGAACTTCACGTGTCCTACCTGCAACTGGCAGGGGAAGAGGGAACAGGTAAAACCCATTATTCATTCACGAGAAAAAAAGAAAACAATCCGCTCCATCTCATCTATGTCATCTAACTGGAGAGTTGTTTTGGCGAATTTACTACCAATGGGTACACTGTTACGACTACGCTTGAAAGAAACACTGCTCGTAGATGTCGCTGATTTCAACTATTTTTATCTTGAGCCATGCATCTTCGGCCGAGGCCTCTCGGTGGCCCCGAGGCAAAGCGCCGACCTGGGGAAACCCCCAGGCGGCGGGTTCGAATCCCGGCCGAGTTATTTGCAATCTGTTGGAGGCGTATTGCAGACGAAGCACGCTGTAACCGAAATTTCGGTTACAAGTTTAAAACTTCCCAAATAGTTGAAAATGATCCGCAGCTTTTTGCTTGCGCGTGTCAGATGCCCTTCGCGGACAGGTAAACCCCTAAATTTCACTTTATGTTTTCGGCCGTACGACCCTCTAAGTATGCATGTTTTGCCTTGCCACTAAGTAATTTGCAAAGGGAATAATACATCGTTCCGCGAAGATCGAGTAGCCATTGCGCGGGCAAATTCTGCATAGTTCGAGCTGCTGGATGCACCACAAAGTCGAAAGTCTTCGACTTTCAATTGCAAGGCGTGTCTAGCGCCATCTATCGTCGTGGGCTTCCCGAGCGCCAGGCGAGAGAGCCGACTCGGCTTTCTCGGCGAACCCGGTGTGTCGGTGCGCCAGCAGTAACCTTCTTCGTCGCCACGCAACTGCGCGTTGTCGCCGGGTGGCGCGATGCGCCTGCGTTTTCAGACGCTAGGGGAGGATTTGGAGCCGTAGGCGCACTGTCTTATGCGAATGAGGGCAATGGAATGCATTCTCTTTTTAATACACTGTGTGTTTTATCAGTCAAATTCTATGAGAAAACCGTCATGAAAACCCGTCACGAAGGATCGTGAAGTCAGATGACTCCATGACGCCACAAGTCACACGACGTCAGTGTCACGTGACATGCGTGACTTTATGTGACCTGACGTCACGTACCACCGTGACGTCGTCATGTGACGTCACACTCATGTGATCAAGTTCGTCTTATTTCGCCCTAGCCTCTCAGACTCTTTGTCTCAAGTAAAAAAATATACGATGCAATCCATATTTAGCAAAAGAACGTTTCACGGTGTCAGGTGGCGTCACGTAACACCGTAACGTCAAATAACACTGTGACGTCACATGACTTCGTAATCAGTGTGCTGCATGGTCTGTGTACAGGAGTGGAAGCGCCTAGGCCATTGCCGCAGTTCACTTGCCAGAAACGGCAAATAACCGGCAGGTTTTGTTTGTTTTGCGTTTATTACAGATGCAGCAAAGTAACCTCGCCTGGGGAAAGGTGTCCGGACTCTATGCGTACTGTCCTATGGAAGACAACACGTGCCAATACAAGGGAAACCTCAGAGATACCATAGTGAGTATTGAGTGCTGGTAATAGACTTCGGTCCTATTCTACGGCGTGTCAGCGAAGGGAAGGGAGAAATTTATAGCGTCTATTTCACAGCACAAATAAACTACGCATCGCCCAACACTCTGTCTCCACTCTAAAGTGTAGTGCTAGCGGTCCGGAGCCGATGCCAAAGTTTTAGAAGTCACTGTAGGTTACAAGCGATTTTCAGAAACATTAGATGGGTTAATGGTGCACGCTCCCCGTAACTGACGCCATTTATTCTTCCGTAATTTTAAGCTTCGTAGGCCACCATCCCCCCCCCCCCCCCCCCCGGGCCGGCCCCCCAATCAATCGCGCAGGGAATAAAGCACTGCAGGATCACGCCGCGTTCACTGTGCGTGATTGGTTTAAAGCTTGTGACGTAGCAAACGCGTAAAGGATGGATGGATGGGTGTTACTGGCCATTGTAACGGGCGGTAGCTTGCGCCACCTAGCCTAAGTCTAAAAAGACAAACTTATATGAATCCTCCCGCCCTTCTAAGCCAATTTTCTTCCCCTATCCTCAACACGACAAACGTTGTGACGATGCAATTTAAGCACTGCCACTGGCTCCATCAAATCCGTAGCGTTCGGCTGCAGTGGGACTTGGCGTGAAAAGGTGTATGCGGAGCTCAAGTTCGTCTGCTTCTCTTGCAGGGGTTGCAGTGACGTCAGAACGCCGAGCCACGATTGGCTCTGATTGATGAAGGGTAGAGACCTCGAGGCAGCTTGCTTTGAGACCTACCCACTGTCCTTCGTCAATCAGGGCCAATCGGAGCTCGGTGTTTTGACGCCACCCCAAACCCCGTGCAAAAAAGCAGACGAGCTTGCGCCCTGCATAGAATCGATCTCATTGTTGACGGTCGAGGGCGATTGTCCAAAGAAAAACAGAGATGGTATCATATCGTCCAGCTGTTTATGCACTGTCGAAGTCCACCTCAACAGAAGATACGACGACTCTGTGATAAATTGTCCCTTGCTCTTATTCCAATCTGTGTCGGTCTAGTCGAATGTCTTACACATGATGAAGATTTTTATCTCCGAAGCTGGGAACGCATAATAGAAGGCTCTACTTTTTATAATCCTTGGAGCACGCTTTAAATTAAAACCTTAATCCTGCGGGGTTTTTTTGTTCTTTTGTTTTTACCTATTCAAACTAAATCCAATTTCCCAGTAATAGGATTTTGCTCTTACCGTCATGGTATTTGAGATCCCAAAATTCTGAATAGTTCTTCAAAAAACGGGAAATGAAAGTGATGCCGAAATCAATGTTCAAATTTATCCGCGCTTTCCGGTGCGGTGATCATAACGTCACGTGTTTAACTCTTAGGTACGTCAGACAGTCTATGAACCCAACACGTCGAGCAATAACTTTTTCGTTGATTTTTTTATTTGCATTTATTTATATAATTAAACTTATCTTAAGAAGTCGGGAACACACTGTAACTCCTAAATTACAGTATTTGTCGTCACGTTATCGGTGTAGTCAATAAAGCCTTTCAGTTTGAAAAAAAAATGCCAAGGACCAAATTTAAAGGTTTGATAAGTTCGCGCAAAAAACTATTCTTACTTATAAGTTAGGTTTCTAAATTCGCCACGTCTACTGACATGTTGAACAATTTCGAGGCCGATCGGTGGCTATCAAAATTTTGCCAGAGGTTTCTTATAAGAAAACGGGTGCTGAAACTACTCGTTTTATCTTCGGGGACATCATAACAGCCGGTATCTTTTTTTCTTTTTTTCTTTTTTCAGGGTTTTATGTCACTGTGATAGGACAGGCGCAATAATTCAACAGAGCTCGTACGAAATAGCTTTAGGGTTTGCTGACTTTAAGCTTTGTTTTTGGAAGAAGTGCCAGGGGCACTGGGTAACTCTAAATTAAATCTAGATTGACGCGTCCAAAATATACAGATTTCGTTTTATGTGCAGAATTCTCACTACTACTGATCAAGTGCTGGCTAGAACCGTCCAAAATATTGCGCCCATTGCATCTATAAAAATAACGACTATTTGAAACATTTGGGACTTTCAGCAAACAATTACCGTGTTCCGCGTACCGCACTACCGGAGCCTTCGAAGCATGCTTTTAAGCGCGCGCCCCACGGTCACGGTATCACCCGGTACGCGGAACATGGTAACGGTTTGCTAAACGTCTCTATCAAGTTATTAACACACTCCTGCGTTATGGCGTTCATACTTAGGAGATAGCAATAAGCATTTTGCTATTTGACGGGAACGTAGAAGTGCGGTAGGAACTATATATGTCCCTATTGGAAAGACCAGTTTGAAAATCTAACTGGTCAGACTGGTATTTGGACTGGTCAAACTGGTATTTGGACTGCCATACTGGTCTAACAGGAAATCAAACTGGTGCAACTGGTAGCCAGACTGGTCTAACTGGTAACCATATTGATCTAACTGGTCACCAGATTGCCTTCTAACTGGTCATCAGATTGGCTTGACTAGTCACCAGATTGGCATAACTGGTCACCAGATTGGCATAACTGGTCACCAGATTGGCCTAACTGGTTACCAGATTGGCCTAACTGGTCACCAGATTGGCCGAACTGGTTAGCGGATTGGCCGAACTGGTCACCAGACGCCGAACTGGTCACCAGACTGGCCGAACTGGTCGAACTGGTAACCAGATTGACCAAACTGGTTACCAGTTTGACCCCTCTTTCTCACTTTATGTATTAGCGTTCTCACTTTGATTTATTGGCTTCTAAATAATTACGGCATGATCGGGCGTTTACTTTTTACTAAGAGATTATTCCCCTGAGACGTTTAAAATACTTTCACAGGTATGACATTGCTGGAAAAGAAATCAACATGCTGGGAATATTTTTTATTGCTTAGGCGGTCACCGAGAAATTCCGTACGTTCAAAACGACCAGTATAAAAGACGGAAACGCTGAGCCCGGTAGTAGTGATAAGGTTAGTGTGCTGTTGTGTTGATGTTTGTATGTGCCATGTATGTGCATTCGCTCAATCAATGTTCAGCTGAAGCTTGTAGTAGGCGTATTGTGTCTACATTTGCGTATAATAAAGATTTCCGAAGCGCTGTGGTGGCGTGAACAAATGAAAATGTTTTTGGCGAACCAGTGTGACCACCAGTTCAACCACCATGACCAGTTCAACCATTACGACCAGTTCAACCGCCAGTCAACCAGTGCGACCAGTTCAACCATTATGAGACCGGTCAGACTGGAGCAATAACTAAGTTTGAAGCTGGTACCAGTCTGAACTTGTCTTTTCAATAGGGTAGGAACCATATAAATAACTCATATAGTAGGAACTATATCATAGGGCATAGGATGGGGATGCAGGCGTGCACAACCGCTACTCGAGTCGAGACAAAACTGTGACGAGAACGCGCTTGCAAAGAGCGTTTTGTTTCTTTCTTTTTTTTTTTAGAATTGTTACAGACGCAGAAGGCGACACGCGCAGCGCGTGTGGCTATAGTCGAACACACTCCATTCGACTGGGGAAATTTACCCTTTGCGATATTCAGTGCCATCGATTGGCTCCGATATCAGCCTAACTTGTGGTATAAAAATGGCGGTTCGTACCTGAACGGCGGACGCACAAAATTGAGGGTATCCTTCGCCGTATAGTTGTCTCTATTCGTTTCAGCTTCGACGGGGATAGGAAACTGCCACTCTGCACGAGACGCCAGCTCTCAAATTCGCCACATTTAGGGGCTTATCGGAAGAACGTTGGCCAACTGATTTATTATACACGAGTCGGAAAGAAACTATGACGCAGAGCTTCTATCATGACGCAGAGCTTCTATTCATGCACAATTTTGTTATATCTAGCGCGTGGCGAATGCTAGCATTTCAAGTATTCACGTGACATCCTTAATGGTCGCACAGAAGCCAAGGCTCATCACGCTGACATCGAACAACAAAATGGCGGACTGGCTTCCTGACTACTCCTGATTAAAGTTACTGGATTCTTGGGAAACAGTGCGAAGCTTTCCGTATAGTCGCCATTTTGGTTCATGGAGTGGGCAGTTTCTCCTTGAGCTCTCCTTTCTCGGTGAGCTCATCTCAATTCTTTGTTGACGGGTAGCTCTATAGGGATGTTTCTTGTGTACCGCCATTTTGTTTTTCACACTCCAGAGAAACAAGCGCACCCCTTGGCATGCCACCGACCACATCACGGCACCACTGCTTGGCGGGATTGATAAATAATTCTCCAGTCATTAAATAAGCAAAAACAACAACACCATTGCAAGAAGTACAGGGTGTCACAAAAGAAAATTTACACGGTCTTTTTTACCGCAAAAATAAACTAGGCATCGCCGAACGCTCATTTTCCGCCCAAAGGAAGCGCTAGAGGTCACAACCAGATGCCAAAATTTCAGCCCGATCCGATAACTTAATCAAAAGTTATAAGTGATTTTCTGAAAATGTCAATGGGAAAATGGTGGCCGACAGAGTTTTCAAACACATGAGGCTCTATGGCACCAGAAACCGAAAACCGGCAAAAATGGGCTCCATTTTCCCATTGAAATTTTCAGAAAATCACTTATAACTTTTGATTAAGTTATCGGATCGGGCTGAAACTTTGGCATCTGGTTATGACTTCTAGCTCTACCTTTGGGCGGAGAATGAGCGTTCGGCGATGCCTAGTTTATTTTTGCGGTAAAAAAGACCGTGTAAATTTTCTTTTGTGACACCCTGTATGTGGAGATAAGCATGACTGATAAGTGGATTGCATGCACAGCGCCAAAGACGCTTATATTAGCGAGGAACGTTTTCAGTACGATGATGCTCCACTGGGACCTTGGTTGGTTAAGAACGACCCTTTCGAAGCTCCGAAGATTTGAGTGGACTGAAATGGCGATTGCCATGGCATCCGAGACCAATCAGCCAATCACCATGCGAGGTTTGGTTGTCTTTATGTTAGTATCCGTTCGTGTTCGGTTAGCTGGCAGGGAAGGCAATGGCGCTATTTTGCTAGAATCCCGTGACTTCAGTACAGACGGCCCGGAGACCTTGTCACCCGCACCGGGACCTGCATTCAACTTATTTCCGTCATCAACTACCCAAAGGCCGCCGTTTGCATGAACAATAGCATAAACTCAGATAAATATAGTTAACGAAATTTTGAGGCATAATCTTGAAAAGGATCCTATTATTTCAAGTTTTTTTATTACTTTTTTTTCAGGCCCACTATCAACAGTGCAGTGACCCAGACAGGGTCAGTTGTCCATTCTGCAAAAACCGGTACTCCAAGAAAATACTATCTGCCCATATCCTGCACCACTGCCCATCTAGGATCGTACAATGCCGCCACTGCCTAGTAGACATGGAGGATCACTTGCGTCAGGTACTTCAAGTGCAACCTGCATTTTCTGCAAGGAAGAGACTCGTCACAGCGTCCTCCTTTCCAAACTTGCGCGGATATTGAGCGAGCGAGAGAGAGAGAGAGAGAGAGCAACACATCATAAATAAGAAAAGCCGTAGTGCCGAATTTTCCTACGTTACTGAAACAAAATCCACTGCAATTGAACACAAATGCTGCCAGCGTTCGGATGGAACGGGCGTTCGGTCCGCGAGAGCAGCAGCCCCGTCCAAACGCTGACGCAACAGTCGTGACATTAAGCCGTAGTCTCAATGCTCGCTTATCATACAAAAGACAGACGATGTTCATTGCAGACGCGACAACACTTCTCAAGCATCTTCGAACCATGTTTGCTACTTACATGCGTGTGCTTCGAACATGCTTGCTGACAGTCTTTGTGTGGCCAATGTGGCGCTCATGTGGCGCTTCCTAGCGCGTGACTTAGTTCTACATACCACGCGATTATAGCGTTTCTGTAGCGCTCCAGTAGCGCCTTGTTAGCGCTCCAGTAGCACCTTCCTAGCGCTTCAGTAGCGCCGTGTTAGCGCTTCAGTAGCGCTTCTTGTACCGCGGTGCTGCGGATTAGCGCCTGCACTGCGGTTCCGGCTCCTGTGGTTGGATGTGCACCAGCAGCACCATGGCGGACATGTAGAATGCTGAAATAGAAATGCGACAAATGCTCTTAGATACGCGATTAATGCGTATGTGTGTTGACGGCTTATCGCCCAGAAGAGCCTACTGGGTGCGCGAAATCTTTCGCCACCGAGATACCGACGGGTATTCGGCGAACCTTGTTTACAGGCTGAGGGACCGAGACACAGAGTTCTTTCGAAGGCGATTATTTTTAACAGCGTGTCTTTGAAATCAGGGTCACGCACATCGAATAGAAAGCGATGAGGTCGTACCCAATCAATTAGTCGCTCAGAGTCCATGAATCTGGATCGCCTGCCCGACCCTTTGCTTGGAAAGCGGCTGTTTTACTTCCTCTTCTTTCAATGCCAAAGGAAAAACAACAACAAAGGAATCGCCGTACACGCGCTGTTCCGTAGCAGCAAGCACGGCACAAGGAGCGTGAGAGCGCTAACAAAGCGCTTCTGTAGCGCCAACAGAGCGCTAACAGAGCGCTTCTGAAGCGCTAACAGAGCGCTACTGAAGCGCTAACCGAGCGCTACATCACGCGCTAGGAAGCGCCAAATGAGCGCTCCTTCGAGCGCTCACTTAGCGCTTCGCTGTATGTGTGAACCGGCCTTTAGGGTGCCTCCATCGGCCGGTAGATAGAGGCACCCCAACACGCTCCATAACTAATATAAATACCTCAATAACAATTATTTGTTTCCAGTGAACTTACAAGGACATGGTTTGTATTCGTAAGTCGATAAAAATGTGAAACTAGCAAAGGACAATGTAGTCGACAGCTGCGAATCGGCCGGAGCTGGCCGGAGCCAAGCTGGCCAAGCAGCCAAGCCAAACAATAGCCGGAAAGACGGGGCTGCAAGCGGTGCTGCGGCCGTCTTCCAACGCTGTGCCGCTTCTCCGGTTTCGTTCGTTACACTGCCGCCGTGCCACCGTGGTTACGCGTTCGCTCGCGGTAGTAACCATGTTGCGGTTGATGATGATGACGATGTTTCTGTTGTTGTGGCCGATGATGACAATGATGTTTTGGTATTGTTGTTGAAAATGATGACAATTACGATATTTTTGACGTTTTATGTTTACAGAAGCACGAGAAAACCTGTGATAGGCGACCGGCAACCTGCCAGTACTGCAATGTTAACTTGAGGACATTCGCTGAGGTATGTCACACAACCAATCGACATTCGAATAGTCTCATTTCCGGGGCAGAAACAATAAACATACAAGCAAACTTGCACGCAAGGCGTTACTTGGACCTAGTTACATTTCCAGGTAACGAAGTAAAGACGTAGTTAATTTTCGCGGAGAGGAACGAGTAGAGTATTTTTATTACTTTCTGGTGAAGTAACGCTGTTTAACTACTCCTGGAGAAGAACGTGTACAACACAAGTACCCCACCTAGTTCTCCCCCCAGCTCGCTCCTGCCATTTTCACGGTCGAAAAACACGAGATAAACAATAAAAAGACGCGCGCAAGTTACCTCACCATAGTCAGTTATCCCTGAATGATATGTTAAAATCCAAGGGGTAGTAATGGTGCCAGATATTAGAAGGCGGCTACGGCTTTAAAAGAACGACACATCCGGAGTAAAGAGAAAAGATTGCTTTGCTTACAAGATGAAGTAAAGAGTTATTTTTCTTAAATCTGTAACAAGCAACGCTCTTGGTTACTTTTTAAGCGAGTAACGATACCTAGTTAGTTCATTTCAGCTTACACTCTTTGAATTCGGCTGAATTGGTCGTCATGGGGCGGCCAATGACCTCCACGCGAAGCACGTGTGCGTTTGGATGTTCGCGTTACCTCAGAGATCGTAGTCCACCCCTCAGCGCGGGGCACGTTAATCCCCGAACGCTAAACCAACCGCTAAAAAAAACAAAAACAAAACGCTTTTTTTAGTCGATTTGTTAAGGTTTAGTTTTTCCAGGATTGTGCCCGCCAGAAAATAAATGTCGACACAACACTCCGGACAGCTACCGCCATCTATGAGCGACGACGGCAACCAGACAACCAGCTTGTCGGTTGTCTGGTTGCCACCGTCGCTCACAGATGACTGCAACCTTTCCAGCCTTTCCATTCTTGTTTGCCGACTTGCGGCCGGCCATTACTTCAATCCCAACATAGTACAGCTTCGAATAGTCTTCCTTCTTCACCAAAATAAAACGGTTAAAAAAGATTGCAGGTTTTTATTTTACCGCAACGGCAGAATATGCAGTGTCTGAGCGCGGTCCTAATGCCTAGCCCATGTTGCCCCTGGGCTCTCCCTTTTCCTTGTTCCTCCTTTCCCCTTTACAGAGGTCAGATAATTTTGCTATTCAACAGGTTTTGTAGAATAAAGAAGGCTATTTTTTTTTTTTTTTTTTTTTTTGCTGAGGGTGATTAGATGTGGCCTTTTTGTTCCTAGCCTACCTTTTTTTGTGTTCTGAAGGGCGTGACAGCCTCTCTCTGCATGCGCTCTTGGCACTGACTCCGCTACGGCAGCATTTTGTTTTTGGCGGTTTCTTCGTGTTTTTTCTTGCTAGCGCGTGCTGTTGGCGTCGGTTACTATGAAAAATGGCATCCCCCTAATCAGGAGGACATTGCGGCACCCTATGCCTGTACCTTTAGGTGAGGCACGACCTAGAGTAACTGAATGTCCCCAGTGTACCGAAACTCCCGAGCTTCGTTTGGGAACCGAGTCGCGGCGCAGCAGTAGCTATCCCCAGTATGGCGCTATCCTGTGCGGTCAAAGCGAAGCGTGTACAGTGTATAGTCAGTTACAGGTTAAAAAAAGTATTCAAGGGAAAGAAGGGCTGGGGAGGAGGAAGCAAACAGAATGCTGGAGAGGTAAGAAGGAAACCTCCTTCTTTATCCAGCTTCCGTCTGCTTCCTCCTTTTCAGCCTTCCTTTCCCCTGTAACTGATTGTTCTCGTGTGAAATTTTTAATGCACGTTCCTGGCCCGTGGCGAAACTGGTTTGTTTTTATTAAAGTTTTTTTCTTTCGTTTTGAGCAGAGCGTGACTTTCTCCCTGCTGTCTCGTCACTCTTTCCCGCCTCGAAACACATCGAAGTCGAGTGTTAGGCTGAGACGTACAGTATCAAACGCAGCACCAGCGCCACCGAAACGAGACGGCAATCTTCTTTGGCGAACCAGATTAGCCTCTACTCGGTCTAAAAAAAGCTAGAGGAAATCAACGTCCCTTCCGTTCGTTTCTAACGTATCGGTGCCCAGAGCTCCCACGCGTGCATACCGACCGTAGCCGCGGTAACGCAAAAATGTTTTATATACTTTTTTTTTTTTTTTGGGGGGGGGGGGGGGGGGGAAGGGGGGGGGGGGGTTGGGCCGAGCCACAAAGTGGCCGACTGATAGCTTCCGCCACGGGCTAAACCAGTCAATCAGAACTGGATTCTGCGGGATTGACTTGCGGTAAGCGAATTGAATGAAATTTTTCGTACTCTGGGAACATTTAAGGGCACTAGCACGATCGAATCGCCAAACTTCGTGAGGCTTGCTTCTGCGCTTTTTGTCGCGTGACTTTTTTGGCGTCTAGCTTCTCCTCGTGTAGCCGGTCGCTGCAAGTGTACAGGGTCTTTTCCTTGCCGGCCATAGTTGAGTGCGTAGCTGCTGTGTGCGAGCTGACAGCGAGCTTCCAGAGTTCGTTTGCAACTCGCATTCCACATCATCAAAAATCTAGATCTTAGCAGCCTATAATTGTGAGCTCCATATAAGCGTGCGCAGTGAACAGCGCACTCAAATATGGCCTCATGTGAATACCTCCTATAGAGCATCTTCCCGCGCGCCAGATTTCAGTAGTTATTACCATAGGCGTAGACTACGGGGTGCAACGGGGCTTGTGCCCCCCCGGGCTTGGGTTATGATCCTTACCGAGACGCTGTCTACGTGCCATGTAACGAGCTTCTAGTAGCGGCATGTAAACAAAATAACGCGCACGTTGCCCTTATTGACAAAATACATGGGAAATGGAATTCCAGCTTCTTTCGTTAGCTTCAATCTCCAGTTCTGGCGAAAAAATAACGCGCAGCACCCCCCCCCCCCCCCCCCCCCCCCCCCGGGAAAATGGGAAGTCTACGCCTTGGGTTATTACTGACCTTCTATTGCCTTACTGTGATGCCCAGCCAGACAACTGTGTGATTCCGAAGTCAAACAAAGACTGCTTTGAGAACAAGTACGCTGTGGTGTCCAAAAAGTCAAATCTTGTCGTGCAATAAGAGCGATAAAGTAAAGCGGACGAAATGAATGGAAAAAGAAGTGAAGGTTAGTTATGGCTTCACCCGTGCACAGCTGCTGAAATGCCTATATTACATCTACAATGATCTGGCTTGAGCTAAGAATACCTTGAATGATTTCGCTTGACCCCTCGCCTCTCAAGGAAGACGTCTTGCCGTACTTTGCTGTCGCCAAATAAACAATGCCGCAGAAAATTCAACACAAATTTGCCGCATACCAAGTGCGTAGACTACGTACTACATGCACTTTGAAAATGTTGGATAACTCCTTGTACCTCTGTAGCTGGCTGCAACAGTGAAGTCAGTTTCTGCAAGACCGAGTAAAGCGCTTCCTTTATATAATTCAGGGACAGTTTGCTGGCTATTTATTGAATATTTACTCGTTTGTTCCTTACATTTTTGTTAACCCCTCAGTATAAAAAATTACCAGCAGTGTACTCGCTATGTACATTTCTTGTACGGCTCTGTGAAGCCAGGGGACTGTTAGGCCAAAATATAATTACGTTTTGTTGCCTCAAACAGTCGAAGACGCTGGAGATTTTTTTAAGCGGATCTAGAATAATCGAACACAACCGCATGTACTAAAAAACTTGACTCGCTCAAACTAGCATTCCATCATCCCTGTCTCGGTTGGTTGTGAGCCTTAGTTACAACGGTATCTTGAAGCAATACATGGTGTCATTATTTCTCCACAGATGAGAGGCCACCATTTTGATCGCTGCCGACAAATGCCAAGAAAGTGCGTGTTTGCAGATTTTGGATGTCAGTTTCAGGTAAAAAAAGGCTCTCTAACACTTTTAAGAGGAGTCCGTTTTTTAGACTCTTTCTATTAGAACAAAATTAATATTGATCTGACGACATTCATCCCAATGCTGAATGCGTATTTTATTTATATATATATATATAATTTTTAAGGGAATCCTGCAGAACATTGAGCAACATATGGCAGGCAACAACAATCACACGGATGTTCTCGTAAAACGAGTCATCGAACTCACCCGTGACGTGCAGGTAAGAGCTGTTTTCTTAATAGTTTTTTTTTTCATTAATACTCTGGACTACTTACAGGTTCATAACGAAACTCTCAATTATAGTTTACTCTTCTTCAAGTCACAGTGCCACGTGACTTGGCATCCCCTTACCCAACACAGTGTCGCGACTTTACACTGTTCTACGTGACTTGACGTCACGTCACGTGACATTCGGTTACGTGACGTCACGCTCGTGACGCAGTGATACAACTTTCAACCGCAGCAGTACACCACGTCACTTGCCGCCGCGTTCAAATTGACACAGTGTCACGTCCTTTCACCGTGACACCTGACATCAATTGGTGCATGTATATCAATAGCATTTTCCCGCTAAGTTCAGCGGGAAAACACTTTCCGCGTGACCGGTAACGTGTGACGCGACCCGACTTGTAGAATTATACAGTAGTTAAATTTCCCCGCTAAATTTGGCGGGAAAATTTTACAAACAAACGGACGGAGGCACAAGTTTCTGGAAGTGGGAACTTCCATTAAAAGCATTCCATGCTTTTTTAAGGCTTTGTTTTGATCTGCCGTGACACATCACCAATCACCATCTTGAACAGCAACCTTTTTTTCTTTTTCTTCTTTTTTTTTTTCTAACAGAAGGCATGGCACTGTTCATCCCATATTATAATAATGTTTATTTCTACCATAAGATGATACCGGTGGTCGGGAAAAAAAGCTGTAAGGTACCGTTTTCTGAATCTGGGACGCGCTGTACGCAGCTCCTGAAGCCAACCACGACAATGGCAAATACAAGTCTCCAGGCTAGATAAAAGCTAAAAAAAACGCAAAGAAAACGCATCACGATTGCTTGATTTTGTCGTCGATAAGCAGTCATGTCAAGTGTTTGATAATTTCACGGTTCTTAGCATCAAATAAAATACTTTCGATGGATCGTTGAAATTATGAAATATAAATCGCAGATCAGGCACTCCACGGTAATTCTAAATAAGGTTCCGTGTTTTCGTGTTTTTTCATTCCATTTTTTTTTTAAGTGTTTAGAGTTTCCTTCTCTTTCTCAGTGTTAAGGCTCGGTATCGCACAACAAAATTGGTGCTTATCAGGGCTTTTGTTAAAAAATAAATAAACACTGGGGCTGAATTCCTCAACACCCAAGAAACATGCTCGTGAACCGAAGACCTGGAAAACGACCTGGTACCGATAAGGGACCGAAATAAGGCAGGCGTTGTGGCGCTAGGCTAGGTGGCGCAAGCTGCCGCCCTTTTTAAAAGGGTGCAGCCGTTAGCATCAATCTATCGACCGAAGCAGCTGGCCTCGCAGGCAGTTCGGTGGGGGCCGTGATTCGGGTCAACACAAAATAAAAGCTGTAGAAGATTTTTTTTTTTTCTTCTTTGAAGCTTGTTTTTGTCTTGCTCAAAGGCAGCTTGAAATCGGGATTTTTCGGTCTCCCTGTAAATTTTTAAAGCCCACTCGGTGGGTAATTTTGGGGGTTACTTGGTATTTACCGAACACACGGAACCCTATAGTCATAGATACGTATTTTCTTGATTTTTAGAACGATTGTTTAACCAACACACTCTCTTGATGTTATCAATTCATACGTGGTACCTTACAACTTTCATGTTCCGTCAAGGGTCAGAAGGAATGTGCAAACTTTCTCCCGTCAAGTATGTATTTTGTCTCCTTCACTGAGAATTCAATTAGCATTTAATAAGGCTCATCTTGACTTTTTTTTTTTTTTTTGGTTCTTACCAGGTAATGTTTTATGCGCGAAAATGGATATCTTTGAAGTACCTATTGTAAGGCGGGTTTTGGTGTAGCCTTTCCAGTTTCTGTTCTCTATTGTGTATATTTTTATTGTAGCGTGTATTTTATTGCTTTATATAGCGCTGTGTTTTAGTTTGCTTTGTGTGCAATATGGACTGTAAAGTTGTTTGGGCCCGGAAAATAAAGATTAAATATTATTATTATTATTATTATTATTATTATTTTATTATACTATATACTATACTATATTATATTTATTATACATAAATAATAAACATTGATTGATTGATTATTATTATTATTAAAACAACCTCAAGTTTTCGGCGTAGGCGATGAAATTCTAGGGACAATAAAATCCCCTTAAAACTTTTTTTTTGGTAACTGAATAGAACACTTATGTTACAAAAAAGAGGTTTTACGAAAAAAGAAAAAAAAAAGAGTTTTAAAGCAATATTTATATCGGGGGACATTTTTTACATGCCTCTATTTCGGCTCGTGAAACCATAATAGAAGAACGAAATGGAGGCAAGTCGCGAGACTCAAAATGATACTGGATGGATGGATGTATAGAGGGATGGGTGCTAACAGGTCTACCTTTATAATCGGCGTTAGCCTGCGCCACTTTACCCAGAAAGTAAATATCGTCTTTTTTTTTTTTTATTTCGATGAAAGTTTACTTGGTGACATAAACGTCTTACCCCAGAACGATATAGGGGGTGTATCAGTGTCCCTGTACTGCAATCTAGCTGTGTCCGGTTCGCCTCAGAATGCAGTTTCAAAATTTATTTTGCTTCGTTTCTCCGTTTAGGAGCTGCAAAAACAGTTGAGTGTTCAATCTCTGGCAACAACAACAATGGAGGAAAAGTTTTCTCGTCAGCTTGTGAGTATTTTACGACGGCACGGGAGGAATCCGCCGTTATTAAAGCCAAAAACAAAATTGGGTGCATGCTCTCCTTAAGAAATGTTGACATAAAAATGCATGAAAGCTTAATTTAGCTCTACAAAGCCAGGAGAAAATTACGCCTTACTTTCGTTTGTTTGTTTGTTTTGTTTGTGTTTGTTTGTTTGTCTGTTTCATTGATTGATTGCATTATTATGTTTGCTTCTGGAAGTTGGCTTGTTCATTTGTTGCCACAAACGTATTTTCTCTTCACGTGTCCAACGTCTAAAAGGGGTACTAAAGAAGTCGACTGCAACTCAACTTTCTGAATATACGAGGCTCACATTTTGAGGAAAGCAGTGCACGGTTTCTTTACACGTTTGCTTTGAAACTCGACATGTCCCGTTCACCCTAATCGGAAATGTCGAACTGAAATTCTAAACCGGTGCTTAGAGTTAGTATTATGAGCGTTTGTAATGCGTAAATACCCTATACGCTAACCCAACCCCCCGCCGTTTTTAAACTGCTATATACAATGTTTGAACATACAGAACACGCGGGCGCTAGCTTGTTTTTCCTGAGGATATTGAACTTATTATGTTTTTGTTTTTTTTTAAGAACGAGGTTGAAGGCAAACTCGAGTGCATGACCAACAATATGGCCATTCATTCTGCTGCTCTTCAAGTAAGTCTCAACTTTGTGAAATCAAAGAATTTTGAACTTTCAAACCAAAAGGAGCGCGGCTTCGCTCCTTTTATTTGATTTCCTGTTGTATTATTTTGATACTTTGTGTGCATATTTATAAGAATTGTTTCACCAAATACTGAAATTAATGGTAAAGAAGGAACTGAAAAGAAATAAGCTATTTCCTCTCAATGACGTTATCGACATTTTTTTCTAAAAAATGTTTTAGTCCTTGGTGGAGGACATTTTAGTGTCCATTTTCATTGAACCCGGTGCCTTAGTTTCTATATTTATGTATGATATAATCAAGATAATGATATTATTTTATTTGATGATGTGATAATCATTTTTCGATATTATATGGTCTCATTGCATTCGTTGTGCCTCCTTGAAATGTGATACTATGGCAATTAATTGACATTTAGCTCTCTTATATCAAGTGACAATTCTCTGTTTACCTTCGTCTGTGAATGTCAGTATTCTAGCAATATTTCTCTTTTTTAATGACCAAGTCCATTTTATTTGCTTGCGTGTCGTAGGTTCACAAACCTACATCTTGGAAATGTTAAAAGTATTGCCCCACTATTAGTATTTAATGGGTATATGTGTCACAATACACTTCGTCGTGCACGGCTTCTTTCAAAGCCTCCGGAGCCCAGTTTCTAAATTCAATCATTTATTACGATCAGGCCCTTTTTTTCATATATGGCTGATCTTAGACATGAAGCTTGGCTTGATCAACCTGCACTAACATATGAATATAATAATTCAGACACACATTACTCGACAAAGGTTCGGTACAATTGTTTGCCATATCTAAAATATTTTTTTAGTTATACCGCTAGTTCGTATAAATTACAGTAGTTTTCTCATTATAGTTCCCAGACAAAAACTTCACTTGAAAATCTTAAATGGTCCATGCCCGGCACATAGTCCGCACTTGGTGCGAATTCCGAACGTAAAAAATAATTTTCCTGTACGAGCTGGTAACATATTTTAACTTCTAATTAACATATGATGTAATTCACAAAATTCTTCACGTCTAGTTATACCGAACGACATTGAAAAAACAAACCCTTGTTGTCCGCACAACACCTGCATATTGCCCGCATCGCATAAAATTAGTTTTTATACTTGTATAGTTTGCGGATCATAGTGCAGGGACCACGGAACATGAAGATGTCCAATAAACACCAGAACATACGAAATTATGTCCGAGGTTATATACGCTTAATATAATTTGTCTAACGTTTGATACATTTATTGTACAAATCGTACGTGAAATATTTGTCTTTTCAATGGGCAACTGCAGGCACTTGTTTTGTCGTGTGCTCTGATTGTGAATCGAAAAACTCTTCTAAACAAATGGTGCCGTATCTTCCAAGAAAAAAACACTATTTTTTTCCAGGCCCAGAAAGAAGTGCAAACCACCCAGAAGGACGTCTTTGAGCGACTCTTCGAGGTGTGTTATTATTGTTAAACTCTTGTCTCGAAACAATATTGTACAGTCATTTTCTCCGAACTAGCTTTAAAATATTTCCGTGGATTTACGTTTGTTTTCAGGAAGGCGAGAAATCTATTCAAAGCTTTCGAGCAGAAGTTCTCGAGAAGTTTGTAAGTATCTAATGCTTTCTTTATCTTGAAATTAAAAACATTTTCCTGATGTCTGCAAATGACAAACCCAAGTTTTTTTTGTGTTTTTTTGTGTTTTTTTTTATAAACACGCATATTTTCTATAATTTTAGTTATTATACTTTGTTTCACCTTAGGTCCAGACGCAGCGAACGCTACGAGCTGATGTGACCAATCCAGACAGCTTCAAAAACGCACCGTCATGGTGTTCGTTATGTTTCTGTACGCGTTCTACTATCGCTGGACCAATCATAGACAGAATAGGCCTAGTAACTTCCTCTTTTGTCGCGGTTTGATTGGTCTCGCTAATCTTTAGACCAATCTTAAAAAAAGGCTAAAGAAGTAAAATCAAGATCTCTGCCACAACGTGCATGGTTAGCTCTCCGACGCTGGCTTTTGAACTTCTTAGGCCAATAGCGCCCTGTGTTCAATTTAGACTTCTTCGCTTTTCACATTGCTCGCACAAGCATTGATTCAAAAAAAAATTTGTGAGGCTCCTCTGATTGTTACATTGAATTAGGCATAATCGTCCGCCAGAAATAAAAACGCATGAGAAAAGCAGAAAAGGTTTCAGTTAAGCGAACGTACCCTTTGTGTTTCTGAGTAAAGTACGTGAAGCTGAGAGTAAGAACCGCCTGTTTCTTTGGTGTCTCAAAGGTGCTCCAAATGCATACAATTTATAGGTCCTCTGTGACGTCATAGGGTCACGTGACGCCCCGGTTTCACGCAAAGACCCTCGCGCTGATTACGTCCCTATTAAACTTTATAATGTTGATGAAGTGCAAAAACCGTGACGTCGACAGCGTGACGTCATCATCGGGGTTTCATGCCACGAACGCGCTCTAGACGTTTCCTGTTTCCTGTCCTCAGTCATGTGGGTACAGACGAGAAGGGAAGGGGCATACCCTCCCCTCCTTCTCCTCAAGAGCTGCGCTCTAATTTCGCGTTAGAGAGGTTTCTAAACGACTTTCATTTTTTTCTTGGCTCCCAGTCTGAAGTGCCGACAGAGTTCACGCACGTGTGGAAGATACAACCGTACACCCACCTGAGGGACGCGACTGCAGCGTCATTCACCAAGCGCCTCTCGTCGGGGAAGATATACACCGGCACCCCCGGCTACTGCATCGAATTCCTCGTCGACCTGAATGGCGCCATTGCCGGTTCCACCGCAACTCACGTGGGAGCCATGTTCAAGATCCACAGTGGAGAGTACGACGGCCTGATGCCGTGGCCGTTCTATAGCAGGGTGAGGACAGCACGGGCATGTTCCAGCGGAATGCCATGCACAGTATTAGTGCGCAACACGCGATATTAGCACCTCCCTGCTTGTCTTTTCTGCTGGGTGGCGTGTCCTTCGCTGGGATTGAGTAGAAAACCCAGGTTGAAGAAAGTGTCCCTCTCGAACTACGGGGAGCGTTTGCAATTGAATGGCGGCCGCATCCTGCAGCGGGTGATTGGTTGCAAGTGCGCATGCGTTGCGTTTTCGCGAGGTGAGGGGGAAAGCAGGCTGGAAAGCGGGGACGTTTGCAGATGATCCACGCTTTTCTTTAGCTATATGGATCCATGCCTCTGCTTCTTGCGAGGGGGTTGCGGCAAGAACGTCGAACTCTGATTGGCTCAGATTGGAAGGATAGTGGGTAGACCTCAAGCCTGCTATAGACCTTGCCAGAGCTAATTTCAATCTGGCGGAAATGCCGAGTCACTGAGCTGTGCACGCATGCGCAGCGTCTGATATACTGCACAACAGAGCAACAGCGTTTGGTCAAAAGGCGTTTCACAGCCCAGCAGACAAAGATGGCAGCGCACAAAAACCGATTTTTGGAAATGTTTATGCGGAACGCAAGTCGTCTGCATCTCGTGCAGGGGTTGCGGCGACGTCAGAACGACACCGAGTTATAATTGGCTTTGATTAGAAAGATAGTTGGTAGACGTGAGTGGTAGATGCCTGAAAGTCTACCCCCTACTTCTTTTCTTTTTTTTCAAATGGCGAATCAGAGCTTGGCGTTCTGACGTCACTGAAACCCCTGCGCAAGAAGCCGACAAACTTGCGCTCCCGGTATAGTCACTGACAATAAACGCAGGGCGTGGTGAGTGCCAAGCATCTTATCGGTCCGCAGCCAATGAGATTGCGGCATTCGTAGATGAGAACACCGAGGAACCAATGACGAAGCCGAAAGTGAGAAAATAAGCCCCGCCCTGCGTTCTTCAAGCTGTCGGTGACTACGCAGAGCGCAATTTCGTCTGCTTCTTGCACAGGGGATGCGGTGATGTCAGAACACCGAGCTCTTATCGGCGGATTGCAGAAAAGATAGTGGGTATAGACCTCAAGGGATTTCGCATTGAGGTTTATCCCCTATCCTTTCAATAAAATCCAACAAAGCTCGGCGTCGTTCTGACGTCACCGCCATTCCTGCCCAGGAAGCAGACGACAGCCTATCTTTTAGTTGTGCGTCCATCTATTGCAGATCGTCCTCACACTCAAGAACCACCTCTACCCAGACAAGAACGTCCAGTTCCAGATCGTTCCGAGGGACTCGAGTCCAGAACTACTGGAATGCTTCGCGAGGCCACAGCCGGGCCTCTCCAGCAAAGCGTTCGGCATCAGCAAAGTGATCAGCACGCCCCTGCTGGAGAACGAGAGCAAGGGTTTCCTGCTGGGCAACTGCGTCGTCCTCACGTTCGCTATCCACCCAGACCTGGACCTCTGAAGCCAGACGATATGTTGAGAAGCCGAGGGAGAGGATGAGATTAGAGCACGCGACGACGCTAAAGCGCCGAGCCCTTATTCAAAGAATAGTGGGGAGGCACAACGGCTTGCCCTTGTCTATGCCCACCCCTCCAATCAGAGCGAAGGAGGGCGTCGTCTGCTCTTCGCGCCAGGGTCTGGCGTTCGCCGTTCAAACACCAGACCTTGATGGGGACCAGACGACGCTTTCGTACGCTCTGATTGGAGGGAGACCGGAGATAGAGACAGGCAGCTAGCCTTAGCGTCTACCCGCCGTTCTTTCTACCGGGGCTTCGAGCCCTGGTGTCACCACGAACTCTGACCTGCTTCTCTCCCTCGATTCTTCTCACCGTGTATGGTGCCTGGAACGCGTGTCCGACTGGTACCCTCACCGCGTCCTCAAAGGTGGTCCCTCGATTGCTGCCTGATGACCAAGCGCCAGGGTCGCGACACGCATGACGCGCCGGCTCACGCGACTCATTTTGTTGCCCCTTCGGGTCGACCTTTGATCTATGGGCGGGATAGGATGCTCAACATACCATTGGAAGCCGCTTTCTAGGGACCATAGCCAAACGAACCAGCGCGTGCCGTAGTAAGGGAGGACACAAAAAGAAGTTTGTAGGGAAATAACTTCTTTCGGTAGGTGTTCAGCAGTAGCGGCCTCTTGAAATGGCATGCCCGTCTGAGTTCTCTGCTGACCGCAGCATCGTTTTTCACTTGACGCGAAATGAGACGTACTAATTAATAAGCGATGTTGTTTGTAGCGATTAATCATTCATTCCTTCGGTTTCCAGTTCATGGCGTTCAGCAATGTATTTGATCACTTCAGAACAATAAAATCGTTGATATCACTTCGTTGCTTTCTTTACTTAGACGGTAGTGTTTAAGTGCACTTTTATTCAATTAATTGTGTGAGCGTTCAGTCGGAGGTTGGGCTTCCACGGTTCAATACGAGTTTCACCCGAATATTGACGGAGCACTCGGGTTCAACCTGTGCTAGCTTCTGATAGATGATGTTGAAAATTTATACATAACTTGCACTGACGGCACTCGGTCAGACGGGGTGCATTCAATAATTGAGGCTATGTATACATGAAACATCCGGAGTCAAAAGAAAGAAAATAAAAACTAACTGTCCATAGAAAATTATTGCTAAGCCATTTATCTCCAAATCGCCAGGAAATCGTTTTGGGCTGTTCTGGCGGTTACTGCGATTGTAAAATTTGCGAAATGAAAAAAAAAAAAAAAATATTGGTTTACCTATTCTACACTTCATTTGGCCCAAATAAGCGTCAAAGTAACACATATATTTTTCGTATACATACAAAGTATAGGGAAAACAGTTTTGAATTTTTCTTGATTTACTCGGGTGAGGCAATTTTTCCACAATTTTAGCGAAAGCTCCCACCAAGTTTAATCACCTTTGCAGTAAATACCAGCGCGATGAGTTCGGAAGCCGGTTTATGTGGCCGGTTTAAACTGCGTTCAATCCATTTCGTCCACGCTGTATGGGAAGCAGACGGAGGGAGCCCATCAATGCAAACAAACTGCCGTTATCACTTCTCTCCTTGTCACCATCGTGTGAATAAAACGAGGGAGAGGATTCAGGAAAAGAAACGTGCAGCAATCACTCGTGCAACGGTGAGTTGAGAAAAACAAATAAGAATAGTAAGGTTTTCCTTCTTTCTTTAGACCGCGCTTGCCGATTTATGTTTTTATTTATTCACTGCTGATTCTTTTTTTTTTTTATGAGTGCGTATTATGACTTTGAGAATACTTTGAATGCTCATGACTTTGGGAATGCTTCCGTCCTTTCACTTAGACAGCTGTAACCGAGACATAAAAAATAATGGCAAATGCTTGTTTGTTTGTTTTTGTTTTTTCATTGATGTGTTATTTTTGTCTCCCTTACATATGGGCACGCCCGTGAGGTTCAATGACGCACACCCCATCTAAATAAAGTTTATCCAACCAACCAACCCGTAACGTTAGCACTATACTCGGTGACGGGTTAGGAATACAGGGGAAGCTCCTCCCACCTTCTTTCCCCTTTGGCGGAGCAAAGAGTGGAGAGGAGGTCAACTCCTCTCCAGCGTTTGCTTTACTAAAATGGAAGGAGGTGGAAGGGAGGAGCTTTCCCTTCACACTTCACCTGCCACCGAGTTTAGTTCGGAAGGAACCCACCAGTCGAGCGCCCTTTAGAAAAGAAAAAAAAGAACGCCTGCTCGCGTCGAGTTGCTAGAGAGTTTTAGCACTGAGGATAGGAGCAAACGCAAGCACTGGGGGTTTGTGTTGCGAGCACCAGGCTGCACGTGCGCGTCGTCGCCATGCACCAATCCTCCCGCGCAAGCGCAGTGTGGAACATGCAACGCTAACCCAAGTAGTCAGTGCTTGCGTTTGCTTGACTATGGTGCCTGGAACGCGTATCCGACTGTTCTCTTTACCTATAGTGACCAGACGTCCCGATTTAGGAGGGCAGGTTTCGCTTTTCCGGCCATGGTCCCGCCAGCATACTTGTTGGACGGCGTTTTGTCCAACTTCGGCTGTCTTGAACCCAAGAATAGAAAAACGACGTTGTTAAACGGAAGTATCGCACCAGTGAGAGGTTGCTTTCCCTGATGAAGGTACAAAATATGCTTGGCAGAGAAGAGCATTAAGCTGGAGGTTTTTTTGCAAATGACATCTGAACAGTACTATGGACATGAAATCTACAAAAATTAATACTTTACTAGACAAATGTTCCAACCAAATATATGAGATATGCATGCCAAACAGTATGCAAACTGCAAGGAAAAGAAATGTGCACGGTGTATAAAAAATAATAAAATTATGTAATTTGTTACCGAATTTAAACTTTTCGAGTATCGCAACGCAACACAACCCCCCCCCCCCCCCCCCCCCCCCCCCCCCCCAAATGCGTCCCGCTTTAGGGCCCGAGCAATATGGTCACTTTATGTTTACCGCGTTGGGTCCAAAAGGTTACTATAGATTTCCCCATAGTTACGTTGTCGCCGGCCGCGATCCTGGAGGCGTCACGAAAGCAGTGCATTGGGTGCGACAGACGCCTGTTGTGCAGCAGGTCGCTCTTGAGCTTGACAGTGCACGGAAGCTTCGGCAGTCAGGAGTTGGAACGCCATGACGACAGCGACACTCACGTTCGCTCGTGCTTTCTCGCCAGCATTCCTACGACCAACCGCCGGGATCGTGACGTCCGACAGCGTGACACTTCGGCTTTTGTGACGTCTTTTGTTGACACTTCCGGATTGCTCTCGAGGCATGGCCGAAATAGGACACGCTAAAAACTTCAGTCGGAGGCCCGTTCCAGGCACTGTTTACTAAAGCTCATTAGCGAGTTTTAGGGGACCGTTTTTGCACACGATAAGGTAAAAACGGATAAGGTAAAAACGGGTAAAAACTGTACGTGTCCAGCTTCTTTGCGTGCTGGCATTTTGTAGCGCTGGCTCTTGCGGACTTTCCCTTCTATTGGTGTTCTCTGCTTTACGCTGCCGTGCTAAGCGCATTGAATTCGAGAGGGAACCAACACGCTCTCCTAATCCTCCTCTCTCTTTCCCCTCCTCTCTCACACAGCACCACCATCGCGTTTCTGTTACTTCTTCGACTTCCCGCTCGCACCAGATAACTCAAACTCTTATCTTTTGTTGCTACGGGCAGACCGCCGCAACGCCTTATCACAAGGAGGCCGACACTGGTGTGTGTGTGTTTAGTTCGCCCCTACCGCCTCGATTCAGGCCCGAAGGGAGTGCCTGAGCGGCCATCGTTGTTTTTAACCCCCGTCAATTCCGAAAGGTAAGGATAACGTGCGTTATTCAATTTTGCGTCTGCCATATTTATGCGGTTTCGTGCCCTTTGCCGCTGGAGAGAATCGACCCCAACAGCTTATCTTCGACTGTGTAGCCACAGAATGGTGTGGCGACTCGTTATTCCATCTCACGGGTTGCACATTGATGTGTAGTACAGCCGGCTGCAAAAGTATGCGGGGCACGGGAGCTCCAGCCGAAATGGCTGGCTGCGTCTTCTGATGGCGCGTTGTCGCTCTCAACACTCAAGCTTTGTGCATGCGCTTCCTATCGTGTTCGCAAACATGTTTTTTTTTTGCTCGTTTTTATTTAGTCTACTTGACGAGCACGAGAGAGACTGGCGCAAGGTGCAGCGAAATGTTATCCGGAGCAAGCGAGCTTCGTGCCATTCATCACGGTGGCTGAGTCAGGCGCGCGGCATGACGACCTGCAAAGCGGCACCTCGCGCTGGCGGTCTCGGTTATCATGTGCGCACCGGACGGAAGGGAGTGAAAAAAACATGACTGCAAAAGTCGCAGACACAGGAGGAAGCGCATTATCGAAGCACGAGTCATGAGACCGGTCTCGCGCCGTGAGAAGCGTACCCAGTCATCTCGGCTGGCGTTCCGGTGCCGGTGCTTCGTACAAGTTTCAAACCAAAAAATCCTCGAACCAAATCTCTTCGAGGGTGGTTTGCCAAAATTGGTGGATTGAAAAGATAAGTGGTTTATAAATAGCTGATTCTAGTCCATTAGTGAGTACAAAAGACCGATTTCTAAGCCGACAGAAAACTCTGTTTCGAAAATTTGGAATAATCGGAGAAGTATAACGGCTACCTTTTCCTAGTAACGGCCAACTAACATTTTGTCTCGAGTAATCTAATTGGCATATTTTAAGCAAAAGTAATTGTAATTCTAATGGATTACTTTTTTCGAGAAATGTGTACAAGACTGCGCTGGGGGACATGTGCGCTCTTCCGGGACACGAAACTGTTTATTCTTATCGGGCCTTACTTCTAATAAGCAAGAAACCTTGCTGCAAACGTAATTTTTTTTAAGCGGTTGGCAGAATAAGTTTTTATAAAATGGTCGGTATGAACTAATGTCGTGCCTTAATGTAAAGTGGCTAGCGGTATGAGCTGGAATGCGCACATGGCGACCTGGCAGATAAGGATGACGCTGTCTAGCACGCAGCGAGTGGTCGGTCAGACTCATACCGGCACTGGAGGTGTTCAAATGTGTCTACTCACCCGCGGCGCACGATGTACAGTACCTTCCATACCCCGGCGCACGCACGGTAGACGTGCGACAGCGTGGTTCGTACTACCTGGTCACCATTTATTTATTTTATTTATTTATTTGCATACTCTCAAGGCCCGGAGGCATTACAAAGAGGAGTGGTACTATACAGTATAAAATCGTTGGCTACTTTCTTGAAGTCTGTAGCTTCAGTGATGGCAGCAATGGAGGCAGGGAGGTGGTTCCAATCGTTAGAAGTTCTTGGAATGGAGGAGTCAAATTATATGTTTGTTCGACATGATGGAGTCCGCACCTTAAACTGATGGTCAGTGCGAGACGATATGTAGAATGCACGAAGATATAACTGGTCTCAAAGAAGCGGGCTATGATGATAAATTTTGTGGAATAGGCATAGGCGAAGATACTTGCGACGAAGGGCAAGGACAGGTAGATCCAGGGTTAATTTCATTGCGGAAACACTTGCATTACGAAAATAATTAGAAAGAATAAAACGAGCAGCACGGTTTTGGATGGACTCGAGAATGTTTGATAAATGAAGCATGCCCAGGATCCCAAATTGTACAAGCATACTCAAGTTTAGGCCTAACTAGGGATTAATATAATTGTAGCTTCACGGGAACAGCAGCAGAAACAAAGTGTCGGCGTAAAAACCCTAGCATGCGGTTAGCATTATTACATACGTAGTTCACATGCATGTTCCAGGAAAGATTATGAGTGATGTGTATGCCTAGGTACTTGTACGAATCGACATATGATAACGGAGTATTGTTAAGGACGTACACGGTAGGGTCGGCGATACCCCGAAAGACGGGAAACACGCATGCTTTGTTTGGAATTTGTTAACGTTAAGCTTCATTACCCAGCTTGAGCACCAAGAATAAATGATATCAAAATCAGACTGGAGCATTGTAGTACCACATGGGCTAGTAATCACACGGTATAACACACAGCCATCGGCAAACAGTTTGATATAGGATGCAATCTGGGCAGGAAGATCATTGATGTAAATTAGGAACAATAGAGGACCGAGGACAGATCCCTTAGGCACCCCGGAAGATACATAAATAGTAGAAGTATTATGTTCGTTAGCAGTGACATATTGTGATCGGTCAGATAAAAAGCATCTAATCCAGCCCAAAACGTTAGGGTCAATGTTTAACTTACTAAGCTTAAAAAGAAGTAATTCGTATGAGACAGTGTCGAAAGCCCTAGAGAAGTCTAAAAATATACAGTCAACAATATCGCCAGAATCAATAGAACGAAACAGGTCATTAGTAAATGATAATAGCTGCGTTTCACAGGAAAATGATTTGCGGAACTCATGCTGACAGTCAGCGAAAAGCGAGTTGGATTCAAGAAATGCGATAAGGTGAGAGTAAATTATATGTTCAAGGAGCTTACAGGGCACGCTAGTTAATGAAATGGGTCTGTAGTTCAAGGGAGAGCATGTATTACCTGATTTATGCAAAGGAACCACCTTCCCTACCTTCCAATCACTTGGTAAGGTGCAGGAATGTAAGGAGTGGGAAAAAAGTTCGCAAAGAATTAAAGATGAGTAGGTCGCTGTACTTTTCAAAAACTTCGAGTTGATACCATCAATTCCTGCAGAAGAGGAAACCCTTAAGTTCCGAATTAAGCACTCAACACCAAATGAGTCAATAGAGATAGGAAACATCGGCAAAAAAGGGCGTTAGAAAAAGTAGGGTAACTGGTTGGCGTAACGCGAGAAAACGATGCAAACACGTCATTCAAAACAGTGCAACAATCATTTTGAGCGATGGGATCATTACTTTAGTCACAAAGTTCAATCTTATCGGACCTATTGCCGCCGACCACATTCCAGAATTTTTGAGGATTATCTCTGAGAAAGGAAAACAGTGTAATATGATAAAATTGTTCCTTAACCTGTGCGACAGCTTGTTTGTACTCGGTATCAGCAGTGTCATAGACGCACCAACGCTCAGGAGTGTTCGCTATTTTTGCGCGCCGAAATGGCCGTTTCTTTTTGTTTAACAAACGCCTAAGGCGCGGATTAAACCAAGGGGCCCGCGAGTTCGAGCTGATACGTCTTTTTGGAATATACCGGTTAACTAAAGAAGTTACTTTCTGCTTGGACAGAGACCAGTTTTCCTCAACTGTTCTTGTATGGAAACTAGGAATGTAATCAGCAATAAACGCTTTCAATTCATTGTTAATAGAAACAAAATCGGCACTTTTGTAGTCGCGAATAACTTTCGATGAATCAACTGATGAAACAGAGGCCTGCACATCGCACTGAATAACACGATGATCACTTAAACCAGGTAGGTATGTTAAGGGGGGCACAAGTTCAGGGGTTGTAGTAAGAACCAGATCTAATATGTTCGCGTTCTAGCTCATATCGCTAGCCGCTGTCCTTCAGAAACATGAACAGTGGCATCGGAAGTATTTGTTTTGTTTTGATTGACCCACCAACAGCTTAACGCCTCCTTAGTGGTGCACTTATCAATGAGTCAGTTAGTAGTAAAATTTTAAACAGGATAAAAGCGAAATGTTAGGAAGAAACAATAGTCTCAACCCACTTTCGAAATTTACACTCTTCATAAAAAAATATGAAGACTAACATTGCCACAAATATGTTCTAAATTGTTATACGTCAGTTGCAGGCGTGTCATGGATGCAGCATGGTAAAAATCGGTAGGGTAAAACGAAGTATAAACTGTTCTAGACCTACGAGAAACGTGCAAGTAAATGTGACTGAGTAGCTCTGGGGAATCAATTATACCATTTACAATCTTATACAAATATGTCAGTCCACGAATTGTTCTCCTGTTGTGCAACGAGTCTAACTTCACGAGTTCGCAAACCCTCTCATAATTATAAAAATAATTTGGTTGAAAAGAACGATCAAACAATACACGAACGAATCTACGTTGAATACTCTCAATTACACCTGAATTTCTCACTCCAATGCAGTTCGGAAGAACTGAGGCGTATTCGACACGACTAAGCACGAGTGAAGAAAGCAGACTTAGAATACAAAGTGAGTTAGAAAAACCGCGTGTCACTCGCGTAATTGTTACCAGCACTCTAAAGGAAGCATTCGCAATTTTAGTCACGTGATTTTGGAGGTGCAACCCTCAATGCCGTGAAAAAAAAAAAACGGAGAATTTGAAAGCTTTACAAAAACTGCGCTTCATATAAAAAACAATAATAATAATCCACTGCAAAAAAATACTTGTTTTTGTTGTTTTTTTGCAAGGAAACTTGCATTGTTGTAGCATTATGGACCCTTTTCAAAATATCGCCCTCTGTTTGGATCTGTGAAATCCCTGCACAATCAACCTAAGAACGAAGGGCGAGGGTAAGACGGGCCGGGAAGGAGGAAGCAGAGGGAACGCTGGAGAAGAGAGGGGGAAACCTCCTCTCTTTAGCGTTCTGTCTGCTTCCTCCTCCCCGGCCCGTCTTACCCTCGCCCTTCGTTCTTAGGTTGCAACGGCGCATTCACACTGGAAGCGGATCCGCGTTCGCGAAGCAGTCGCGGATGCGGTTCGCGAGCGACCCCATTCAGACACACCGAGAGGCGGTTGGCGGTTTCTCGGCGATCACGCGTGATATTTTGAGACTTGCGTTTGGCAACCCTGTTTTACAATCCAAAATCCACTTTAATTCAAGATCCAAATCCAAACTTTTGCTATTTTGGCACTCGGAATATCGGAAGCCAGCCTTTGCACCAAGATCAAAGGAGCGGCAAATGGCCAGCTTTCGGTGTTTTTGTCCGCCAAAACTCACAAAGAGGGCATTCCTTTTCGGGCCATAGACTCCGAGAAGACAACGTGGCAAGCATGTGTTTCAAGGTTTTTGGCACAACATTTCTCAAAAATACACATTGAGGATCCATTCCGGATTCCCAACTCAGAGCAAGTAAAAACTTATCTTGAAGAAAAAGGAAATAGTATAGTCTCGGGGTTTTCCTTGGACGTACAGGACATGTACTACTCCATCCTTCAAGCAAGGCTATTGCACGTTCTTAGAAATACCATTGAAAATCAAGGCCTTGCGAAGTTCCAAAATGGAGCAGGTGTTAGCATAGATACCTTCTTGGAGGTTTTTCCTCTCCGCAACGGTAATGACTTACCAAGATCAGCACTTTGTCCAGAAGAGTGGAGTGTGTATCGGGTCAAAAGTGGCACCATATTTGTGCGACGTCTTTTTAAGCGCGTGTGGGGTTGCTATACAACAAGCTTTGAAAGATGCACGGGTTGCAGTTATTTTTCGGTATGTTGATGACTTTCTTATTTTATGTACCACCGAAGTTTATGAAACATCAGACGGATGCCTTAACACCACTCTTAGGGATTTTCAAACAAATTGCATGGGCTTCACCTTTACATACGAGCTTCCCGCTGATAAGTCTATCAGGTTTCTGGATTTGGCCTTAGACTTCCAAAATTAACACGTTTGTTGGAGATACGAAACGCGATCGGGGAAAGGGTTCCTTTCCTTTTACTCCGAACAATCGAAAAATGTAAAGCAAGGGGTAGCCACCACAGCTCTCACAGCTAGCCTCAGAAAAACATGTTCACATCAGATGGGACGAAGCTTCGAGACCCAAATCTCCAGATTCCATGAGGCCGGATATCCGAGACCCTTCTTAGCCTCCATCTGTGAAAACCTCTTCCAAAACATCAAGAAATCCAGCCGAAAGAATGACTCTAACACACCAAAGAAGGTTCCTAGATCACCTTTCGCAGTGGTTCCGTATATTCATGGTGTCACCCATAGGTTGAAAAAGATCGCCACAAGGCAGGGCGTCAAAGTAGTGTGCTCGGCACCCAACAAGGGTTATGCCATGTGCCGGAAGGTTAATCTAGCAAAGGCCAACAACGCCGGCACTTGCAACACCAAACGTAAGAATAAGTACGTCCAATGCGAAAAGCGAGTAGTTTACAACATACCACTGTCATGTGGGCGTGTGTATATTGAACAAACGGGAAGGTGCGTGAACGATCGAGCACGTGAGCATGCAGCAAACATAAGAACCCTAACAGGGCCGGGGCATTTAGCTGCTCATTGTCGAGCATGCACGTGCGAGGCCGAGCTCGAAATGGGAACCATTTTAGCTCACCACAAAGACCAGCTCGCCCGCGAAATACTTGAGGCCTTGGCCATAGAAGATAAAGAAGAAAACTGCGTTAGTTCACCATCTATTGCCCTACAAGAAAGCGAAAAACGATTCCTTCGGAAAACCAGTATCCGAGATGGCACAGAAAGATCAAGTAGGAAGAAAATGAAGACATTAATAGAGGAGCAACAACATTAAATGATAGAATAAGTTCCGAGAAGGTAGCCACAACGCCAGTAGACAAAGAGAGGAAAACGAAGGATCATTATTAAATAGTTGGTGGTCCAGCGGATCGCTCCTTTCTCCCTATTTTCGTACTTCAGCTGGTTTAACCGTTGTAATATGTACCACCAACTAGCTCCGCTTCTACCCCCTCTAGGTCATGGCACACTGGAAATAACACGTCCACAAAAAAAAAAGGAAATGAGCGCAGTGACGTTGCACTTTCGACACTGTTTGATTAGCTCGTCGGCTCCTAGCGTTGGCCGTGTTCCGACGTTCTCTATCTTATGAAATGACTAGCACTTTACTCGATGCAGTTGTTCCGCCATTGTGCAGGGGTTCCCACCTAAAGTCCCTTGATACTTGTTACAAGTATCAAGGGACCAATGCAAAATGACAAAGCATATTCCGCTGGAACAAACTGGCGGCATTCAGTTCAAGCCTCTGCTGTGCGCTGCCATTCGCTTCCTAAAACCTCCACCGTCACGCAGTCGGCGCTTCAAAGAATGTCGCTACTTGTATGAAACTCTTATCTGGGGACTTTACTCCGACATTCTAATAATCGCACGCGACTTTCGAAAGGGGACAAGCCTAAGATCAATCCTCTGACTCATCACCCCTATATGTTAGTGACCTTGTGTCTAACAAACCGAATTCATTGTAACGAACTTTTGCCTGGCCATGGTTCTCTTGACTCGAGGGATATCTTGACTCGATAGGTCTCTTGACCTAAGGTATGTCTTGGCCAAAGGCGATGAAAAAAAAAAAGAAAGAAACAAGCTATGAAGTCTTTTTTTTTTTATTCTTTTTATTTCAGTTCTTTGTAGCAATGGAAGCACCGAACGGACATCGCGCGTTGGTCAGGGGCTTCGACGGAATCTCAGAGGACGAGACGATCACCTTTTGCGGCCAACTTCCCGACGGAACCTACTGCAACCTGTGCCGAAACGTCTTTCCTTTCCTGCGTCGAGACCCAGACGACCACTACTTCTGCGAATCGTGCACGCAAATGTCCACTACGGACGGTGTGTTCGAGTGCCCCGAAGACGGTACCTTATATTCTTTCGAGCTGCAGGTGAGAGCCATAACCAAAGTCAATTATTATATTTCTGCAAAGCGGAAAGGGGGGGGGAGGGGGGGGGAGGGGGGGGGGGACTTAATTAAGCTGACCGCTTATGGCAATGGCATGCGGAAGTTCCTTTTTTTTTTTCTTTCTTTGTGCTAGAAATAAATGTTTCGTTTTTATGGCCATGGAAAATATGAAGTTAACAAAATTGATTTGGGCAACACTTCGTTGCCCAGATCTGACGTTTCGAGATCTGACGTTACAAACAGATGTTACGTCACGTCCCACCAGTTCGTAACGTCCGATCTCTCTGCAACGTTTGTTAGCTCGACGGCTGCGTGACGTCACAAAACTTTGGGTCACAAAACATCACGCAGCAGCCATTAACACTGGCGAAATTCGGAATACAGTTTCGCACATACGCTCATGAATGGTTTAATTAATAAGGAGAGATCATATAAAAAAAATTGTGTTTGTCTATATGAAGGCTCCCTCTACGTAACGAGCGCAAAAACTTAATAAGTACTTCCAGTTTTGACAGGACAATCCCTATGAGACTGCTTACGCATTCCTACTCAGTGCCCACACCGCATTCCTGCAAGCAGCGCGCCCCGCCAGGTCGTAGAACGCATTAAACTAGGGTGCCTACATGTTTCCGCTCCGCTTTAGGGTGGCGCCAACTTCTTGTTACCCTTTCCCAGATCCTCTCCTGCCGCCATTTTTTCCCACTTCTTATTTCGCTAAACGTAAACAACGTTGAGTTTCTGTAGTCTCGACACACCGGCAACACTGTGAGGCCACTTCCGTTTCCGTTCATAAGAGGAGTGGGAGGCTCAGCGGGATGGCGGTCGTCGTGGCTGTCACTCTCTTTATTCGGGTGTTTCATATATTGAAGTTGCGAGCAGGAAGTGTGCGTGGCTTTTATCGAAACGCGAGTTCCCGCGACAAAATGGAACGCAACAGACCGGCATTGAACGCCGAAACCTTGCCGTCGGAACGAGAGCGGTGAGCGCTCCCTAGCCCTAACGAGGAATAGCGGCGTAGTCCGAGCGCACGACCGGCGAGTGTGACAAAATGGTCGACGAAAACAGCGGAGGCGCCATGGTAACGAGGTAGGCAACACTGGTTCGTCGGCAACAGGTATCACAAACGTTATCGCCACCTTAAACAGCGGAGCGGCGGAAACATGTAGGCACATGAAACAGTAATGCGCAGGGAGAGGGAGCAGGAACTTCCCGCTCCTCCTTCCCCCCCCCCCCCCTCCTCCGGCCACGCCTGACACGTGATCCGAAAAAACGGAGAGGGGCGGCCGCGCGCGCCACTCTCTCTCTTTTGCAGGCGCGCGGGCCGCAGCGCCATGAAGAGGGCTTCTCTGTGGGGTGGCGTTCCTTGGAACTATGACGCGTCGCAGCCAATGGCTATCTAGGTGCTGTTCCGCTCAGCCGATGGGAAAATGGGAATTTAGGTCGCGTTTTTCGCGGTTACAGACGCCGCCGGCTGCGCTCCATGGGACAGTTAATGCTTTCGCATTAAAAAAAGTTCGGTCCCTCGCGGAGCATTAGTACTTTCCCCCTTTATATGGAGAATTAAAAGGCTACTCAAGTGTATCCTAGGATTGTCTATTCATGGTGATAACTCAATCTACGGGCTCTAAGCAGCCCGAAAAGACCCGAGATCACACGCATAAGCGGGCGATTTTCCTATTAAAAAAACGAATCAGAGATTCGAGACGCGCCCCTATTTCTGCACCTTGGAGCAGACACCAGAGGGCGCCGTTGTCGGATGGCTTGATCAAACAATGATCGCTGTATTGCGTCTTTCACACCCAAAGATTCAACATTTTTGTCCAAACACAATGCATAACGCGCCTAGAAAGAGCAACAATAGTAACGTTCGGAATCTTCACGTAAGTAACTCTTTCCATTGGTTAAATTTAATGAAGGTAATAAAATGCCGAAAATGACCTTTCCCCACCTTCTCCCAAGAGAAAATAGTGACCGTGTATTCCTTTTGCTGTGAGATTACTATAGGACGCTTTGCCATCTAAAACTGGTCATTTTTATTGACTAAAGCAAAACAAACAATATGCCATAAAAAACAAGCTTCTACGAAAAGCACTCCAGTGCCCCCTTTAAGATATATTTAAGCGCATTTTAGATCGGGTGTGTTATCTTGCGCTGTTCACATATATGCAACCGAGTAAGACCGAGAGAGACCAGACCGGTGTTTAAGCCTCTTGCGACGTCTTGGGACTGGATGCGCTGGTCCTAGGACGCGCAAGAGACTTAAAAACCGGTCTGGGTATGGTAACAAATAAGTGCAAGGTAGCCGATCACATTCAGACGCAAAGGACTGAACCAACTTGTGTTGAGGGCATTCAATGTTACCAAAAGCCATGTTTTGTTGAAGACGTTGAGGGCGAAGTTGGTTTAAGGTGCTTTATATTTTTTTTTTCTAGCTCGCTCCTAAAGTTGCGGTGTCCCATAAAGTTCGAACCCTGTCTCTGTACTGCCCTCAGTCTCCCAAAGATAATCCGATCAAGATCCCGTTCTCCGCACTAAAGGTAAGGAACATCGTTCAATACAACAACAAAAAAACGCTGATTTTTTTTTATTTTTTTTTTTTTTAGCTGTAAAAGAATAGTTTGTATTTCTCTATGTGATTTTTAAAGCATAGACGCGTTAAAGCAAGGGGGAATTGTGGCAGAGTGTGTTATCGCACACCAGCTCGGAGTACTTGAAGCGACCGATTGTACTGCAGAACCCAAGGATCCTGAGTTCAATGTCCACCCCTGCCCGTTTCGAACGGGAGGGCGCCACGAGAGCGCACCGTGCACGAAAGCGCCGCGACACGAAAGCGGGGTGTGTTTTTAGAGCGCGCGTCATGAGAGCGCTGAACAGCTGCAGTCACTAAGGTACCTATCACCGGGGTAGTCGAGTATCAAATCTCCTTTTGTAGTAACTTGGTTGTTATACATTGAATTAACTGTTACGCGACAGCCAGAACAGCACAATATGTGAATACAGTCTCATATTTCGTCATTAACCCTAAGAACGAACGGACTGGTTTCTAGCGCGTTCCGAATTCGACGTTTTCCCTTCGTTTGCCACAATTAAACGTAATAAAGGTGTAACACCTGCGCGCACTGTAGGCTCTTGTAGCCTTAAGGCGCGTTCACACTCTTACAACCGAGTACGACCGAGAAAGACTTCTTGAGACCGGATGCGCTGAGCGGAGCTGGTCCTAAGAGATCGCAAGAGGCTTAAAAACCGGTTTGGTCTCTCTCGGTCGTACTCGGTTGCAAGAGTGTGAACGGGCCTTTACTCTCAGTAGAGAACTAAAATGTTGGAAGCGTCACTGGATATTGGGAAGGTAGCACCATTGTCTTCCCTGCCTTCTAACCAAACACAAATACTAACATACAGACGACGAACACCTCGCAACGCGATTGGCTAATCGGTCTCCGTTGCTATGGCAATCGCTATTTTGGCCCCTTCAAATCTTGGAAGCTTCGAGAGGCGTTCTAATCCAGTCGCACCTAGATCACCGCTAGATCACCATGGAGTACCATCGTACTCAAGGCACTACTCGCCAATATAAGCGTCTTCGGCAGTGCAATCAACCTACTAATTATGCCCATCTCCACTGTTCTTTTACAATTATATTCTTCTTGCATATTTCAAAACAGGAAAATTATTTTGCAGTGCCTTCAGCACCGACGCCGCATGTGGTGGTGGTACGAAGATGTGCGCTTGTTTCGCCGTTGTGCGGATAGCAAAACTTCGGTATACAAGAAACGCCTCTACAAAGCTACCCGTCACGAGCGAATTTAGATCGGCTCACGAAGAATGGAGAGGGAAAAGAGAAATTTCTCATTTCACGAGCGAAAATGGCGACCATACGGGGAGTTTTTTCGCTACCGGTCCAGTTAGTTAAAACAAGGCAAACTATGGTGCACATGTGAACACCGCGGTGCCTCCCTTTACAGGCACACATGAATCGTTGCCAATGTGCGATTGCTGCAAGAGAGCAAGGCAAGGCAGTGTCTAGCCCACGGCCCCATCCGGTCACATTGCCTCCGAACAAGAACGTCGCAGACGGGGTGGCAACCAAGGTAAAGGATGCGTTCTCTATGGCTGGACACTTCGTGAAAGGTTATAGGGTGTTTACTCTGACGTTATTTCGTCCACCACTTTGTTGTCATATGAGCTGGTTGGCGCATGCTAAAAGCGAGTATTCCGGAGATTCCCATGAAGATTGCCATATTGGTAGTGCACAAACGCTTATAAGTTTCTTCCCGCCTCTTTATTTTTTCTTCTGATTAATAAACCATTTCTCACTCAGTCACTTTAACAACAATATAGCGATCGACGTCATGGGAAAACGCCCTATGTCGAGTGTTAGGGACAAAGAAAACCGTGTTTTTCGGCCCGTGCTACTCATCGCTGAATGATGGAAACTTTGAGAGTGTAACGCAAACAATGATGTTAAAACGCAAAAGTTTGAAAACGTGGCGTTACCTGGATCAAAAGGTAAAAGAGAAAGGGGAGGTTTTCGGAAAAGCCGCACATTCACCTAAGCCTAATATCGTCAAAACCTTAAAGTGGAATTATGGGCGCGAGGAGCATTTATATCCGTGAAAACCACTTGTCTGCGAGAAAAAAGACATTATCATAATTACCGCTAACAATTTATTTTTCGGTTAAATAAATGTTGGAGGTGCCGACAGTGTCATTTCGGAGCGTGTTCATTGTCGTGGGTGCGGTTTTTGAAGCATAATTTATTTCAATAGAAAGGAACTTCAGATGTGAGTTGCGCCGCCGTAGCCATCGCAAATGCCGTACTGTACCGTCGTCAGCTAAATGTGACGGGCTAACTCCTGCTTAAGTTAGTGGAACGCCACTATTGGTCACGTGACCCGTGGTACGTGGCAAAGTTAAATGAATAGATTAGCTCAGCTACGGAACTACCTATAGACCTTTCCATCGCTTATCACCCGTGCGAGAAATACAGTCACTGAGCTGTGCGCAAGGTCTGATATACCACACAGCAGAGCAATAGGGCACATGGTCAGAAGGCGTTCCACAGCCCAGGAGACAGAAGATGGCAGCGCACAGAAGCCGATTTTTGCAAAGGTCTAGGAAGTATGCACTGGTGTCCACATAAGTGTACGTGGCTGCTGAGCACGTGCTGACGGCGAGCTTCAACAGTACTTTTGAAACGTGCATTCCACATCATCAAGATTGCCGGTATTAGCAGATTATTAATGTGAGCTCGTTCCGAGCATGTGCTCTAAACAGTGACCTCAAATAAGGTGTCAAATTAATACCCCCTATAGACGATTGCAAGCCGGGCTCCTGGCCGCCGCCATATCTCTGCTCATGGTGGCAAGTGCGTGCAATTACAAGTTTGCCAAAGCTACGTTCCCGCGCACGCTGCACATGCTTGCACGCATAAGGCACCAGTGAGGCGCCATGCAGTCGTCTATAGAAAGTATTCACTGGAGGCCATGAGCTCGACTGTTGAGCGCCTGCCGATGACAAGCTTTCGTCGTTTTTTTTTTTTTTTTTTTGTTTTTTTTTTTGCGACGTGCATGTTACATTGTCAGGATTGCCGGTATTAGCAGCCTATTAACGTGAGCTTGTTCTAAGCATGCGCTCTAAACCACACCCTCATGGTATATTCGGCTGGTCACTTTCGAGCGCTCCAATCATCCGAGTCGGAGCTACCAGATCCCGGAGCGCCTCCGCATCGGAGCGAGATAATCGGCGCGCCCAGCCGAACGCTCCTCAACTTTTCGGAGCGGCAAGCCGAGCGGATAGAGGGTGGCCTGCGCTACTAGAGGACGTCGCGAGCCGCCCTCTAGCGGACATTTTGCTTCTCGGATTCCGTCAATCCTTGAAAAATGGCAGCCGTCAACGCGAACGCTGATAAGGACATCGCAAGCCAGCCGTGCCAAGCGGAAGTTCCTGCGAAACTATAAAAAAAAAAAGACAACATTACAGCTTGAAAACTATCGTACTTTTGTTTTTACCGCTTTGTCCGAGTAGGTTCGCACTATAGAAACATAGGCCTTGACCTTGGGCATTGTACAAGGTTCGCCAAACAACTCGGCAAACTTTGCTTTGTAAACACGGCCCTCGTTGTCGTCGTCTGAGCTCCTGGTGTTGTCGCTGTCTGCTAGCTTCGCCAGCAGCACTGACGGTGCCACCACTAACATTAAACGTCTTCGTTTCAACGACATTTCACCTGAAATCGGGGAGCACAACACAACGGTGACGGCGTCGAGACTGACGGATGTTTTTCGCAGACCTTTTTCTGCGGAGTAGTTGCGTTCTCGCCGTCCGCTTCCGACAGAAAAGCAAAATGGCGGAATGGCTGGAGTCACGTGACCGGTCGGCAGCCAGATCTCTCGCGCGCTCCCACTTCCATGCCAGAGCGCCTCAAACCGCTCCGATTCGGAGGACGACGAGATTCGGAGCTTGGAGAGCGCTCCGAAAGAACATGTACCGTGAGCGTCTGGCATCGACCAGCCGAATGCACACCGGTTTTTCAGAGCGCTCCAAGAGGCTGAAAAGCGACAAGCCGAATATACCATCAGATATGGCGTCCACTTAATACCCCATATAGACAATTGCAAGCATGGCGCTGCGACTGGTGCCAAATGTGTGCAAGCACGTGAAGCATGCGCGTGAGTGTAGCTTTGTCGAGCTTTACTCGTCAGCACGAGCAGTGACATGGCGGCGGCCTGTCGACCCAGGTGCAATCATCCCCGCCCTCCCCCCGGTTCGCCCGCCTCCCGTTGTTCGACATGCTACGCCACGACCGTTTTGGGGGGACGGCTGCTATGGCAACTGCAGTACGTAATCTATGAAATATGTATGTTTCGAAGCACAGCGTCTAGATGGCGTTTCACCGTACTCTAGGGTTTCGTTTTGAAACGCAAATCTAGAGGGCGTTTCAAACGACAGAAGGCAGACTGAAGTGAGTGGGGAGAGGTGCTCCCTCCACGGGAGTTCCTCAACTGAGCTAATCTAGTAACGTTGGTAGGTAGCGCGATCCATGCGGGACGCCGTTGTGTTGACTCGAGGTGCGAAGCCGTGGAGTTACGTGAACGCGTGACATCTTGCCATGTGACGTCACGTTGCGCCACAGCTTGCCACCCAACGTTGCCACACCTAATAACGCTGTTGACACCGCGAAGTCCTGTGACATCATGACTTCGCACTGCGGGTCACATGACGCAATGACACCACATGACCTGCGTCCTGCTGTTGTGTTGTCCAGATTTACATATGTATCCCTAATGCGCCCTGCATTGAGGGTAATACGTCATATCAGTTACTTCATTCCTCTGCTCCAATGCTTCTGTATCAGCATCTGCCTTAACTTCTTTTTGTTCTGACATTTCGTTTCTAGCATGGCGTGGGAGTGCCTGAAAAGTCAGCACAGAAGACTCAAGAAGAGGATGCGACCCCACCCATTGTTGAAACGGTAACAATTGAAATACACTTCTGGTCCGGTTCTTGTCGCTATAGAAAATCCTGATCCCAATAATGCCCCCCCCCCCCCCCTCCCCGTCATAGCGCGCGGTGAATTAAAGCGATTAACAAAAGCTCGGGGAACCCCCTAATTCAAGAAACAAGTGGACACAACGATTAGCAAAGTTGTTTTGTTTTGTTTTTTATTTTACCAAAAAGGGGCGACGTCGCAGACTGCTTTAAACGTCCCAACTTTGGTGGCTCCTTCTCGGCTAGAGCGATCGCGCCTCCATTCAGAGCAGACAATGCGCACCTTTCCGGAAATCTTCTGCGCGCCGCCATCTTTGTCTACTGGGCTGTGAAACGCGTCCTAAGCATGCGCAGAAGCTCTCTCCTACACTCTGCACATGCGTCCACATTCCAGTAAATATGATTTTTTTTTTTCGCCTAGGTGGTAAAAGGAGTGAAGAACTACGAAAGTAGATAATAGAATTATGAAAGTCTCCTTACGTCACAGTACGTCTCCGATAGACTCTTTTAACACTGCGTGCCATCTAGTAGTTGCTATGCCACTTATCTGAGTCAGCCATTATTTTGGCACGCACTGTGAGTCTGTATTGGACACGAGCGGTGCAGAAACTTTTTCAGCAACATCTGAGTTTCTATTCTCCTTGCATCGCCTCTCAAAATTAAGAAATGTTATTTTTAATTGTAATAAATTAAAAGTGTTTCACAAGTAAAAAATATTACAAACACGCATGTACGTTAGTTTTTATTGTGCCTTCATAATCGATGTTCGCCAAGGCGCAAAGTTTTATGTACTAAGTCTCCAACAAGAAAAAGGACAAATTTGTCGCGGCCGTAATATACGATTGCTCTGAATTCTCCTTGGCCGTGTCCACACTGTTTGGCGTGAGGAGACAAATGAAGCTTTGTTTTATTAATTTATCCTAAAATAAAGTAAGTAAAGGGACTCTGGCCAAAGCGTGCCCACAACATCGACGCATAATCTCGCCCTCGGCATATGGGTCTTTTCTACTTTGGAAGACTGTATACTTGTCATAAAACTAAACTAACAGAACTCAATTGCAGAAAGTCATCTGTCCATATTGCGAGAAGTGGTTTCTCAAGAGTGAAGTCGCCTCCCACATAAAGCAGAAAACATGTACCGGAATGCCACAACAGCAATCGTTGTCGAGCTCAACTCTAGTAAGTATACCTACCTGGACCTAAAAGTTAACTCGAATAAAGTATCCCTAATTACCAAACGTTTCTCAACGTTTGACTCTTTTCTTTTTTTTTTTTTCGCCGATCCGTCCGCAGAACATTCGGTATCTTCTCGGGAAATAGGCTGGCACCATCTTAAATTACAAAACACTAAGTCAGTGAGAAGTGCAATGGCAGTCACGAGTCAAGTTTCAAACATATGCTGAAAGCTGGGTCGCAGGTCTTTAGTCCCAAGCAGCCTGCCTTCAACTACAACCAGTGTCCCTATGTTCAATTTGGTCACTGGCGCTGCTTAACCAACCTTATAAAAATGAAGATAGCTCATAACATGGTGGCCCTAAAAGCTTCAGAGCAATTACCGGTTTAGGAATTAGCTTCCCAAAAAAGTCAACAACTATCTAATTTTAAGTTGTTTCGTTTCTTTTTTTCTTTTTTTTTTATTATTATTTACCATTCACAGAATGGTCACCTACAGCGGTATAATTATGGACGGGGTCTTCTTTTTTTCTTCAACTAAAACCGATTGTGCAGAAACGCTGGTGGTATTTTTTTCTTTGTACAACTTTTGAGTTCACCGAAGCACGTTTAAAGGTAATATAAAAAAAGGTTCTTAAATCTTTATGCTTTCCGGAAAGGCGGCCACAAACTTTTTAGTCAAAGAAGTGTCACCAAGACGCAGACTTCCATGCAAATTGGTAAAACTTGTATTACGGTAACCCACCTAGAATAGAATTAAATGGAGTGTATTCACACAAAATAAAAGATACAAATAGTGCTGGCCAACGAAATCAGATACTGATTGTGTATGGAGCCAGATAGCCAGTATTAATGCGTATTTCTCCCGTCACACGAAGTCGTTAACTAACTTAAAAGAAGGGTTGTTACTTGCAATGAGTGCTGCAATTTACTTCCTGATTGATCCAGACGACATAAATTTGACTTTCCTTTTACGACTCATAAAGAAACTTTCTACGCGAAAGTAAATTGGAGCTACTGACTTCAAAAGTGATTACGTTAACCAGCGCCGGGAAAATCGTTTTTTTCCCAAAACTGCTCTGTGTAGTTGGCGACACCATCAAGACCACAGCAAATACTGTTCAACTCGATAAATGGCCCCACGATCAGTCTCTTGCTAATGTTCCTTGATACTTTAACAGGTAAAGACAACTAACAGGCGTGACGAAGCACATTTCGAGTTAACATAATGGCGTTTTTCCATACTGGTGCTGCAGGCCTCCATCTTGGTTCTTATAACCTGTACCATCACGCAGTCGGCACTTCAAAGAATAACAACGCTGACAGGATGCATAAAGCACACCTAACTAGAAACTTCTTCTTTAGCCGTTCTTGATTATACCTGGAAGCATTTTAATTTAATTGCAGAAACTTATCTGAAGTGGAGATGTTGTCCTGCGTTTTTTTCTTGTAGGTGCAACCACAATTTGAGGAGGATTCGCGCAGCAGCCCGACGATCGAGATGGAATACGTGGGCTCAGATCAGCGATTCGTGCCCCACAACGATCCACGTGATATGCAGGTCGACAGCAGCCCTGTAGATGGAGGACCCAAGAGTGCCACGAAAGACAGATATGATGTAAGTCAGATGCCCGACAGTGCTGTCCCTCTTTCGTAGTCTTGGCATCACGGAAGTCTGATTGGCAATCATCAAGGGAGTCTCACGGGCCATCGAGAAATTTTGATGGAGCATCAAGATTTTCTTATGGAACACCAAGAAAGTCAAATGAACCATCAAAAATGTCTGATTGACTATCAGAAATGTCTGATTGGCTATCAAAAATGTCTGATTGACCATCAAAAATGTCTCATCGACCGGCAAAAGCATTCGATAGCCCGTCAAAACATTTCTAATAATAGCTTTGATCGGAGTTTAAATGCCCATTAAATGTGGCATTGGAAGAGTAGTACTTTGAAACTCAGATCATTATTCAACTAATTTTGCTTCCCGAGAGTTCATATAATCGACATAGAAAATGAGTATAGTCCACAGTTAGCAGTAAACCATTATTAAAATATCCCCATTGCGAAGTAGTCTGATGAATGGTTTGTTTGGGCTAGTTGATTCATCAAGATTCTGGGGTAAAACAGGCAACGCTGTGTACACTCTCGTGTTCACTTTGTCCGTGTCCCGTTGCGCTGTTTTACCCAGAATTGTGAAGTAGTGTTTTCTCTTTGCTGTCACGCGTTTATTTGTTGGTAACAATTAGCAAGAGGACTCTCCAATGACCACGTAAAATAATGATCTTTATTTCAGGAAAGAATTGCCCGTTTGGAAGAACAAGTAGAATACCTATCAAAGCAACTGCAAAAGGTTAGTTCAATCTCTCGTTTGTCTAAACCCACTCCATAGGGAACCGGAGTCACTGGTTCCACATAAAGTGAAATTCTTTCATGGGATGCTCGTCATCTCGAACATGCTGAAGAAAAAAAAAACGGACGTTGCCGCCGCTTTGAACATATCTAAGAGTGCCCTCTACGTATAACGAACATATAGTAAAAACAAACAAAAAATTATAATTGGGTTTTTCTATAACGAATTATTAGATATTTCGAACGAAATCGGGCATTTTATACAGTTTCTTTATAAATCGGTGTGACTATAGTACTATATTTGTGTAGTTCCTTTCCAAGATTTACCCACTATCGACGTTTCTGTACGTGCCAACACAACTCTCAAGTCAGATGAGTATATGGATATAGTAATACCGTGTATGGACGCTACTTTAAAGGGAATCCCCGAAAAATTTTAACGTGCCAAAATAATCACGTGTGTCAAAAAAATGCATTTTACATAAAAAATATTTTAGCTCAATATTTGGGTCACGCGACTCGTACGAGAATCGCGACGTGCTTCCACTTCATGACATGCTGAAAGGAAGTGCGTTTTGCAAATGGTACTTAATCAAAACGGAGTCTCACTACAAAAAAAAATTGCAAGATTTTTTTTTTTTAGGTGGGGAGGGGGGGGTATTTTCTGACATAAATGTATACGCCTGCAAGCCAGTCGCTCAAAAATATTATTTGATAGCTCAGTGTCTCTAGGGGTGATTCCAAAAGGCATTTCTAATAAGTGCTTTTCGTCTTTATGTGTCGAAATACCAGAATAGCTTGGAACTCACAATGTGTCTCACTATCTATGCACATGTCCCAATGCGCTAAAAGAAAAAAAGCCGAGTTCATTTTATTTTGTATCATGCATGTTCTACCCCCGACCACAACACAAAAAAAAATGTTTTTAAGGAGTGTACTGTATCTTCAAAGATAACTTAAACGCATCGATTCTCTCCAACTTGAACAAGGATTGGTGTGTCGACGTTCAATTCATGTTTTTGTTTTGTAGGTCACAAACGATTTGAAGAAAGTCCACTACATACTGAACATATTGGCCCCACACATCCCGTCGGTGGAAAAACTATACCCCAACCTTCGCACGGACGATTGACAAGGGACCCCATGTTGACGGCCGTTGGCAGCGTTTCAAAAGTCACGATTTTAATCGGTACACAGAGTTCGTACGATGTTTTCGAAGCTTCAGCCAATATAACCAAGATTTTTTTCCACTTCAAGCTTTGCGAACTGCTTCCTTGGCACAAAACACTTCGCGTCTTTTGATCGAACACAAGTATTGAGTTAGAGCTGCACAGTAGCTTTTTTTTTTTTTTTTATATCCGAATTTTTAGGGGGTTACGCTCATGGTATCGTTTCCAGAAGTATTTCATTTCGTTTTCATACACAAGAATAATTGTCTTTTTTTTTTTTTTCTAAAGTTGTCTTGATGTAACTATGCTGGCGGGTTCTAGAACACAATGTTTTACCTGGAGCCTGGAGAGAAAGCTGATTTATTTGGAGAGAAAGCTGATTTGAATGGTGCAAAGGCTGCCAAGAAGATTGAGATGATAGAAAGTCATACGGTGTTGATCACTGCATCAACGACACCTCGTCCGCCAATGTTTGTTTGTTTGTTTGTTTGTTTGTTTTAAACATGTGTAAATGTGGTACAGTGGGCACAACGAGTACGGGAACTACCTTTTGGTGTTCCATCTCAGAAAAGTCTTCAATCATTCTTGAAAGTTTCAATATGGTAAGGCACCTGACATACAGAAATGATAGTGTCACCCTTTCAAAGTGTGTACCATTCCTTTGAGCGCACTTTCCTTCGCCTGCTTCGTGTTTTACATTTTGGTAAAGCATTGCGGTTTACCAGGTTTTTATATATATATATATACGTTTGTTTAGTTGCACAAACTCCTATAACAACTTTCTTGGTAACCTTTCTTTGTAGCCATATTATTTTCTGTTTCTATACGCGAGCACTGTTAAGATTCTTCACTCAAACATATGGGTCATCATTACTTGATAAGAACGGCAGGGCGTCTCTTTCCGACGCCCGGCTTTCGGCACGCACTCGTCGCCTTCCGTCGTGCTTCGGCTGCGCGCTCACGCTCGATGCTCGCGAGACGCCGAAGCATTATCGAAGGTAGGAAGCTCGCGCTGGAGGCGTAACAACTGAAGAACTTTCCTGCCGTTATAATCCTGTCAGTGACTATGCGGAGAAAAACTGAGGGAGAAGAGGAGACGGGCATAAACAAACATGGCGGCGCCCATGGTACAGAGCAGACACTGGTCTATGGTATCCTAATTATTACGACCCATGGGCAACACGACACAGTGCGACCGAACAAAAGACCGGTGAAAGACAATGCGGAGAGCAAGTCGTCTGCTTCGATTGCGCAGAAGTTGAGGTGACGTCAGAACGACGCCGAGCTCTGATTGGCTTTTATTGAAAGGATAGTGGGTAGGCCTCAATGCCTCGCGGTCTACCCATTTCTTTTTTTTTTTTTCAGTCAGTTATAAACTGCTTGGCGTTCTGACACCATGGCAACCCCTGTGCAAGAAGCAGACGAACTTGCGCGCCGCATATAATGCGAAACATCGCACCCCGGTAGCATGTACATTTGAGACGTCCCGTCGTAGAATTTCGTCGTCTGCTCGCACCGAACGACGCCGACATCTTTTTTTATTCTTCTGTCGCGTTCGGAGGAAATCAACTCTTTGTGGGATAGGCTCGCAGGAAGCGGTAAAGGGTTCGCGCCTTATCGCTTTCACATCCTGGCAGGGAACTGAAACTCGCTGCCTCGGCATTCGAGTCCCGTGTGTGCGGGTTTGCGGTGTGTGTTTGCGGGTGCCGTGTTCGACTCAGCTTCCCGGGAACTTGTGGCGCGCTCGTCATAAGGTACTGCGTTCAGTACGTTATGCCTTCATTAGCCTTGGTATAGAGGCGTAACCGAGGTTTGTTGTTTGGTGTTCGTCACTTTGTTTGTGTCATCTACTCAACGAGCGCCGTGGTGCCTGGAGAAAAGTGAGGATTTTGTTTTCCTTCTTCGCCGGGGATGGCGTCATATCATTCTGCTTTGGCTTTCGTTAGCTTTGGGTGTTTTTGTTTAATTTATTTATTTATTATTGCGCGCGTACTTACATTTTGTTGATATAAAATAATCCTAGTATATAACCGCAACAAATCGATGATAGGCACACTGTCTGTGTTGTACCAAAAGTACGATCCATGTAACACTTTTGGCATTATTTAAATTTTTATGTGTTTTCGATTCCTACGTTTCGCTTTTTCCGACTAGCTCATTCACTGCATGCAGATGCGCTTGTGTCCTTCTTTAAAAAAAATGTATTACCAAGACGTTGAAAATTGGAGCAATCACGAGCTAGCCCAGGGCCTTCAGTTTCTGTTTTAGTGTGTATGTGTGCGTGCGCGGGGGGGGGGGGGGGGGGGGGGGGGGATTATGTTAAACTATAATTAGATTTTTGTAAAATAAAATGTTTGCCTTCGCCGCCTTTAAACATAAAGAAACAAGAAGAAATTGCAAATTTTACGAGTTGGCAATACCGATCAAGGTAGTTTATTTTAATAATTTTCCAAATTAATTAATCTGGCTTTTCAAGTAGCCCATCGACCCAACCGGTAACAACTTGGACACTCAGTTATTGTTCTATACTGCTCACTATACGTTCTCCCGAACGACTCGAGATTCATATTGGGTGGAAACAGTCCTCGATATCCAAACATCATATTATCTATATTTGAATTGAGCCGGCAAAAGCCATAAGAGAACGCTGCGATAACAAGATAGTGACTGTTCTGTTTGCGTTATTGTACGTTTCTCTATTTCTCGTGTATACCCTAGCTGCTCAAATATTTGGTACTGCATAAGTTAACGTTTGTTTATTTCCTACATTATCACACAGAAAGACTGGCAACATTGTCGTCCTTGATCTACACCAAAATGTTTAAGCTACCTGTTAATTTTTTTTTTTTTTTTTTTTTACTTCCCTACCTGCCTTGGCTCTTGAAAAGTCAAATGAGCTTCAGGTAATAGACGTTATCCAAAATTCGAAGCGCCACGTCGCGGGCGTAATGCCACATTATGCATTGTGGGAAGCAGTGGGCGGCAAAAACCATACGCACTCCGCTCCTGGCCGACAGGTTTCCGGAATGCAACGCGCACGTTGACGGATTTATGGAAGTCGTCTATTAATTCAAACTAGAGTTTAAAGTCAAATAAAACAAGTAAAACGTCTGAATGTGGACAGCCGGTTTTTTTCACATAACATGAGGGTAAAAGAGTTGAGTAGGACCACATCTTTACCTCTTATAATAAAAGTCAGCAACGCATTAAAACGTACCTAAAAGATATACTCTTAGGGTTGCGGTACGTCCAACGCTTAACCGAGTACCCCTTTGCCCGTGTGCTGGTCCCCGCTTTAGAATGGCGAGCTTTCAAAGCCTGGTCAAACTAGCAGGACAAACACCTAAACGTTTTTGGTTCACGAAACAAGATCAGTTTTATGGTAATCCGAGAAATTCTCTGCATTGCCACTTGCTTAAAAATGGGTAACCTAAAATTGTCTGATTGGTATCTTTTTAAATCATACCTACCAGTTTCACTTGGTTGTACTGGGTCGGAGTACCGTCAACAAAATGCATGGTGTAACCAGCTTCTGGCAATCAGTCATAAAAACGTTACGAACCAGGTGCACTAGACGTCTCTGCCAGTTGTGGTTTTGTCTGGCTCGCCGACAAGCAAAATAAATCGGGTCAGCATTTTCAACGCTCGAGGGCCAACGACAAAAATTAAATTTCGTGGTAAACACATCTTGAACTGGTATGTTTAGCGTGTTAAACCGCCCATGCATCGAGAGCGATCCTGAGGGTGCAACAAACGACGTCACAAGAGCCGACAAGTCATGCTGTCGGATGTCGCGCTCATGGCTGTTGGTTGGAAAAGTTTCCGCAAAAAGCAAGAGAGAACGCGAGTGTCCCTGCTGTCGCGGTGTCCCAACACCTGGCTGCTCAAGTTTCCGTGGACTGTCAAGCTGCAAAGCAACCTGCAGTAAACCAGGCGCCTGCCGCATTCATCTCCGTTGCTGTGACACCGCCAGGATCGCGCGCGGCAGGCAACTGCATGACACCACTCTGACGTCATCAAGTGCAAATCGAGGGACCACACTTGAGGGCGCGGTAACCATGTCCGTCGAAGAAGGGTTCCAGGTATAATAGCGGGTACTCAGGAGGAATTCTCGCTTCACCAAATAGCTAATTCTGTTTTATTTAGGGCATTATCTGCCGATACTTCGTTTCACCAGACGTGGTGAAACGAAGTCCCTGGAGTAAAAAAAAACGCCATCCTTAACGGTCACTTTAATAATAATAATAATCCTTTATTTGTATCATGCCCCAGAGCAACCTATCGGTTACAGTGTGGTGGCACATAAACAGTTTAAAAAATGGGGAAAATACACATTAAAGAGTAAACAATCTCAACCCCGCCCCCCCCCCCCCCCCCCCCCCCCCCACCCGGACATATGCTTTCGAAATTAAAAAAAAAAATCACAAATAGTCGTTTGAACGCAGCAAAATTTAAATATGTGTCTAGATTTAAATTCATTTAAACAAATTTGCATTCGAGCCAACGGGGACGGTCTCGTCTGAATATATGTATAAAACGCACTTCAGTATCTAACGACACGGGCCGGTACATGAAAGTTTAAAGACGACACAAGATTGCAATCTATTTGGCCGTGAACCACTTTGTATAAAAATGCAGGGTGATTCAAGGAGAGGCCAGGTTCTTTAAATCGACCGCAAAATTCGGTTTCTTAACCTATCACGCTACGACTTTGTGCTGCATTGCCCACAAATGGTGCATTTTTTTTTTTTTTTGTTTTTTACATTTACAGAGAGCGAACTTACCTGAGGCAAAAGTAAAGAAAGGAAAAGGCTTAGCTCCTATGGAACCGCGGCGAAGCCACCGGTCTTCAAACAACAAGGCGCCGTTTCGCACGGGAGACAAGAGGTGGCGCAAGCGCTCGCGACGCCAACTGCCGCCAACGAACGAGCATACGACGCCGAGAGCTGGCGTCTTTAGCAGACAAGTAACTGCAGTTCCTTGTTGTTACCGCGCCTTTTTTTTTTTTTTTTTTTTTTTGTTTCTGCGACTGTCACCGCCTGCGGAACGCGCGCCACTTTTGAGTCGAAACGATCGTCTGC